TTACGATAACCTTAAAATATTTACAAGATTCCAGAGCAATCAGTTTTGCAGTTTCAAAGTTACATTGCAAAATATTGTTATTCAGTTTTGAATTTTTTCCAAAAATTCTGGATGTCTAAGAAGAAAATTTTACATGGGTTCACACACTACAAGTGCAGGAGTATGTTATTTTGTAGGAGTAGAATTTAAAAAACTTTTTATTATACATTTTAGAAATGACGTCCTCCCAATGGTGGTGGGGATGATTAACCAAATTTTAGTTAGCATTTAACCATCTACATGATATTCATAATATACATACAAAATATGAAAAAAATCGGTCCAGTAGTTTCAGGCGTTTCAGAGATTACTTGTTTAATAAAAATGGATGCAGACAGCCAGACAGACAGACGGAAACGAGAGACCAGTTTTTTCGTACTCTAGAGGTCATGACACCTTCGCTTATGTTCGGGAAGTAAAAATAAATTTGCATATTGGTCGAAAGTTTCAAAATTCCTGCTCTTTCTAACAAAGACTAACATTAATTACATCAAATAACTGAAAAAGGTAGGTAATTAAAAATAAAATAATTAGCACAAAAGAAACCTATTTTAAAACAAACCGTTTTTTATTTACTAACATAGGTTATATAGGTTAGGTGCGTGCTAATAAGCGAACGTCAAGACATGTATCTACTCCATCATGGGTCACTTTTTTTTCGTACACTGTGACTGGCATTATCTATTTTTTTTTTTAAACTGGATTTGTTTGATTGTACTCCACGAGCGAGGGAATTTCTGTCTGAATCAGGGATGTTATGTAATGAAAATTGTAAGACCATGGTCTGAATTAACTTAATTATAGTGTCCTAATGTCAATTCAGGAAACTGTAGACTTCAATTGGTTAAAACAGTGAGTTCATTTTAACCGGCAATAAAAAGGCATGAAATGAAAACACTTAAGTCTAATATCTTCTTGGGTTGCCATAAATGACACTATAAAGTCGCGTGGAGTCATTAAACTATCCTGAACTGAAAAAGAGAGCCGCAGAACTTAGAAAACAAAATTACGATATCACAAGTGATTCATATTAAAATTAACTTCACAAAGTAGCTGTTACTTTACTTAGTAAGTTATCGCTACAATCAGGGGCGGCTTGTCCCATGAGGCAGGTGAGGCAGTGCCTCACCAATGAATTTTACGCCTTATTAGGATTTTTACTATTTTTTAACGACACATTTCGGTCAATAATTTGTGTCTTTTTTCTAAAATTTTAAAAATAAATATGGAAAATTATATTCTTATTTTTATCTCAGTAGGTACTCGTTGCTCCCTTAATTAAACAGCGCGCTGAAACACTCGACACAACATGTATTTTGTGACGCGAATGAGGCAAACTCGAAGCTTGCCTCTACAGAAGGTATAGAAATCATATCGTTAATAGGCAAGCAACCTGCAATACACTCATAAGCGGTATGAGTTGAAAAAAGACAAAATTGAGGCTAGCCCAGAGATATGGAGAAGGAGAATGAGCTTCCCCATGCGCAGACGAAATCCTTGGTCTAAAATTGAAAGCAGCCATTTTATCAGTTGACTGTTGCCAACATAATCACAAATCACTAACAGAACTTGATATCCCTAGACAATTGCTTCATTATTGGGCGGGAAGTTTAAAATCATTAATTACAATGACCTAATAATAAATCACAACTAAAATATATTTCACCTTAAACGAATAAATAAACATAATTATACTTCAATATATTTATTGATGCGAAAACAGTACTAATTATGTGTACACATGTCTAACAGAAGTGCCTTGAGCAAGACATGAAAGTCTTTTGCTCAAATGAAACATTCTTATTCGCATGTAGGCATTAATTATTTGTTTAATAAGAATATATAAATGGCCTTCATCGATGGCCACCGTCTCGAGTGCGTGGGTCTTCTAAATTAGGAAAAAGAATGCTGGCATGCCGAAAGTTTTAAAAAATTGTTCATCGCTTGGAAGTTTATCGGTGAGTTGCAAAATTTTTCGTATTAACAGTAACAACAAGTCTTCACAACCCCAGCAAAAGGTTTAATAAGCCCACCTAAAATCAAAATTTTGTTAAGACTTAAAAAATAACTATTGTAAGTATTTGATTTTACCCATGTTTTTTTTGTCCAATAATCTGTAAAAGTGTAAGTCACTTCTTCTTGTTTCAATACAAGAAGAAATGCAGTCTGCGCACTTAAACGTCTTCACCACCATTTTGACAACATAGCTACCAATATATGCCACGTTTTCTGCCACTTCACTCAGCCCAATAAACTTAGACGGTCATAGTCATGATCTGCAAGTGCTTCAGTCAAAATATCGAGATCATATTTTTTCAAGACAAACACGTCAACTGATTGTTGAACATTTGTGCTCTTTTGCTTTGGGCCAATGTTAACAGAGAGCAGACAGGTGGTGCAAAGCACTTTACAATTTCCTCCTTCCCTCGTTATGTTTGTAAATAGAAGCAATCTTCTAAGTTTTACAAAATCGTAGAGGAGTAGGGTTATTGTTTCACCCATTTCTCGATCTGAAAACAGAAAAATAAATACAGATTTGTGTAATTCCAGTGCATAAAAAAGTAATACAATTGTTTTTTTAAAAGCTTACCGCACTGAGCAGAAGAAAATTTCTAGATGATCTTGACTACATTTATGTTAGCAAGTCATTCAACCTCTTACTACTAACAAATTCATCAAAAATTCCCATGAACGACGTAGCGGAAATAACAAAGCCCAGAATTGACGTTTTTCGGGGCGTGCACCACAAAGGGCCGCCAGTGACATCCTTCAAATTCAGAAGATACTCACTGGTGTCGATGAGAAATGGACGCCACATTTCTTCATTGTTTTCTCTCAAAGGTGCCTTAAAATTCTTAGCACGTACACTTCGGGAATTGAGAATATCAAATAAAGAATCTATCCTTCTGATGAATTCTATTGTTGTTTCACAACCTTGAAAGTCACTAATACCAAGATCTTTTAAAAATTCAAGTGCATCCGCAACTCTTGCTAAGAGTTTGTGCTGCTAAACTCACCTATAATAGAACTTAATTATTGTCAATAAGGAATATTGTCAGGAAAACAACTTACTTTCATTTTGTTTCCATCACTCCAAATGTGCCTTTTTCAACTTGTTTGCAACATTTAGGAATTCATCATTTTGTAATTCATGTAGTTTCTTTATGTAACGCCAGCTTATCACCTTCCCTCCTGTCAGAACTACTTTTTGAGTTCTTGCTTTTACTTCCACTTGTACTGCTACTGCTTTTTCCATGGTATCTCTGCGCAGCACTAAATAATAATTATTAACAGTAGTAAAAAATTCAATATAATAAAATATTCAAACCTTAATGTCCTCTTTACACCTTGAGGTATAATCGATGGAGACTCTTCTCAAATATCAGCTGAAGTAGCACTCACAGTACTCATTGAAGTTGAAGAAGCTTCTAGACTTTCATCTAAATTCACACTGGGAATTGCGTTCGATTTCAATTGTTTTCACTCATTTACAACAATGAAATCAGTTGTTGTGAAATGATCTGAGCACACCAGCTTATACTTAGTCAGTTTGAAGCTGTCATCTTTTTTCACAACAATCAGCCACTTTTTTAAAAGTTTTCGATCTTTCGGAAACCTAAAATCAGATATAATAAATATTGATCACATAGTATTGCAATAACCAATTGTTATTAATTATAACTATCTACGTATTCGATTTTAATAAGATAATGAAGAAAACTTACTGATGAAAAGATACACCTTCTGAACGAAATCGTTGACAATTTTTACAGTGAGAAACTGTACAAGACATGTTTGTTGTCAATAATAATGTCCTTTAACACTAACAAGCACGTTCACACGTACACTAACGGTAAAACAAATTAAGTAATAATTTTAACTCCAAATTACAACTGGTTCAACAACGTCGTAACCTCGTAGGTAAACAAAACTTTAAGGTTAACTGATAAAATGGCGGCCCCCATAGTGTACCGATGCGCAGAAGTCGAAGCTCATTCTCCTTCTCCATATCTCTGGGCTAGCCTCATTTCCGTGCTTGCAAAAGAGATGCAATATTTGCGCGCGGAGAACGCAAATTACAATGCAGTCTGCATTTGCCGAAGTATTCAAAATTAGGCCGTTGATTGTTTTGCCACAAGTCTGTGTGTGTATAAATTGATTCAAAATTTCGGTAACAGAATTTTGTCTTAAAAGTGCCTACGTTTGCGTGTGTCGCGTTAGTGCTTTGTGCTTGTTATAATTTGATTTCGGTAATCGTTATTTAAGGTTACGAGTAAATCGGAATTTTTCTCTACTAACGTTAAATGACAATAGCAGTTCTGTTTTTTCTACTTTCACGTATGATGATAAATTCTATGTAGTTAAGGAATTAAAACGGCCGGTTCCTGATTTGAGTAAATCGTTAATTGATCTATAAAAAAGTTTAAAATAAATCCAGAGTATTTATGTTTTATATGTTTTTCGTTTTGTTTTTTGTTATAAATCAAATTAGGTTTATTTTATGTTGTATTTGATTTTTTTCGATATGTTTTCTTTAAAGTTTATTTTAATTTTGTTTTTTTTTAAGTTATATTAGTTTTTTCTGACCACGTTTCCCTTTCCTTTTGTCCTGTCATTCCCATCCTTTCCTTACAAGAGTTCCTTACACCTTCACGTTGGTTCTTGGTGGACAGTTAAATGAGTTTACAAATTTGTTTATTTGACTAAGTAGAAAATATTTAAGTAATCTTGATTTATTTATATTTTAGAGCGTATTGTGCTTTGCCTCATCAACTTTTCAAGTCATGAGCCGCCCCTGGCTACAATGCTAATTTATTTATTGTCGACATTTATTCTCTTTTAAATACTCCGGGGCAAAATCATATTAAATCCGGCTCTGTTGAGTTCTGCACCGACTTTAAAAGTTTCACTAGAGGGCGCACTCTCACTTCCACCTCTTTTACAGTTTTCTTTACCACACCTGTCAAAGTTGACGGATAACGATTGACATTGCGCCGTGTCCGAATAAAAACAATTATTCGAAAAAATGACCATAACCAACGACCTTAATTTGCCAACTGAAGAAGAATTATCAGTTCAGGAAATAAACCTTTCCGGCCCGGTCCTCAAGGCAGCGTCTTTTCATTTAGGTCGAGCTTGCTTACATGAAAATAATGTGAGGTTATGTGTTACCTAATCATTCTTAAAAAAATAAACCGATTTGCAGGAGTTCATGCTTTGCAGGGACGAATTGGGCGACCCTCGGGCATGTATTGAGGAAGGCAAAGCGGTGACTAATTGCGCCCTTAATTTTTTCCGCACTGTAAAGAAAACATGCGCTGACGAATTTATGCAATATGCTAACTGCATTGATAAATCTAGCCCCAATCAGCAGTATACACCGTACGTTTTGTAAATTGCAATAATTAATAGTTGACTGGAAGATATTTGTAGATGTCGCAAAACCCAGGCTGTTTTTGATAAGTGCGCTAAGGATGATATGGGGATTGAACGATTGCCATTTGACTATTATGCAAGAGTCCAGGTTCACAAAACGGCAAGACCTAAACCTGACGCTGAAGGACCAGCTGTATATCCAGATGCTACACCTTATCTACCTGAAAGCGCTGAGAAACCACCAGCAAAATATGGTTCACGTTACCTTTTCATGTGGTAATACTGCCATTGTTTAGTCACAACATGTTGATGAATTGTGATGTAGTGACTTGTTAGGTAGTTGTAAATAAATTAAATTAAAAACTAGTTTTTATCAATTTATTTAAGAAACATATTTTTACTGAGCTGCACGGCAAAACAAACGTTTTTTTAAACTTAATTTTCATTGTTAGCAATGCGAATTTTTCCCCGGCGAAATTTCCATGATAAAAATTAACCGCGACAGGTAAATTAGTTGACGAAAAGTGGTGCAGACACGACGCTTAAAAGCTTTACAATATAAATATAAAATACAAGTAATTATCCAAGTTAACTGCAAACAGACACACTAATCAAAATATTGTATTACTATTTCACCTAAAAGTATTATAACTGTATTTGCTATAGAAAGTACACAATATCTCTAAATTAATCCAATAAAGTTCCTCAAAATTGACCACGGCAGCTTCGTAAATAACCGTACACACGTGGGAAATATACTCCCTTATTAGATTTACCGCGCAATAAAAGCCTAAATGGGTATGTAATTCGTTTTAAGCATAATAAGTTCGAACATGCGCCATTTTGCGGTATTAGCCCTATATAAACCGAACGGAATTTTCAAAACAACAGTCTCGAGCTCGCAGTGAAAAAGCAAACACTTGAAGACCAACATGCATTTCTCTTTTGCCAAACTGTTGACCATCTGCACCCTGGCCTTAATTTTGGCTAGCTGGTTGGTTCCATCCGAGGCCACCTACAGAAAACCACCCTTCAACGGCTCCATTTTCGGAAAGCGAGGCGCCACTAGTGGTAAGACATTATAGTAAAGTAAAATTTTCGTTTGAACATTATTTTTATTGAAGAGTATGACAGCACCGGCAAGGCACTATCTGCTATGTGCGAAATCGCCAGCGAAGCCTGCCAAGCTTGGTTTCCAGCACAAGAAAAGTAGGATTGGACGATCACTGCAAGATCATAGACCTCTTATTTATGTATTCATTTTATAACGGCAAAAATGTAGAAAGATAGTCTAATAAAAGCAAGTGGAATATATTGTGGTTTTAAATACCTACTACATTTGATAAAAAAGTTTTATTTGTCAGTTTTAGTTACTTACAAATATACAATGAAACTTCAAGCGTTGAATCAAAGTTTAAAAAAATATCCACAAAATTGCTTCTATATAAAGCACTTCATCGTCCTGCTCCAACAACAATCGTGGCTTCCTACATAATTCTGGTACGTCTACGATGATCACAGTCATTTTACATCTCCTTAAGATTAAATGCATTGTAATAATAATCACAAGTTCAACAAATAAATAAATAAAACCTCCCAAAATAAATTAACGTGGTGTACATTATGTTTATTTTTGTTTTTTATTTATTTATTTTCACTCTTATTGTAGTCGTTAGTGACGATATAATTATGTATAAGGAAGCAAATGTGATACATACGTTACAACTAGGTTTTGATTTTTGACTTACAACTATATTTACACGTTTTCGAGTTAAACAAATTAATTAAAGTCTTCCATTTTCACGTTGTCGATTTATGTGCTGTTTTAAATGCTTCACGTAGTCGAACATCATGCCTACGAATGCCGTGTCTCGGATGTATTGTGGTATCCAACCGTTTAAATTGGTGTTCAACACCCACTGGAAGATACATTTGTTGGGATTATTGGGATCTTCTTGCATTGCCCAACAACCGGCACGATTTTCACCCCTAGCAATGAAGATATAAGTAACAGTATTCTCATGGGCAGATGCTATATACATATAATATGAAATATATAGGAAATACAACTGTTCCACCTTTTAAAATACCATTTTCGATAAAACTATAAAATCTTTAAAATCGACATTACGAGCTATTACTGATTTTTGCTAGCCCATCCGTCAGTGCGCCTCAGATTTCAAAAAGGGACTTTTTCTGTTACTTTTCGTGATATCGAAAATAAAACTAAATAATCACAGCTAGCTGTGAGATAAGTTGTAAAGATGGTACTACTATAAAAATGACACAACACTGTCACTGCCAAAAACGAAACACATAATATCCCATTCACAATCTTTTATGTTGGATAAACTCAGAATTGAATAAAACCATCCATTTTTTCGCTTCAAATAACTTTTTTTTTGAAAATTCGAAACGTCAAACTAAGGGCAGTAGTGCCATCCACAACTTGACAGAAAAGCCAATTCCAATTCATTTTATACTGTGTGTTATACAGAAATTTCCACCTATTACGATATATAAATATTCAGGACCTTGGTAAAACATTAAATCCAAATTATAATTAAAAATAATATATTTTTTTGCCAATAAACATTTATTTATTTATTTATTTATTTAAATTCCAAAGATCGAGCATCAAAAAATCGAAAAATTAAAAAAAACTTATAATTCAAAAAATTGAAAAACAGAAATATCGATGAACTGAAACATGAAAAACATCAAAAATTCGAAAATTTGGAAAATTTAAAAATCAAAATGCCGCAAAGTCAAAAAATCAAAAAATCCAAAATTTAAAAAATCAGAAAATTGAAGAAGAGAAAATCTAAAAAATTCGAAAGCTGAGATGAAAAACTGGGAAATCGAAAAGCCGAACATTTGAAAAACCAAGAAAACGAGAAATCGAGAAGTCGAAAAATTGAAAAGTTAAAAATTAAGAAATTGAAAAAAAAAATGATAAAACAAAAACTTGAAAATCGAAAAATTGAAAAACTGAATAATCGAAAAATCGAAAGATCAAGAAATCGAAACATCAACAAACTGAAAAATCGGGAAATCAAAAACTATAAAATTTAAAAAATTAAATATCTAAAATATCGAAAAATTGAAGAATCGAAAAAAATGAAAAATGGAAAAATTGAAAAATCGAAAACTTGAAAAATCGGGCAACCAAAAAATGGAAAAGTCGAAATTTTGAAAAATCAAATAGCAGGCAATTTAAAAATTTAAAAATTCGAAAAATTAAAAACAGAAATATCGATGATCTGAAAAATTGAAATCGACAGATATAAAATTTAGAAAATTGAAAAATTAAAATATCGAAAAGTGAAAAATCGAGAATCGAAACATCAAAGATTAGAAAAATTGGAAAATCTAAAATTTAAAAATCAAAAAGCCGAAAGGTCAAAAAATTTAAAAACCGAGAAGTAGAAATATCCAAAATGTAAAAAAATCGGAAAATTGAAGAATTGAAAACTAAAAAATCGGGAAATTGAAGTTCCAAAGCTGAAATGATAAACAGGGAAACCAGAAAATCAAAAATCGGAACATCGAAAAATTCAAAATTTTCAAAAATCGAAAATTCGAAAAACCAGGAGAACGAGAAATCGAAACTTCGAAAAACTGAAAAACTGAAACATAAAGAAATAGAACCATCAAATAAATGAGAAATCGAAAAATTGAAAAGTAAAAATTAAGAAATTGAAAAAAAAAGATAAAACATCAAAAAAACGAAAAATTGAAACATTTCAAATCTAAAAATCGAAAAACTGAAAAATCCCAAAACTGAGAAATCGAAAATTTGAAAAATCGGACAATCTAAAAATCGAGAAGTCGAAAAAATTTTAAAAATCGAAAAATCGAGATATCAAGAAATTGAATATAAAAATTGTAAAGTTGAAAATTTGAATAATCAAAAAATACGCAATTCAAAAAAATTTTAAAATAGAAATATCGATAAACTGAAAAATCGAGAATTCGAAACATCAAAAATTCGAAAAATTGATAAATCTGACATTTAAAAATCAAAAATCCGAAAAGTCGAAAAACCTAAAAAACTAGAAATCAAAAAATCTGAAATTTAAAAAATCTGAAAATTGAAGAATTGAACTAAAAAATTCCAAAGCTGAAGTGAAAAACTGGGAAATCAGAAAATCAATAATTGGAACATTGAAAAATTGAAAATTTGAAAAATCGAAAAGCCGAAAATTCGAAAACCCAAGAAAACGACAAATCAAAACATGGAAAAATGAAAAATTGGTCTAAAGAGTTTAGCCAGTACTTCCCTCGCTGTTGGAAACGTGACGACTGCATGCCTATTGTGTTTTTTTTCGCAGTAGATTTCATATATTTTTTTTTTGAGTTACCCGGTATATGCAAATTCAAAAAATATGAATGGAATGATAAATTACAAGTACAGACTCATCATATTTTGTATATTCTAGATAGGATTTATTCGGCAAACTTTTGAGCTGACGTCAACAAGTTTTTGGAGGGGATAACCAACTATATTCTGACTAAAGATTTATGATGCTCTTTATAACCTTAAAATATCTGCAAGATTTCAAAGCATTCGGTTTTGTAGTTCTTGATTAACTCAATAAAATATATTCACGCATTCATTAATTTTTTGGAGTCACCCTGTATATAGAAATCCAAAAAATATGAATGGAGTGATAGATCACAAGTACGGACTCATCATATTTTGTACATTTTAGATATGATTTATTCCACAAACTTTTGAGCTGACGTCATCAAGTTTTTGGAGGGGATAAGCAAATATTTTTTGAGTAAACATTTATGATGCTCTTTATAGCCTTAAAACATCTGCAAGATTTCAGAGCATTCGGTTTTGTAGTTCCTGATTAAATCAATAAAATATATTTACGCATTCATTAATTTTTTTGAGTCACCCTGTATATGCAAATCCAAAAAATATGAATGGAGTGATAGATCACAAGTACAGACTCATCATATTTTGTACATTTTAGATATGATTTATTCCACGAACTTTTAAGCTGACGTCATCAAGTTTTTGGAGGGGATAAGTAAATATTTTTTGACTAAAGATTTATGATGCTCTTTATAGCCTTAAAACATCTGCAACATTTCAAAGCATTCTGGTTAGCAGATTAAAAATTAAATTTCAAAATATTGTTTTATAATTTTGATTTTTTTTCCAAAAATCTGGACGTTTCGGGTGAAAAGTCGATTCAGAGTTGTAAACTACATGTGTAGGACTATGTTATTTTATACAATTGAAAACCCATTTACTATGTACAATTTTGAAGTGACGTCATCGCATTAGTGGTGGGGATGATTAGACAAATTTTGGTTAGCGTTTTACCATCTACATGATATTCTTAATATAAGTACAAAATTTCACAACAATCGGTCGAGTACTTTCGGAGATTATCTGTCTAATAAAAATCCGGGACAACAGACGGACAGACGGACAGACGGACGGACAGACGGACAGACGGACAGACGGACGGACAGACGGACAGACGGACAGACGGACAGACGGACAGACAGACGGAAATGGGAGACCTATTTCTTCGTCTTCTAGGGGTCATGAAAGATCGAGAAAACGTAAAAGTAGAGAGTCGACCGACGGACTCGATTACAATACTTCCTTTGCTTACGCTCGGGAAGTAAAAAATGAAACACAGAGAAATCGAACCATCAAATGAACGAGAAATCGAAAAATCGTCAAGTCGAATAATCGAAAAATTAAGAAACTGAACAATCGAAAAATCGAGAAAACGAAACATCAAAAAAAATGAAAAACCTAAAATTTAAAAATTCGAAAAATTGAAAAACACATCGTAAAATTGGAAAATCAAGAATTCGAAACATCAAAAATTCGAAAAATTGAAAAATCTGACATTTAAAAATCGAAACTCCGAATAGTCGAAAAATCTAAAAAACGAGAAATCAAAAAATCTAAAATTTAAAAAATCTGAAAATTGAAGAATTGAAAAACTAAAAAATTCAGAAATTCCAAAGCTGAAGTGAAAAACTGGGAAATCAGAAAATCAAAAATTGGAACATCGAAAAATTGAAAATTTGAAAAATCTAAAAGCCGAAAATTCGAAAAACCAAGAAAACGACAAATCAAAACATGAGAAATCGAAAAATTGAGAAACTGAACAATCGAAAAATCGAGAAAACGACACATCAAAAAAGTGAAAAACCTAAAATTTAAAAATTCGAAAAATTGAAAAACAAATATCCCAAAACTGAAAAATTGGGAAATCGAAAGATAAAATTTAAAAAATTAAAATATCGAAAAATTGAAGAATCGAAAATTGAAAACTTGAGAAATCTAAGCACCAAAAAAAAACAAAAATGAAGCATGGCAAATTAAAAATCGAAGAAAAATTGAAGAATCGGGAAATGAAAAATCCCAAAACTGAATCGCTGCAAAATTGAGAAATCGAAAACTTGACAAATCGGACAATCGAAAAATCGAAAAGTCGAAAAACCAAAATGTCAAGAAATTGAATAAAAAAACAGTGAAGACGAAAATTTGAAAAATCAAAAAACTGGCAATTCTAAAATTTAAAAATTAGAAAAATTTAAAAACATAAATATTAGGGATGTACCGACTAGTGGCCGACCGGTCGGATAAGCCGACTATTCGGCCGTTTTTCATCGTCGGCTGCAGTCGGCGACTAGTCGGCTAAACAGCCGATCGGTCGGCTTTTTTAATTAAAATTAAAATAGTATATAAAGCAATTAAACCCTGTTTACAGAACCTCAATTAAATATTTAATTGCGATTTAATTTTTAACCCCGCGTTAAAGTATCATGTGACCGACTCTACGCCAATCAGACGTCGCTAATGGCCTTGTTAAATGCGCGATCAACTTAAACTCAGTTAAAATATTGTATAAACTGGCCCTAAATTGTGTTATTCTTTATTTTTGTACTGAGTTACTAAAAAAAATTAAATGTTAAAATTATCCAAACAAATTTAACACATTTTTTGGAAAACAAAGGAACTTTAGTTATTCCTTTTATTAAAATAGAACAAACCTTTAAGGTAGCCAGAGAAATAGAAAAAAACACACACTGTCGCATTTATAAACCGGTTTTAGCAAAGCCGACCAGTCGGCCGACTAGTCGGTTTTTACTGGCCGAACAATCGGCTAGTCGGTTAGTCGGCCAGACCTACAGTCGGTACATCTCTAATAAATATCGATGAACTGAAAAATCGAAAAATCGAAAGCTATAAAATTAGAAAATTGAAAAATTAAAATATCGAAAAATTGAAAAATCCAGAACTCGAAACATCAAAAATTCGAAAAACTGAATAATCTAAAATTTAAAAATTAAAAAGCCGAAAAATCGAAAAACACAAAATTTAAAAAATCGAAAAACTGGAGAATCGAAAAACAGAAAAATCGAGAAATTAAAAAATTTCAAAGCTGAAATGAAAAATTGAGAAATCGAAAAATTTAAAAATCGGAACACCGAAAAATTAAAAAACTTAAACAGAGAAATCGAATTATCAAATGCACGAGAAATCGAAAAGTCGAAGGATCGAAAAGTTAAAAATTAAGAAATTGAAAAATAAATGATAAAACAAAAACTTGAAAAATCGAAAAATTGGGAAACTGAAGAATGGAAAAATCGGAATTTCGATAAATCGAGAAAACAAAAAACTGAAAAATTTAAGAACCGAAACATTGAAGTCTAAAAATTGAACTGAAAAACTGTTTTCGAGGAATTGAAACACCGAAAAGTCGAAAAATTGGAAAATCCAGAAATCGAAGAGTGAAAAAATCAAGAATCGAATATTTGGAGAATCGACAAATTGAAAATATCTCAACACTGAAATATCGAAAAACTGAAAAATGGGGAAATTGAAAAAACGAAACTAAGAAACAAAAACTGAAAAATTCCAAAACTGAAATATCGAAAAACTGAGAAATCGAAAGTTGAAAAATGATGGATAAACCACAAATAAAACGCAAGACGGAGTCATAAACTAGAAGCGGAAGAGTATGTTATTTTATAAAATTTAAGGAACATTTACTACCGTAAAAATTGGAGATGCCATCTTATGATTGTTGGTGGGGATAATTCTACAAATTTTAGTTAGCGTTTTACCATCTATAATATACGATATTCTTAATATACAAACAAAATTTGACAACAACCAGTCCAATAGTTTAGAAGATTATCTGTCTAATAAGAATCGACACAGATGCGGTCAGAGGGCAGATAGACAGACGCAAACGAGAGGCCAATGTTTTCGTACTCTAGATGTCATAAAACGTCGCGAAACATAAAACGAGCAAGTCGCCCGATGGACTCGCTTACAATACTTCCTTACCTTACGCTCTGGAAGTAAAAACACTGACTTTTATGCACTTAACTTACCTAATATATTTCTCATTTTTTGGCAAAGATGGATGTTCAGTCCCTACACAAGCGATAATGTAACGTCCCTCAATATAAGCCCAATGTCTCAAATTAACAAAATCTCTGCTGGTTACAACACCAGCAGCCCCATCAGCACCAATCTGATAGCTAATATCAGTATGTTCATCAATCACTTGCACCTTATGAGATTCTAACAAAGTAGGGTTCCACTGCGGCAAAGTTTCTACTCTATAAAATAACTCATCAAGCAAAAACTTTGGAGTAACATCCAAAAACGCCTTAAAATACATAAACAATTAAAAATACAAAACACAAAAGTGAAAATCTTACAGTAAGTTTAAAAATTTTTCCTACTTTAGGCACTGTCATGGTGTAAACTGAATCGCTTCCACTTGCTTTCTCTAATTTCCAGTCTTTTTTGAGCAGTAAGTCCCACGCCTCTTGCATTGTCTTAGCAGCTAAAACTTTGTAATTTTCTTCCTACTCATAAAAATTTAAAAAAATTAAAAAACAATAAAAAGTGTGATGGGGTATTACTTGTTCCCTTGTAAGTTGCACTGGCGGATATCTACCCAGAACTGGGCCTGAGTCAAATCGATACATCGAACCTTCAGGTGAACCAAGAGGAGAGTAAAAATTACCAACACTCTCAGTGTATAAAGAAGGCAAGCCATGTACGTAACTACGAATTAATGGGGCCCTTTCTGAATCCGGATTAGCTATAAATTTACATTTTAACAAAACAAATCAATCAAAATCAAATTAAAATACAATTACATATGTATGGTCACTTACTAATAAGGTATCTTCGAGCATGTGATTCTTGAGGCAGCACTCGAAAATCAAGAAACCACGCTTCTCCCCACGCCAAAACAAAGGACGTTAATACTAGAAGTACTTCGAAAACGGGCTGCGCAGAATGGGGCCACTAAAAACGACGATTATAAAAGGCACACTACATTTGAGTTAGCTTACATCATACACAAACACTTTAGAAATGAGAAAGGCGCACGTTAGTGTTGTTGATATCTGGAAATTAGTACATTTAGTTGGTTAAAAAGGGGAGACAAGTCGACTTACGGAAACTATGAACCAGTGATTCATGTAAATCAACCCATAGAAGAGTAACAGCACTACAAATCGACACAGCGCGGTTAAAACGACATCAAATAACGATGTGTGTATATTGTAGTGATAAATTTGTTCATTTAAAGCTTTCATGATGTTTTCACCTTTTAACTAAAATTGAGGTATGAAATAAATGAGTTTTCACGGTAGATGTATTACCATCACACAAATGAGCCACATAAGTCCAGTAAATAATAAATCAAAAGTAACAAACATACAGAAGAATCTTCTGACTGTAGACATCCTGCCATTGGCACGTTGACCAGCTAACAAATCTTCCGAGATTATATAATCGGGATGCAGGGATGGTATGGTGTTAATACTATGTGAGTGCGCTGCAGAGGAATACGATTTTAAAACATTGACTTCAATATTTCTCTGATTGTTTAATCAGAGGCCCAAATACTATAATCTCTTGTTTGTTTATTAAATACAGATTAAAACTATGGGAAAGCAAATAGTCAAATTACTTACAGACTTCCAGTGTTGGTGACTGAATATTGTGGCTTTGTGACTGTATTAAGTTTTCAGCTGCCTGACGAATCTCTTGATCCATTTTTTGTATTCAATAACTACAGCAAACTGACGGATATAAACAAAGAACGGAGCGGTGAGATAACAAACTATCCTTTGTACTTAAAGACTAATGCATTCTTGGAAAATGTACAAACGTAATTGGATACTTAATTATAAAACTGATCTATTAAATTCAATTCCAACAGTTATTACATTTCATTTCGCAAGTTTTTATGTTTTTCTTGATTTTGAATATTCTAATTTCTTACCAGCATTACTTTATGAAATTAAATGCGCATTCAAGTGGCTTAAATGTTACTAACTATGCGATATGTAACAAACTTACAACATTTTAATGTTGTTTTTGTTTACGGAGAATCAAAATAAAATTTTTAACTCCACTGTGGCCAAACGACAAATGACAGCGCCATGACAGCATGTCAGAACAGCCAACAAAACAACGAAACTTACGAAACCATAGATATCCAAGTTTCAGGCTTAGTTAACAAAATAATCCAGCTTGAACCTTGTTTAATACAACCGCTATCGTGTTAACCCAAATAACATCCGCAACAAGATAAGAAAGAGATTAAAATTCAATGATGCTTATCACGACCTTGATATTTCAACTTTTGCATATTGCCGACCTTGAGTGTCATTCCCGTCTGTCAGAAGAGTCATTTGTGTTAAATATACGCATTTTATTTATTTTGTAATTACGCTTTAAATAAGCAAATTCCTGGCAAGAGCCAATGAGTGCTTGTCAATATCTCACCTGGATCGATTTCAGTGGTGCCGGATAATAATCACCTTAAAAAATGGGGGATCCGAATCAGGGGGCGCAGTGCCAGATGAAAATCGGCCACTACCTACTCGGCCAAACTCTGGGCGTTGGAACCTTCGGCAAAGTGAAAATCGGTGAACATCAGGTAACGAAGCATAAAGTCGCCGTTAAAATCTTGAACCGGCAGAAAATCAAGAGCCTCGATGTAGTTGGCAAGATCAGGAGAGAAATTCAGAATTTAAAGCTGTTTCGTCATCCGCACATCATCAAATTGTATCAGGTGATCAGTACCCCGACGGATATATTTATGATTATGGAATACGTGTCTGGGGGCGAACTGTTCGACTATATTGTCAAACACGGGAAGCTGCAGGAGCATGAGGCTCGACGGTTCTTCCAACAAATTATTTCCGGGGTTGATTACTGTCACAGGCACATGATAGTTCACAGAGACTTGAAACCAGAAAATTTGCTTTTGGACCATAATATGCACGTGAAAATTGCTGATTTTGGTTTATCCAACATGATGATGGATGGCGAGTTCTTGCGGACTAGTTGCGGCTCACCGAACTATGCAGCACCTGAAGTTATTTCAGGGAAACTATATGCCGGACCTGAAGTTGATATTTGGTCATGTGGAGTAATTCTCTATGCCCTTCTTTGTGGAACTTTGCCATTCGATGATGAACACGTTCCAACTTTATTTAGAAAAATTAAATCCGGCATTTTTCCAATACCAGAATACCTCAACAAATCTGTAGTCAATCTTTTGTGCCAGATGTTGCAAATTGACCCCATGAAACGGGCTACGATTGAAGACATAAAGAAACACGAATGGTTCCAAAAAGATTGTCCAGCGTACTTGTTTCCATCGCCAGTGGATCAAGATTCGTCTGTGATTGACACAGATGCTGTGGCTGAAGTTTGTGATAAGTTTGGAGTACAAGAGAAGGAGGTACACAATGCCCTATTGAGTGGAAACCCCCATGATCAACTTGCTATTGCCTATCATCTGATCATCGACAATAGACGCATTGCGGATGAAGCAGCTAAGGCTGAAATTAAAGATTTTTATGTAGCTGGTAGTCCGCCTCCTGTGAGTATGAGTCCTAGTCCCAGTCCTTGTGACTTTGGCTCTAGTCCTTTGAAACCTCATCCTGAAAGAATTGCACCCCTTCGTGATAGAATGGCTTCAAATCAAGCAGCTTCAGGTGATAGAGGCAGAGGTAAGTATGATAAAAGAGTCAATAATTTGCTAAAAGTTAATTTGTAGTCAAGAGAGCCAAGTGGCATTTGGGTATCCGGTCACAAAGTAAACCCCATGATATTATGATGGAAGTGTATAGGGCAATGAAAGCATTGGATTATGAGTGGAAAGTTATTAATCCCTATCATGTTAGGGTGCGCCATAGGAATCCCTTACATGAGAGATTCGTGATGATGTCTCTGCAGTTATATCAGGTCAGTATTTTCACAATAAAAAATGGAAAATACAAAAATAAAAACAATGTGGGTTCGCTTTTTGTCTGTTTTATGTTTAATAAAAACTGGTTATTATTGTTTGATGAAGAAATTTATAGTTGGGGACTAATTATTTTGATTATCATGTTTATGTAAGGAGGTAATTGACTGCATTAACTATATTGATCGTTATCAAAGCAATACATAAAATATTCATAATGGTAGGAAAAACAAATATTACTTCTAGTTTTTTTGTTTTGTAAACAATTTTATAACAAGTTTCTGTTTATATGTATATTTATTCTATACTTGAAAAATAGTATGGTAAATACAAAAAACTAGAGGGCTAATTTAACATCTCAACAGTAATTAATTGTGGAAACCTCCTTAAGTAAGTTTGTTTTTTCTTTCTAATTTTTTAAAATTTCGTGGTGACATTATCAACATTTTTGCAAGGACACGTAAAATTGCAAAAATGTTGATGACACAAAATTTTGTAACGGAAAAACTCACTCTAAACGCACCGTATCATGCTTCTTTACATTTACTTTAACATTACGTATACTTATATCTTTATTTTAACTTATAAGGGTTTTCATAAAAAAAATAAAATTGCAAAATCAAATCTTATAATTCTTCGAAAAATCTGGATTTATTTACCTTCCACCAATTTTTTGATATCAGAGTCGTATCTTCATTTTATATGACAATTTTTCCTTTATTTTCCAACTCTTTCGATTTTATAATCATTCTTTTTTCAATTTTTCAAATTTTCAATATTTGATTTTTCTTTTATCGTAATTTTTGTATTTCGCAATTATCCGATTTTCCGATTTCTTTAATTTTCAATATTTAGATTTTACAATGTTCCGTTTTTTCGATTTTGCATTTTTTTGATTTTTTAAAAGTTTTTTAGTTCAGTTTTTGATTCGAAAATTGAGAAACTAAAAAATTGGAAACAGTTGCAAAATTGAGAAATTGGAAAGAAGAAAAAACAAATCGAATCGAAAAATTGGACAACCCAAAAATTGTAAAATCGAAAAATTACAGAATCGTCAAAATTGTAACAAAAAACTATAACATTGATAGATCGAAAAATTGAAAAATCGAATAAATGAAATTAAATTCTAAAATTCAATGATTGTAAATTGGAAGAATTCTAAAACTGAAACAGTGATTTTTTTTAATTATAATTATTATTACATTTTTTAAAATAAAAACTAGAAAAATTGAAACTCAAAATTAACGAAACGAAAAATCGAAAAATGTGAAGAACCGAAAACTTGAAACAGTTAAAAAAATAAGAAAACGAAAAATTGCAAATCGAAAAACTGAACAAATTGAAAATGAAAACTCGAAGGGTCCTAAAATTGAAGAAACAGGAAAATGAAAAACTGAAAAGTTGAAAAAACAAAAAAGTTATAAAATCGGAACATTGAAAATCGAAAAATTATAAACATAAAATAAAAAACTGGAACAAAAAATTGCAAATTAAAAAATTAAATTCGAAAAGTCGAGAAATTTTAAATCGAAAAATTGAAACATCCAAAAGTTGGAAAATCGAAAAACTGAAAAAATTAAAAATGAAAACTGGAAGAGTCATAAAATTGAAGAAAAGAAAAATGAAAAACTGCAAATTTGAAAAAAAAAAATTACAAAATCGGAATATTGAAAATCGAAAAATTATAAAAAGAAAGAAAATAAAAATTGAAACGAAAAATGCAAAATTTTAAAATTCAGAAGTTGGAAAAACTGAAAAATTTAAATTTAAAAACTCGAAAAATTGTGAAATTGAGAAACTGAAGAGACCAAAAAACATAAAAATTGAAGAATTAAAAAATCCGAGTCGAAAAAAGTGCGGGAGTATTATTTACGGGTTCTAGAGGTTATAAGAAAACAAAAATCGCAAAAAAATGGTATAAATTTTCAAAGAAGCGTGATTTGTTGGGCTGTACTTCAGAGGCGAGGGGAGTTCTGTCGAAAAAACGTTCGATCAATTTTGTTTTGTAAACAATTTCATAAGAAGTATCTGTTTATTTATCGATGACCTTCGTATTATTTATATACATATAGGTATATTTATTCTATACTTGAACAATTGTTTAGTAAAAAAAAAAAAAAATAGAGGGCTAATATAATGTTTCAACAGTAATTAACTTGTGGAAAGATCCTGAAGTAACTTTGTTTTTTCTTTCTAATTTTGTAAAATTTTGTTATGGAAAACTCACTTGAAACGCAGCCATAGCATGCTTCTGTACATCTACTTTAACATCACATACACATCTTTATTTTAACTTATAAGGGTTATCATAAAAAATAAAATTTGCAAAATCAAATCTAATTTTTCGATATCACAGTTGTTTTTTCATCCTCCTTATTTTTTCTATTTTTCCATTTTCAGTGTTTCAGGGTATTAATTTTTAATTTTTTCAACCTTTTTTTTATTTTTCGATATTACAATTTTTCATTTTTGATTTTCCAGTTTCTCAATCTTTCCGATTTTATGTCGCAATTTTTCGTGTTTTTATTACCTTTTATTTTTCACCGTTTCTTTCGATTTTAAAAGTTTTCGTTTTTAAATTCTTCAAATTTTCAATCTTCCATTTTTCAATTCCTCTATTTTCCAATTATAAAATTTTTCAACTTTGCAATTTTTGGATTTCGCAATTATCCGATTTTTCGATTTTTTAGATTTTTCAAGGTTTTCATTTTATTCTCATTCAGTTTTACAATTTTGCAATTTTTCCTATAAAAAAATTACACACCCAGACATTCAAAAATTAAAAATCGAAAAATTGGAAACTCAAATAAATGAAGGTTTTAAAGTACAATGATTCAAAAATGGAAAAATTCTAAAATCGTAAAACTGAAAAAGTGAAAAATTTAAAAAATTTCATTGCATTGCATATTTAAAATGAAAACTAGAAAAATTGAAAAAAATAAAGAAAACAAAAAAACGAAACGAAAAATTGGAAACTGAGAAATTGCAAATCGAAAAATTGCAAAATCTAAAAAAACTCAAAAGTTGGAAAATTGAAAAACTGAAAAATTTAAACTTAAAAACCCGAGAAATTGTGAAATCGAAAAATTTTTAAACTCAGAAGTTGGAAAATTGAAAAACTGAACAATTTTAATCTAAAAACTCGAAAAATTGTGAAATCGAAAAACTGAAGAGACCAAAAAAATGAAAAATTGAAGAATTAAAAAATCCGAGTCGAAAAAGTTACGGGATTATTATTTACGGGTTCTAGAGGTTATAAGAAAACAAAAATCGCAAAAATATGGTATAAATTTTAAAAGAAGCGGGATTTGTTGGGCTGTACTTCAGAGGCGCGGGGAGTTCTGTCGAAAAAACGTTGGACCAATTTTGTTTTGTAAATTTCATAAGAAGTATCTATTTATATATAGGTATATTTATTCTATACTTGAACAATTGTTTAGAGGGCTCATTTAATGTCTCAACACTAATTAACTTGTGGAAAGATCTTTAAGTAACTTTGTTTTGTCTTCCTAATTTTTTTAAATTTTGTTATGGGAAAACTCACTTGAAACGCAGCCATAGCATGCTTCTGTACATCAATTTTATTATCACATACACATCTTTATTTTAACTGATAAGTTATAAGGGTTTTCATAAAAAAAATTAAATTTGCAAAATCAAATCTTCCAATTTTTCGGAACGTGGATTTATTTACCTTCGACCAATTTTTTGATATTACAGTCGTTTTTTAATTCTCCTTATTTTTTCAATTTTTCCATTTTCACTGTTTCAGGCTCATAATTTTGTATTTTTTCAACATTAATTTTTTTTTTTTACTTCCCGAGCGTAAGCAAAGGAAGTATTGTAATCGAGTCCGTCGGCCGACTCTCTACTTTTACGTTTTCTCGATCTTTCATGACCCCTAGAAGACGAAGAAATAAGTCTCCCATTTCCGTCTGTCTGTCCGTCTGTCCGTCCGTCTGTCCGTCCGTCTGTCCGTCTGTTGTCCCAGATTTTTATTAGACAGATAATCTCCGAAAGTACTCGACCGATTGTTGTGAAATTTTGTACTTATATTAAGAATATCATGTAGATGGTAAAACGCTAACCAAAATTTGTCTAATCATCCCCACCACTAATGCGATGACGTTACTTCAAAATTGTACATAGTAAATGGGTTTTCAATTGTATAAAATAACACACATGTAGTTTACAACTCTGAATCGACTTTTCACCCGAAACGTCCAGATTTTTGGAAAAAAAATCAAAATTATAAAACAACATTTTGAAATTTAATTTTTAATCTGCTAACCAGAATGCTTTGAAATGTTGCAGATGTTTTAAGGCTATAAAGAGCATCATAAATCTTTAGTCAAAAAATATTTGCTTATCCCCTCCAAAAACTTGATGACTTCAGCTCAAAAGTTTGTGGAATAAATCATATCTAAAATGTACAAAATATGATGAGTCTGTACTTGTGATCTATCACTCCATTCATATTTTTTGGATTTGCATATACAGGGTGACTCAAAAAAATTAATGAATGCGTAAATCTATTTTATTGATTTAATCAGGAACTACAAAACGGAATGCTCTGACATCTTGCAGATGTTTTAAAGTTATAAAGAGCATAATAAATGTTTAGTCAAAATATATTTGCTTATCCCCTCCAAAAACTTGATGACGTCAGCTCGAAAATTTGCCGAATAAATCATATCTAAAATGTACAAAATATGATCAGTCTGTACTTGTGATCTATCACTCCATTCATATTTTTTGGATTTGCATATACAGGGTGATTCAAGAAAATAAATGAAAGCGTAAATTTATTTTACTGATTTACTCAGGAACTACAAAACCGAATGCTTCGAAATCTTGAAGATATTTTAAAATTATCATAAGCATGGTAAATTTTTGATCAAAACGTATTTGGTCGTCCCCCCTAAAAAATTTATGATGTCACCACAAAAGTTTGCCGAATAAATCGTATCTAAAATGTACAAAATATGATGAGTCTGTACTTGTGATTTATCATTCCAATCATATTTTTGGATTTGCATATGCAGGGTGACTCAAAAAAATTAATGAAGGCGTGAATTTATTTTATCGATTTAATCAGGAATTAGAAAACCGAATGCTTTGAAATCTTGGGAATATTTTAAAGTTATTATAAGCATGGTAAACTTTTGTTCAAAATGTATTTGTTCATCCCTCCTAAAAAAATTGATGACGTCACCCTTAAATTTTGCTGAATAAATCCTATCTAAAATGCAAAAAATATGATGAGTTTGCACTTGTGATTTATCATTCCATTCATATTTTTTAGATTTTCTTAAGAGGTGGTTCAAAAAAATTAATGAAGTCAATTTATTTTATTGATTAAATTAAAGGCAACACTTATTATTAGTATTACACCCCAACCAACCCAATTTGGTAGACACAAAATTTGTTAAAGGAAAAACTCGGTTGAAACATAAGGGTAGCACGCTTATTTACATCGACTTTAACATTACAGACCTGCATTTGTTTTATGCGCTCACTTGGTTCCGCGAATGCGAAATAGACATGTTTATAATCAACCAATTGTGAATTTCACCGTCAAGAATTAAAATAAAACCCAATGTTTTATATAATAAGCGGAAGTCGAAGCAATAAAACCGATGGTCGTTTTGTTTACAGTTTCTCTGTTTAACTCTCACGTATGGTGTTACGCCTGTCATCTTAAATTAAGAATGTTTATACATACACGATTTTCAGTTGCCTCTGATACGTATACGTGAGTAAATTGTTTCGTTATTTTATTGATTATTACAAATCAATATTCAAAACGACCCAATTCATTTTCCCGAAAATTTGAGAATATAATAGTTTTATTCTTAGTATTACACTACATCTATCCCAACTGATATACGTGTCCTTGCAAAAATGTTGATGACGTCATCGCAATTTTTTTTTAAATTCCCACTACAAAAATGTAATGAGAAAAAAAAAACACAATAGGCATGCAGTCGTCAAGTTTCCGACAGCGAGGGAAGTACTGTCTAAACTCTTTAGACCAATTTTTTTTTCGATATTACAGTTTTTCATTTTTCGGTTTTCCAGTTTCTGAATTTTTCCGATTTTATATCGCAATTTTTTGTGTTTTTATTACCTTTATTTTTCACCGTTTGTTTCGATTTTATAAGTTTTCGTTTTTAAATTCTTCAAATTTTCAATCTTCCATTTTTCAGTTCCTGTATTTTCTAATTATAAAATTTTTGGATTTCGCAATTTTTGGATTTTGCAATTATCCGATTTTTCGATTTTTTTAATTTTCAGTATTTAGATTTTACAATGTTTCCTTTTTTCGATTTTGCATTTTTTTTATTTTTCAAGGTTTCCATTTTATACTTTTTCGTTTTTTCATTTTTGATTTTTCAGTTTTACAATTTTGCAATTTTTCCAATAAAAAAATTACATACCCAGAAATTCAAAAATTAAAAATCGAAACATTGGAAACTCAAATAAATGAAAGTTTTATAAAGTCCAATAATTGAAAAATGGAAAAATTTTAAAAATTTCATTGTCATTTGCATATTTAAAATGAAAACTAGAAAAATTGAAAAAAATAAAGAAAATAAAAAAACTAAACGAAAAGTTGGAAACTGAGAAATTGCAAATCGAAAAATTGCAAAATCTAAACATTGAAACATCCAAAAGTTGGAAAATCGAAAAACTGAAAAATTTAAAAATGAAAATTCGAAGAGTCGTAAAATTGATAAGATAAGATAAAATTGACGAAATAAAAGAAAAATGAAAAACTGAAAAAGTGCAAATCGAAAAATTGAAGAAAGGAATAAGTATAGAAAACATTGATTAAATTGAAAAAACAAAAATTAATAAAATGGGAACATTGAAATATCGAAAAATGTTTTAAATAAAGAAAATAAACCGAAACGAAAAATTCGGAAATTCGAGAAATTTTAAATCGAAAAATTGCAAAATCTAAAAAAATTCAAAAGTTGGAAAATTGAAAAACTGAAAAATTTAAACTTAAAAACTCGAGAAATTGTGAAATCGAAAAACTGAAGAAACCAAAAAAATTAAAAATTGAGGAATTGAAAAATTCAAGTCAAAAAAAAATACGGGAGTGTTATTTACGCCTCTGGTTTAAGTTCACAGAAAACAAAAATCTCAAAAACAATTTATAATTTTTCAAACAAGGACTAATTTAATCTCAACAGCAACTAACTTGTGGAAACCTTAAGTAACTTTTTTCTTTATTTCTAGTTTTTTTTTTTTTTGCTTTCCTGTTTTGTGGTTGTTTTTTTTGCCCTTTTGAAATTATAAGTCTAAAATACAAGAAAGCACAATATTGATGTACATAATAATTCATATGTACAATTATAAATGCAAAATAAAAATTTTCAACAACAAAAAATACTAGATTGTCTCAAAAAATTGTTAATCAATTACTTAAACAATGACTGTGATACGACCTTGTTTGTGCTTCAATCACACGATTTTATATATTCGAAACGCTTATACAGGGTATTTTAAAAAATTGTGTATTTTATATTCCCGTTTAGGTGGATTATAAAAGCTACCTGCTGGACTTCAAAAGCTTGGTTAACGAAGAAGCAGAATCGAACAACGCACCTACTTCCATTATGGGATCAATGGCGACCCCTGTTCAAACGGGTAACGGCACCATCAACGCAAAACCAAAAGGTCACTACACAATGGAATTTTTCGAAATGTGTGCCGCTTTAATTATACAATTAGCACGTTAAGACAAAAATTACTTTATTTTTAATTCTGAAATTATTGGTATCTGTAATATAATAATCCAAAGGATTGTTTGTAAATTGTAGGTGTGTAGATTTTTAGTGATTTTACCAGTGATAACAATTAATTACTAAAAGAAAACGAAGGTATTACCGTACGCTTTTTAAAAGCGATTAATTTTTATTAGTTAGTTTTTTGGTGATATTTATATTGCTATACCATTCTATCAATGTATTTTTGTTGTGTATATAAAATATAAAATATCCAAACAAGAAGTTTTTTATTTATAAAACGCGTTATAACAAAACTAATATAATCTCTTTGTGGCAATATCCCGTCTGTAGTGTTCTTCCATGAGGTTAGTCTTCTCCATTCTGTCAGCTGCAATTTTCTCAATCTTCTCCAACAAATCTGGATAGGGGTGTATAGCTTTAACGAAATCTTTCCTATCCAGACGATACAATTCGCACGTTTCCACAGCAATAACCGACGCCACTCTAGTCGCCTCAGAATTAACCAAAGCGATCTCCCCAAAGTGGTCACCATCTTCCAAATGACAAACTTCCTTCCCCGACGCTGTATACACAGCTACCGTCCCAGTGGAAATAAAATACATGCAATTTCCAGTTGAGTTAGCTTTGACCACCACATCATTCGTTAAATAAATTTCAGACTTCAAACACGAAACAATCCTGACGAGCAAATTAAGCGGAAGATCTCTGAAAAATTCCACATTTTCCACAAGCTGCCTGCACGTCTGCATCACAATTTCCTGACGCAGCTGCCCAGAAATCGTGGCATAAATCTCGTTCTCTCTGAAATAGCTTTTCTGAAAATGAAACTCGTAATAAGTTAGAATTCTTTTCTGGGTATAAATCGGGAGCTGCTTGTGGCGCATGAATTCGACGAGTTGTTTAACCATTTGGGAGTATTTCATTTTCGGGCTTGTTTTGGCCCGCAGGAATTCGATGACCCGAGCTGAAACATGGTGTAATTTTCTGGAACGAAAGACATTTTTGTGAACCTAGAAGATAAATTTGGACGAATTTTGAGAGAAACCACAGGACTGTGGTCATCAAGTACTCGTAGTTGTTTTCGGGTTCTTCGACGCCGTAGGAAGCTGTGTAAATGAGGAGCGCCCCGTCGTACATGCTCCGGGATATGGCTTTAAAAGGTGTGGTGTTCCTGTAGGCGGCACTAAAAATAAATTTGTTCTGAAGCGTGTTCTAAAATTGTTTCGATTTATACAAGTTCTTTTTGTCATTGAATAGTAGATAGCCGAAGATTTGGGTACAGGATAAAATGTGCCAGAAAATTAGCATCGTAAGGACCATGAGGACTCCATGTCTGACGTAGAAGTCGACACCGAAAATCTACTTGATTTGTAAAAAAAGAGGAACAGAATAATAACTAATAACCATACGTTACAAAGTTTCGTCGCGAGAGTGTTGAAAGTGAAGAAGCGCACATATTTTATGGTTGAAAGTAGCTGCAATATAGTCAAAGCCCAGTTATTCTGGTCGTGTGCATAAGGCATGTTAACAAACAAGTCAAAATGGGTTGGAACAGAAGACAGAAAGTCTAACAAAAACCGCGTTCTCAAGTAGTGCCTGCAATTAAAAAATGAAGCTGTTTATTTTGAAAGTTAAAATTTGGATATACCCTATTATTTTCTGATGGTGAAGCACAACTTCTTTTTTCGATTCGTCGTAGTATCCAGTGGTTGCATTGACGCCAATATCCAGACAGCAAATGAGATCTGTTAACATTCTTATGGAAAGAAAGGGAATAGAGTGAAAAAATGGCATAGTTGTATTAAAAGCGAAAAACCCCACGTCCAGTGGTACCAGAATTAGTTGTATCAAGCAAATGAAAGTCATGAAGACCTCCCACCAAATCCTATCAATAAAACACCGTTAAATTATAATTTTTCACAAAAATTCAGTTACCGAGCGCTGCTAAAAGGGTGAATACTTGTCGGATGGTATCTTATATGGCGCTGTTTCTCTTTCTCGATGGCACCATGACTTCTTAAGTGGATAGCGCACGACTTGCAGATTTTTTCGTGGACGAGAATCGTCCTCATTGCTGATCTTTTAAATTTGACTATAAATGTATTTCCAGGGAACTTCTTTTCGACCTCGTCATCCTCGGCCAGCATTTCGCACTCATGGCCTAAGTTCGAAAACTTGTCCAAACATCAGAAAACCATAAACACAGCAGTTAATACTTACCACTTTATTGTACTTCGGTGCGGTCATTTTAAAACTCTGACTTCACGATATGTTTCACGAATTGTTGACGTTCTGAAAATTGTATTTTGAATTCCCTATGGCAACACGTTAACGCTAACTCGAAAAATTTATCCATCGCGCTAATTTCAAATTTCGCGCCATGTCGTCCTGGTAAAATTTGCGATACCAACCGCAACAATGCAGAAGTACCTGCGGGGCTTGTTATCTTGTTATTGTGTAGTTCCAAGATTTTATACAAATTTCTGATAAAACGACTGATAACCAGAAATAGATGTATTTTTGTTTGCTGCTTGTGCATCCTAATGTGTGAGGATAAGTTTGAAAAGATTTTTAATTTCCGTCGAACCACTTAACCAAGCATGTCGGAGCCCCACGTGAAAGTGCACACAGTTTTGGACAACAGGGTGTTCGATGTTCCTTACAGTCCGTCGACAACTGCCGAGGATATTTGTGTTTATGTTTGTAAACAACTGGGTATCTCGCCCATAACCAGGCACCTGTTTGCTCTGCGTATAACAGGCAAGCAAAATTTTTTACGTCCGTCGTCGCTGTTCACCGAAAAGTACACACAGTTCGATTTACGGATTCGTTTTAAAGTACCTATTGTGCATAAGTTGAGGAAGATTGATGAAAGGACGTATGATTATTATTTCCACCAAGCTCGGACTGATGTTCTTGAGAATAAAATTCCGGATATTGTTTATGAGAAGTATCGGCGCGAGTTGGTGGGGTTGGGGATTACGGATATGTATAGGGTGATGCTGGAGAAGGACATACCTAGAGAGACTGTCGAGAATGAGTACAAGAAATATATACCTAAAGAAGTTTTAAAAAGACACTCGTTTTTTATCAAGAAACCTATACATGATACGTTAGGCAAGCTCCAGAAATCCGTGCATGATGCCAAGTATGTTAAAGCGGAGTATTTGAAACAGTTGGATATTATAGCGCCTGAGTACCTGTCGGAAGTGTACAAAGCTGTGACCGATGAAGATGGGGCAGTTTGTTCTGTGTTTATTAAAACAACCCCAAATCATCCTACAGAGCCTGGAATTAAATATTGCATGGAATCAAAAAAAGAAGTAAGGGGTAACATTAGGGTATTTGTGTGTTTACACTGATTTTTACAGCAATGGATTCAAGTTTGTACCATAGAAGAACTTGGGTTTATTTCAATACGTGATGAAGACGGCACTGTTGAAATAAGTCGAAAAAACGGGATTCCGTTCTATTTGAAATTTAGTAACCTGCAGACTATGTTTTCATTTATCAGTCTCTTGGATGGCTACTACAGATTGACGTGCAAATGGACTTTTAATATTTGTAAAGATGTTCCAACCCCATCATTGCAAAAATTGTACTCTATGAAGTGTCATGGACCCGTTGGGTGAGTTGTATGAAAATTAAATTTAACGTGACTTTAGTTGACTAACTGATCTCGTGAGTCACCTATAAAGTCATACTAATTGTTTATTCATTTTATGGTGTTTGAATAATCGTCATTAATGACTAAACTGCAATGTAGCTAGTACTAACTAAAACTTGTCCATTCATCTCCTCCAAAAATTGATGACGTCACCTCGTTTATTTACCGGTTTTATACTAACCCACGCCTACTTTTACTATTATAAATATAAATAAATACAAAACTTTTTACTTGTATTTAGTATTGTAATCGAGTCCGTCGGCCCATTCTCTACTTTTACTTTGTCTCGACCTTTCACGACCCCTAGAATACGAAGAAATAGGTCTCCCTTTTCCGTCTGTCTGTCTGTTTTTATTAGACACAATCTCCGAAAGTACTGTCATAGATTAATATAGATGCGACATACAGGCTGATTTTGCAAAACCACCCTTGTTGACATTGGAGTCCTCAACCGTCAAAGACAAGCGCCAAATTTAAATAGTCTATGCCAATAAAAAAACTTGTTTTACTACAACTCGTCGCCTGAGAACTTGTTTGATCTAAGACCAGAGCGCGCTCAGGCCAATGTCGACTCTAAGCGTTCAGAAGCGATTTGGTTGGTTTGGACTATAGTTTCTGCGGGAAATTGGTCGGTTTTTATAACGACTAAATGAATATTTTTGGTACATATTTAGATGATTTTACATATTTTGTTTAACTAAGAATTAATTCTTTATTTGTGTTTTATACTAGCAAAACGTCTTAAACTAAGAATATTGTTGAAATCGTAATAACCCAATGGATTTTTTTCGGGAAAACGTTTTGAAAGCACTGTTCTATTTTGTATGGATTTTTAAATGTTTTTAGTGATAATTTTTGTGGTTGTTTTCGATACACTGTATGATATTAACAGTGAGAAAAAAAGTAAACAATTAAAATAATCGAAAATTCGAAAAATCGAGAAATCTAATAATCGAAAAATCGAAACCTTAAAAATCGTAAAACTGAAACATTGAAAAATCGAAATTTCGAAGAACTGAAAATCAAAAAATGAAACAGAAAATCGAACAAATGTAAAATTCAAAAATCTAAAATTTAAAAACCGAATAACGAAAAATCGAGAAATTGAAACTCCCAAATTTAAAAAATCGGATAACTGAAAAATCGAAACATCGAAAAACTGGAAAATCGAAAAACCGAGAAATCGAAAAATCAAAAGATCAAGAAATCGTGGAGCCCGAAAAGTCGAAAAGTTAAAAATTGAACAATTTATAAATCGAGTAATTGACAATCAAAACATCGAAAAATCCAAATCTCGATAAATCCAGAAATCAAAAAACTTAAAAATTCGAAAAATTGAGAGATTGAAAGATCAAAAGAGCCAGAAATCGAAAAGTAATAAAGTAAGTCGAAAAATCGACTGGAAAAACTGAGAAACCGAAATAAGCCAACATAAAAAATTGAAAAACTGATAACTTGAAAACCTGAACAATCAAATCTCGATAAATCGGGAATGAAAAATTAACAAATCGAAAAATTGAAAAACAGAACGTCTAAAACCAGGAAGTCGAAAATAGAAAGATTAAGAAATATTGAAAAATTAAAATATCAAAAGATTGAAAAATCTAAAATTTAAAAATCCAAAAATTGAAAAATCGAAAAAGTAAAAAAGTAGACACATCGAAAAACCCAGAAGTCAAAAATAGAAAAGCCGAAGAATTGAAATATTGAAAAATCCTAAAACCGAGATATCTAAAAACTGAAAAATCGAATAATCAAAAAAGTGAAGTCGAAAAATAGAAACCTTAAAAAATTGAACAATCAGAAACTCGAAAAATCAAAAAATTTAAGAATTGAAGAACAGGAAAATCGAAACACTCGAAGGTCAAGAAATGGGAAAATCAAAACATCGATTAATTGAAAAATCGAAAAATGAGAGTTTATGAAAAGTCAAATTTGAAAAATTAAAAAATCGAAAATTTGACAAAATGACAATTGAAAAACAGAAAAACTAAAACCGGGAAGTCGAAAAATCAAAAGATTAAGAAATCGAAACATTTGAAAAATTCTAAAACTTGAAAAATTCAAATATCGAAGAACTGAACTGAAAAATCGAGAAATCGAACAATCTAAAATTGTAAAAATTAAAAAATTAAAATTTAAAATCCAAAAATTGAAAAATCTAAAAAGTAAAATAATCGATATCGAAAAATCCAGGAATCAAAAATTGAAATGTCGAAGAATCGAAATATTGAAAAATCCCGAAACTGAGATATCGAAAAACTGAAAAATGAAAGATAAACTGAGAATCTAATAACCTGAAAAATCCAAAAACTGAGAACCTAAAAAGTCGAAAAATTGGCAATCGAAAAATCCAAAAAGTGAAGTCGAAAAATCGAAGCTTTAAAAAAAACTAAAACATGAAAAATCGAAAAATTAAAGAATTAAAGAACAGGAATATCAAAAGCCTCGAAAATCAAGAAATGGGAAAATCAAAACATCGATTAATTGTAAAATCGAAAAATTGACAGTTTATAAATGCCAAATTTGAAAAATTGAAAATTTGGAAAAACAACAATTGAAAAACAGAAAATCTAAAACCGGGAAGTCGAAAAATCGATAGATTAAGAAATCAAAACATTTGAAAAATTCGAAAACATGAAAAACGGAAATAGGGAAGAACTGAAATGAAAAATCGAGAAATCGAAAAATTTAAAATTTTAAATATTGAAAAATTAAAATATCAAAAACTGAAAAATCTAAAATTGAAAAAACAACAATTGAAAAATGGAAGAGCTGAAATGAAAAATCGAGAAATCGAAAAATCTAAAATTTTAAATATTGGAGAACAGAAATATTGAAAAATCCCAAAACTGAAATATCCAAAAACTGAGAACCTAAAGAATCGAAAAATTGAGAAATCGAAAAATCAAAAAAGTGAAGTCGATATATCGAAACCTTAAAAAAATCGAAAAATTGAAAAATCAAAAACCTGCAAAATCGTAAGATCGAAAAATTGAATAATAAGTAAACTGAAAAATCCCAAAATTGAAATGTCCAAAAACTGACAAATTAAAGAAATCGAAGAGTCGAAAAACCAAAAAATCGATTAATCGAGAAACTGAAAAATCGAAAAGTCGAGAAGTGGAAAAACCGAAAAATTGAGAAATTGAAACAGCCCAAACTCGAAAAATAAAAATTTTTAAAAATTAAGATTTGAAATTAAAAAAAAATCGAAAAATCAAGAAATTGAACAATCGAAATATCGAAATCTCGATAAAATGAGAAAGAGAAAAATTGAAAAACCCAAAAATTTAAAAAACAAAAAAATTGAAAAATCGAGAAATTTTAAAAACCACAGAATTGAAAAACCAAAAAATTCAAACGCGAGAAGTCTAAAATTCGGAACATCAAAAAACTGAAAACCCTAAAATTTAAAATTACGAAAAATTGAAAAACAGAAATATCGAGAAAAAAAATCTAAATTTTAAAGAGTGATAAATTAAAATATCGAAAAATTGAAGAACGAAAAATGGAAAAGTCGAGAAATCGAAACAACAAAAAATCGAAGAAAAAAATGAAAAATCGAAAAACTGAAAAATCGGAGAAATGTTGAAAAATCCCAAAACTGAAATATCGAAAAATTAAAAAATCTAAGAAAAAATGAAGAATAGAAAAATTGAAAAATCCAAAATTCGATAGATCGAAAAATTGGGAAATTGAAGAATCTAATATTTAAAAATGGAAAAATAAAAAAATCAAAACAGTAAAAAATCCAGAAATCGAAAAAATGAAAAATCGAAAATGTTAAAACGAGAAATCAAAAAATCGAAGAAAAATTGTAGAATCGAAAAATTGAAGAATTGAGAAAGTGAAAAATCGAGAAATCGAAAATTGAAACTGAAATATCGAAGAATTGAAAAATTGAAGAAGCGAAAAATTGAAAAATTTGGAAATCGAAACTTCAAAAAATTGAAAAACTGAAAAATTTATTCAATATCGAAAAATTCAAGATTGGAAACATTGAAGGATTCCAAGAGTATCGAAAATCGACGAAAAACTGATAAATCGAGAAATCGATTCGTCGAAAACATGAAAAATTGAAAAATCAAAAATGTAACAACGACAAATCAAAAATTCGAAGAAAAATTGAAGAATCGGAAAATTCAAAAATCTAAAAAGTGAAAAATCGAAAACTGAAAAATCCCAAAACTAAAATGTCCAAAACCTGAGAAATTAAAAAATTGAAAAATTGAGAAATCGAAAAATCAAAAAAGTGAAGTTGAAAAATCAATCAATTGAAAAATCGACAAATAAAGAGTTTATAAAAGTCAAAAACTGAAAAAGCGAAATATTTAGAAATCGTAAAATTTAAGAGAAAAACTGAAAACTGAGAAATTGACAAATTGAGAAATTGTAAAATCCAAAAATTGAAAAATAAATAGGAGTAAACTGAAAAGTTCCCAAACTAATCAAGTCGTATAAATCAAATCGTTTCCGAACGCTTAGAGTCGACATTGGCCTGAGTGCGCTCTGGTCTGCAGATCAAACAAGTTCTCAGACAACGAACTGTAATTCGTGTGACCTGAATTAAAGTGAAGGAAACAGTAAGCAGCTTGTAATATTCTGGTAAATCTAGTGTCAATTTTTTAGTTAGAAACAAACACTATTGCCAACATAAGTCGAGGAGTCCTCAACCGTCATTTAATTTAAACTATGACGCTTCTCTATGTTCTCTGGTACTGTTGTCAAATTTTGGATTATTAGAAATATCATGTAGATGGTAAAACCTGTGGTAAAACGCTAACCAAAATTTGTCTAATCATCCCCACCAATAATGTTATGACGTCACTTCAAAATTGTACATAGTAAATAAGTTTTAAATTGTATAAAATAACATAGTCGTCCTACACATGTAGTTTATGACTCCGTGTTGGATTTTCACCCGAAACGTCCAGATTTTTGGGAAAGAAAAATTAAAATTATAAAACATTTTGCAATTTAATTTTGAATCTGCAAAACCGAATGCTTTGAAATCATGCAGATGTTTTAAGGTTATGATAGGCATGATAATTTTTTATTCAAAATATATTCACTTATCCACTCCAAAAAATTGATGACGTCAGCTCAAAATTTTGCCGAATAAATCCTATCTAAAATATAGAAAATATGATGAGTCTGTACTTGTGATTTATCATTCCATATATAATTTTGTATTTGCTTATACAGGCTGACTCAAAAAAATTAATGAATGTGTGAACTTATTAATTGATTTAATCAGGAACTACAAAATCGAATGCTTTGAAATCTTGGAGATGTTTTAAAGTTATCATAGCAAGGCAAATTTTGTATCAAAATGTATTTGCTCATCCCCCCTAAAAAATTGATGACGTCACCTAAAAACTTTACCAAATAATTCTTATGTTTTTTGTTATTACAAATATTTAACAGTTTTAATTAAATAAGCAGTTAAAATACACTTTGTTTCGTAAACTAACAAGTATTTGTTACTTAATAAAGGTTTTCTTAAAATCTCAAAAAATTTAAGATTTCCTGTTGCGCCATCTTTGTGTTTAAATTTGAATTGGGCGACAACGCAGACTTCAAGAACATTAGAGAATTAATTCTATGAACACCATGCTAACATAATCTTAAAATTTTGAATACAGATTAGGACAAATAATTTTGTTGATAAGTTTTATGACAGTTTAATAAATTTATTTGATTGTTTGTACACTACTCCAAAATTTCTCGCTCTTTCTAACAAAACTAACATCAATCACTTCAAACATCTGAAAAGGGTAATTAAAAAAAAAACAAAACACGTTTCGTGTTTTAAAACACTCAGTATAGTAAAATTTGATTTTGCTGAACAAATCCTATCTTAAATGTATTTACAAGGTATGATTAGTCTATACTTGTGATTTATCACTGCATTTATATACATATTTTAGATTTGCTTATACAGGATGTCTTAAAAAAATTAATAACTGAGTCAATTTATTTTATTGTTTAAATCAAGAAGCGTAACTTTTCTAAGCATGGTAACTTTTTCATCAAAATGTATTTGTTTGTTCCCCCCAAAAAATTGACGACGTTATCTCAAAATTTTGCCGAATAAATTCAACTCAAAATGTGCAAAATATGATGAGTTTTTACTTGTGGTTCATCATTGCAATCATATTGTTATTGATCAAATTAAGAACGAGTCACCACATTTTCCCGAAAATGTGAAAATACAAACGTCTTTATTTAATAAGAATTATAATAATGATATTCAGAATATTGTATCGATTGTAGCTTACTACTTAATAGTTTTGATCCTCTGTTTTGGGGAACTCATTCAAATCAAACTAATTTCTACGTGACATTCTTCCGTTGTATAAACATAAACACTTTCAAGTTGTCATGTTAGATACATATTTTTATTATAGCTTGTAATGGTTGTCATTAAAAAAATAAAATTCGCAAAATCAAATCTTTTTATTTTTCAAAAGAGCTGGATTTGATAAGGTGTACTTTATGGCGGAGGGACGTTCTGTCGAAGTGATCTTCGACCAATTTTTTAATTCTTAATTTTGACCACAGAGGCGAATTTTCGTATGCCAAATTAGAAGAAAAACGCAGTAACCGTCCAGGATGTTTTATAATTAGAGAGAGCGCTGTAAAGTACAACGACTATTACATTGATGTTTGTACAAAAGATAGGTAAGTCGCATCTCATATGTAAAAATGTGATCTATTTGAAATCTTGTAGTTTAAAACCGAAAACGTACAAATTGGAAAGAATAAGCGGCGACGAATTTATTTTTAACGACGATTTAACAAGGTACAAAAGTATTCCACAACTGGTAGCTGCGTATAATGATCCTAATGGTGCTATTTTCCTACAAGAGTGTCTACCGCCTTCAGAATATGGTACATAATACCGTAATAAATAGCGCAATTTAAATAATCGTGAAACTTTTTCCAGATACTTCTCCCTTATTGTTGTGCCAGAGTGATAATCTTCCGGGAGATTCCGTCACGGATACTTCAGCTGTGAACAATCTTATGCCTTCAGCGCCTATGTGCATCAACTGCAAAAATTTACAAGTTTTCAAAGGTAAGACAATTGCTGTTTTGACAGCAGTGACGTTTAAAACGTACAATGTTGTTGTATTTGATTCTTGCGATTATTTTTGCACGCGTTGTCAGTCAGGACGAAGAAGACGGTAATTTTACCGACTTAACACGATGTAAATTAAGTCACTTAGGCTTAGAGTACTTAGGTGACATCGCTAAAACCGAATCGTGGATTAGATGTCAGTCGTGGACATCAAATAGCCCTCACGCTATCCCCGCCACCATAATAGATGATAATTTCCCCGAACACTCCCGAAAAAAAGCCAAAAACTATTGCAGAAACCCCACTAAGGATCCCAATGGGCCGTGGTGCTACTCGATGAGTTTGGACCTAAAATACGACACTTGTGGCATCCCGTTATGTTCGGTAACCGACTGTAAAATCACGGGTCCTGGTATGGAATATGCTGGTGACTACAAAAAAGGCCTATCAGGTTTTATAACGTATTTATTAGACACAGTTAAAATAGTTACCTTTAGACAGAAAATGTTTAAAGTGGAACAAAGACCGAAGCAAAGTTAAAGATAAAGGAGAATACGTGTCGTACGACAAGTTCAAGAAAACCCGTTTCCCTGAAGGCGACGTATCAAAAGCGAAAAAATATTGCAGAAACCCTAATGGTGACGTCGGAGGCCCGTGGTGTTTCGTAGAAAACGAAGATACCGACGAGATTGAAAAAGAGTACTGTGATATTCCGTTTTGTCAAATTTCAGATTGTGAAGTGTTTACTAGAAATACCCCAAATTATACTCATTTCACGGATTTTAATAACACTTTGTCACAATTTAGTTTCGGGGTGAAACTATGGGACTCCGACGCGTACTCAAACGCGAATGCCACTTTAACACTATCGGTGGTAGCTTTACCCGTGACGGGCCAAGAAATGCGGGATTTGGGTACAGGCCTTGAAATTTTTCTTTCAAATAAAGGCAGTGCCCTAACTTTCGGAAACAAAGACACACCGGAGTATGAGGACACCCCCGGTATTTTAAAATCGACGAGTTTTACAATGTTCACGTTGTCGTGGACGGCCCCTTTTATCACTCTATCGTACGAAGGCCAAATCAAACCCATCTTTTTAGCCGAGTACAGAACAAAAAAAAACTTACTCGGTGAACGCAAAAACAAGTTCAATTTTTACTCAGCTCGGGGTACTAAAGTCATGTGGACTTTCCCGTTTTGTATGGACGATTTTGGTTGTGACGTCCAAACTACCACGGGACCTCAATGGCAGCAGTTCTGGCCTTTGCAAAGTAGCGAAGTTGGACAAGAACTAACATTTCAGTTGCGGGCGTTTCATTCAGCGTATTTGCTTTTTGTACCAAGTCCGGCCGTAGATTACCCCAGTGTTAAATTCATGCTTCAACATGATAACCAAATGTCGCGAATTACGGTTAATGTTAATAAAAACTCCGAAGTTGTGGTTAAAGAATTGGAACTACCTGCGATTCTGGACTATTGGAATTGGCACGAATTCTCGATTGCTTTTTTTGCCGACACCATGCAGTTCTACTGGACGAAAACTGAAGGCACGAATATGATTTTTGAAATACAGCATGTGTTATTCAAGAACGTGCTTTGGTTTTCGCCGAGTTCTAATTCTATAGCTCATTGGACCTTCTTTTGTGTGCCACCGGAAGTTTCGAAGCCACCGGCGCCTCTTTTGCCTGAATGTGCGCTAAATAGGGAAGAAGGGGACTATAAAGGGACTCAGGATGTTACGAGTGAGGGAATGCCGTGTTTGCCGTGGTCCAGTACTAAAATGGTACCCGAAGAAGGTAATGATTTTCCGGAAAATAGTTCTTTAAAAGCGTGGAATTACTGTCGTGATCCTTCCCAAGAAAAAAGAGGGACTTATTGCTACACGTTCAACAGATACAAAACAATCGAAAAGAGTTACTGCCATCTTAGAAAATGCAAATCTGAAGATTGCAAAATGGCGGGCTCTGGTAATGATTATGTAGGGACTTTGTCTACAACGCGTTCGAATAGATCATGTGAATATTGGTTTTCAAATACGACTGTTCACCCGGTGGAACAACAGTACTTAAGTGAAACACTATATGCTGACCTTTTTCTTAATTATACAGAGAATCATTGCCGAAATCCAGCGCGCGATATGGGTGGTAGTTGGTGCTATACAAACGACGCGGATGTTGATAAAGACATGTGTAACGTCAGAGATTGTGACAGACCTGAGGAAAATATCATTATTCTTGGAGGGGCCACGGCAGGCCGGAAAATCTATATACTTCCGCAGTGGAAAATCACCGGTCTCGAATTTGGAATAAAACAGTGGAACCCAGATGTTACCGAAGGTATACAATTTAATTTTTACCCCAGACAAGGAAATAACAAGTTCGAGCTAGTTATGGCAGCGAATGGCAACGAGAAGATGTTTCTTTACTACAAAAACAACATCATAAAACAGAAAACTCTCATTCATTTGATAGGGTCAGGGAAATGGACTGATTTTTGGTTACTAATGCGAAAAGGTGAAATCTCGATAGGTTTCAAAGGAGTACCTAATAGCTTCTTCGAATACATCAGTGACGAAGTTTTCGACCCCATGTTTCTATCTTTCGGGACAGTAGAAGGTAACCCGATTGGGTTTTTTCTTCAAAGTGACCAGTGTTACACCGAGAACGTTACCTCCAGCGATTTCACCAAAACAATGCCCATTGGTTTATGGTCCACCACACAGAACCCCATCTATCGCAATTTTAGTCTCCTGATTCGCGGAGACGGAATCGTCGTACTACCTCTAATGACCCTCCCGAGCATCCTACTCCCCTACAACCTGAAAATCGACTCAAGAAAGAAAGAAATTTCCATAAGTCACGATAACAACGTTTTGGAAAGACACCCCGTGAATGAAGGTGTATTCACTCACGATAAGTGGAGCCACTTTCTGATCAGCTTCAACGAAAACTACTTGAACGTTACTAAAGAAAACCAGACAGTGTTTATGTTTTACAGTATGAAACCGCTTCTCTTCTACTGGTTTTCTTTCGGGGTCGAGGCTGGATGGGCCATTTGGAGTGTTAATTGTGAAGAGTTGGACCTCGATGGGCCTCCGAGAGATGGCGGGTGGTCTGCTTGGTCACCATGGCATTGTACGGTCAAATGTGGAGGGGGTGAAGGTTTTCGTACCCGGAATTGCACGAACCCGAAACCCAACATCTGGGGTAGATTGTGTCCAGGGTCACACAAGGCCACTGGAATTTGTAACGATTTTGTGTGTGGGGACGTGAGTCCCACAACTTTGGAAAAAATCAGAGGGAGGTTGCAAACGCATCAGTTTAGTTTTGTCGTCAACGAAGGAAAATCGTTGGTTTTGGAAAACGACCACGAAATGTTGAAAATTATTGTGAAAGAGTCACCAGACGCATATTACGAGTGGACATTAAATGGGGTTTTTATTCACCCGGAGGAAAATCGGGTCGTTCATCAAGGAGACGATTTGGTTGTTAGAAATGTAGACGTCGGGGATTCCGGTGTATATGTTTGCATGCTCTATCGAGTCAATAAAAAAAGAGTCGTGTTAAAAGTGATTTCGGTGGCTGTAGTTAGTGAAGATTACACTATCAAAACTCGAGCCACTAGATCGACCACAATATCTTGTAAATCCGTCGTTTTGGGTTATATTTATTCCGATTTGAGTCTGAAGTTGTATTTGAATGACGAAGTGTACAAAGATTTTGGGACGACGATGTTAGCGGCGGTAAATTCTGAGTTTTTTGACAATTTGAACATGTCGCACACTGGAGATTGGAAATGTGTCGTAGAACAAAAAGATTTGAAGCTTTCGTGGGTTACCAATTATCTACGGATGGAAGTGAAGAAGGCCCCCAACTTTTACACAAATCTGATGGAAGATAACCTCACGAGACCTCTTTTCGGTTGGCTGTCCACAGAAGAAAACGTTTTTTATGCGCTGGTTGCCATTGTAGTGTTCGTTGTTATTTCAGTGGTGTTATTTTTGATCATGTATTTTAAGTTTTGCACTCTGAAATCACGATGGCAATAAAGTGTTTTAACACCTTGTGTTTATTTATTTTGTCAGGTCAGAAAAAAGATGGTTCTAGAGGCATCACTATGACTTACAGAAGCATGTGGAAAATTACAAAGGGCAAAAAGATTGAAGTCGCAATGAAAGTTTTAAAACAGGAAGTGTGTGAAAAATACTCAAAGGTACGTAGTTAGAATAGTGAAAAATAATTTATCATTAATCGTACGTTTTAACTTAGGAATTTCTTGAACTCGCCGGTCAATACGCGTATCTTCAGTCAAGTGCCATTGTTCGTCTTTTTGGGATTACTTTATCAAGTAACGTTTCGCTTGTTTTGGAATATTTTCGGTTAGGGCCTTTGGATGAATATTTACAGGACAATAAAGGCCTTATGAAGAAAGTTGATTTGATTGAAGCAGCTAGCAATCTCGCCACAGCTCTGTGGCATTTGGTAAGTTATTCATAAAGTTTTATACTAAAGCAACTGATTTTTAAAATGTAGAAAGAAAATGGGATCGTTCATGGCAATATTCGGTGCCGGAAACTGATGGTTAGTGTACATGACGAAAATTCGTTCACGGTGAAATTGACTGATCCAGGAATTCACATTTCATATGCATCTAAAGAGTAAGTACAATAATTGACTTTATTAAATAATTTAAGTCTTTCGACGATGATTAATTTCATTCTTCAGTAAACTTATTTTAACGCATTGTCAGTAAAAATAACTATTAGCCTCAATTTATTGCTTTCTGAGCTACCGGAGTATGGCATTCGAGTCCATCGGGCGACTTGCCAATTTTTTTTTCTCGGCGTTTCATGACCCCTAGAGTACGAGTCTATCTATCTGTCTCTTTGTCTATCTATTTATTTGTATGTCTGTCGTCTGCAAGGAGGGTAGAATAAGAACGGAGGGATTGGTTGCATAGAATAGGAGTCAAATTTGGGATCTTCAATACCATAAATATGTTCACCGTTGGCTCAGACAAACAAATGTGAACTTAAATAACACGATGACAATATTTAAATTTTAATTAAAAAAAATTCAATGCCGCTAATAATATTTCTTTAAAAAGAATACAGGGGAATTTGTTATTACACCAACCTTGTTTTATTCTTATGTCAATTATGTTTAGTGAATGGATAATATGAATCCGTCTAGAGTTTCACCCTAGACATCCAAATTTTTGGAAAAATAAAAATTAAAATTTATTCGTTCATCCTCTTCCAAAAAATCGATGACGTCATCTCAAAATTTTACCGAATAAATGCTCTCTGCAATATGCAAAATATCATGACTATACGTTTATCAATGCACCTCATAGTTTTTAGACTTACGTACACAGAGTGACTCAAAATAATTATTGAATGAGACGATTTATTTTATTAATTAAATCAAGAATGACTCACTCCCTTTTCCCGAAAATTTGAGAATGCAGTGCTGTTATTATTAGTACATATATAATCATACATTTTGCCTTTTTTTCTTAATATGTGTAGTCATCTTTTTACAACAAGAAACTTAATCATGTTTAAAATGGTAAATTTGCATTTTTTGTCTTTTGGTTTTCTTTTTTGATTAATACATTTATTAGTTTTCTTTTACAACACGATTCCTTAAAAACATATTTCACATGGTAATTTCTAGTAGAAAAATAAGTAAGTGTCTCAATTGTGATGATTTTTTTTTATTCACCTTTAACCAAGGGGGTGGAGCTTAACTGCAAAATACTTACTCTTTACAAAAATTAAAAACATGTTTTTGTGTATTGTATTGTTCAAGGAATACTCTACATATTAAGAAAAAATGCGAAAATATTGACCCCACGCACCCACCCCATCTCGATTGTGTGTTTTTTCATTCGTAGAAACCTAAAACACGATTAAAATGGTAAATTTTTGTAGACAAATATGGATCAATTAAGCAATTAAGCCCCGCCCTTCGTTCGGACAACGAATGAAAAATTCATCACAGTTGAGAATTGAGATCGGGGCGGGTATGGGTGGGGCCTAGTATTTGTCTTTATTTTTTTTCTTAATATACGTAGTATTCTTTGAACAACACGGTACTGAGAAACCTGTTTTTAATTTTTCGTAGAGAAATAAGGGTTTTGCAATTAAGCTCTGTCCCCTTGGCTCACGACGAATAAAAAAAATCATCAGAATTGCGATAAGGCGGGTGGGCCTTTTTTCCTTAATATACATAGCCATCTTTTCACGACAAGAAACTTAAAATATGGTTAAAATGGTACATTTTTGCAAGGAAATATGGATTTTGTAATTATGGGACGGAGCCTAATTGCACAATTAATATTTCCTTATTATACAAATTTTCCATTTTAAACATGTTTGAAGTTTCATGTTGTGAAAGGAAGTCTACATACATTAATACAAAAAGACAAAATTTACTTTACAAGAAATTAAAATCACGTTTTTGAGTATCGTGTTTTACAAAGAATACTGTGTATATTAAGAAAAAAAAAGGCAAAATATAAGCCCCGCCCACCCACCCCATCTCGATTGTAAAGATTTTTTTATTCTTAGAAACTTAAAACATGTTTAAAATGGTCATTTCTCGTAGAAAAACAAGTATTTTACAATTAAGCTGCGCCCCTCGGCTTACGACGAATAAAAAAATTCATCAGAATCGAGATTGGGTGGGTAGGCGGGGCTTATATTTTGTCCATTTTGTCTTAATATACATAGCCATTTTTTCACAACAAAAAAATGCAAAATCGACTAATTTTTTGATATCACAATTTTTCTTCGATTTCACACTTTTTTTATTTTCTTTAATTTTTCAAGTCTTCAGTTTCTCAACTTCCAAAATTTTTCGGTATTATAATTTTTCATTTGTTGATTTTTCAGTTTCTCAATTTTTAATTTTTCGACCTTTCAGTTTTTCGTTTCCTCAATTTTTCAAGTTCTTGATTTTTTTCATTTTTTGTTTTGTAATTTTCATTTATTTGATTTTATATCACAATTTTTTGTTTTTTCATTTCCTTAATTATTTCAATGTTTCTTTCGATTTTAAAATTTTTCGTTTATTCAATTCTGCAAATTTTGAATCTTTGATTTTCCGATTTTTTAATTTTTCAGTTTTGCAATTTTTGGATTTCTTAATTATTTAATTTTCAATGTTTCGACTTAACAATACTTCGTGTTTTGTACATTTTCGATTTTTAACTTTTCCAATTTTTAATCGTTCGGCTTTTCAATTTTTCAATGTCTTAATTTCCGGTTTTTAGATTTTTCATAGTTTTTATTTTATACTTTTTCGTTTTTTCATATTTTTTATTCGGAAAATTGAAAAATCGAAAAAGTGTAAATCGAAAAACTGCAAATCGAAGAACTGAAGGAACGAAAATTCGAAACATTACAAAAATTAAAAATCGAGAAACTTGAAAATTGAAAAAAAAAAATTAATCAAAAAATTGGAAAGTAGAAAAAACGAATCGAATCGAAAAATTGGACAACCCAAAAATTGTAAAATGAAAAAATTATGCAAACGTCAAAATTGTAAAGTCGAAAAATTAAAAAATTAAAAATCGAAAAATTGAAAAATCGAATAAATGAGAAAGTTTTAAAATTCAAGAATTGAAAAAATTCTAAAATCGTAAAATCAACAATGTGGAAAACTTTAAAAATTATGATTACATATTATTAGAAAGATATTTAAACTGAAAACTAGAAAACTCAAAATTTAAAAGAAGAAACGAAAAATTAAAAAATTTGAAAGTTGAAAAATTGAAAACTGAAGAATTACAAATCGAAATATTGAAAACTTTTATGTTATGTATTTTTTTAAATGAAAGTTACAGAATGGAGGATATATCCTTTAAACACTCATTACGAATTGAATTAATTGAAAGTAACGGAATTGATTTCTTTTTTGAAAATTGAAAATAAAAGAAAAATTATAAAATCAGAACATTGTAAGGCCAAACAATTGAAAAAATAAAGAAAATAAAAAACCGAAACGAAAAATTGCAAATCGTAAAATTGAAGACACCAAAAATTGGAACAAACAAAAAATTATAAAATCGAAACATTGGAAAATCCAAAAATTGTAGAAATAAAGAAAATGCGAACTAAAACCAAAATTTGCAAATCGAAATTTTCAAGAAATGTAAAATTAAATAATTGAAAAATTTAAACATTTAAAATTGAAAACTCGAAAAATTAAAGGAATAAAAAATTGAAAAAATTATTTCGAAACATCGAAAAATCGAATAATTAAAAAAATAAGGTGAATAAAAACCGAAATAAAAAATCAATTTCGATTTTTTTTTATTACAAGTTTTAATCTGATAATATATCTCTGTTTACTCAGCACTTCATGGAAAAGGGAAAATTAAACAGTTCATTTAAAATAAAAAATATTTATTTACAACTAATATAATACTGTACAAATAAATCACAGTCTTACAACTAAGTATAACTATTACAAAACTATCACAATTAAACCCAATAATGACTGCATTAAACAATAAAAAAGTTCAAGCAATCGAATATTAAATATTAAAAAAATAAACAAGTAATTTTTATAAATGACAACGCTTAATCAACTTCTTCGATTGTTGGTCCACCTTGTTTCTGGCCTCCGAAACCGCCTGCTTGTTGTCCACAACTTCCAGGAGCCCCTGTGCCTTGCCCTTGGTACAACTTCGCCATAATTGGGCTGCAAATCGCCGTCAGCTGCTTTTGTTTGTCTTCGTACTCTTCCTTCTCGGCTAGAGTGTTGGAATCCAGCCATTGCAAGCAGCTGTCACACTCTCTAGTCGCAGTCTCCTTATCCGAAGCCGATAGTTTGTCCCCTTGTTCAGATATAGCTTGTTTCACCTGGAAAATGTAACCTTCCAGTTGATTCCTAGCGGTTATCTTCTGCTTTTGTTTCTCGTCCTCTTCTTTATATTGTTCTGCTTCGGCGACCATTCTGTCGATGTCTTTCTGAGACAATCTCCCTTTGTCATTCTTGATGGTGATGTTGCGGGAGTTGCCCGAGCTGGTGTCTTTGGCGGAAACGTTAAGTATGCCGTTAGCGTCCAAGTCGAAAGTGACTTCGATTTTCGGTACTCCACGAGGAGCCGGAGGAATTCCAGTCAAGTCGAAAGTTCCTAGAAGATTATTGTCTTTGGTCATCGCCCTCTCACCCTCAAAGACCTGAATGGTAACAGCCGGTTGATTGTCGGAATAAGTAGTAAATGTTTGAGCTTGTTTGCACGGAATTCTTGTGTTGCGTTCGATGATTTTCGACATCACACCTCCAGCTGTTTCAATACCAAGGGAAAGTGGAGCGACGTCGACTAACAGCACGTCTTGAATCTTCGAATCGGTTTCACCGCTGAGTACAGCTGCTTGGACAGCGGCACCATAGGCGACTGCTTCGTCTGGATTGATTGAGAGATTCAATGCTTTACCGTTAAAATAGTTCTGAAGGAGGTGTTGGATTTTGGGAATTCGGGTAGACCCTCCAACCAGAACAATGTCGTGGATCATCCCTTTGTCCATTTTTGCGTCATTGAGGGCTTTTTCGACCGGCTGCAGCGTCCCTCTAAAGAGATCGGCGTTGAGTTCTTCGAATCTGGCTCTGCTGACTTTAGTGTAGAAGTCGATGCCGTCGAAGAGGGCGTCGATTTCAATACTAGCTTCAGTGCTTGAAGACAGAGTACGTTTTGCTCTTTCAGCTGCTGTTCGTAGTCGTCGGAGAGCCCTCGGGTTGCTTCTCAAATCCTTCTTATATTTCCGCTTGAATTCGTCCGATAGGTGGTTAACTAGTCGGTTGTCGAAGTCTTCGCCACCTAGGTGGGTGTCACCTGCAGTGGATTTAACTTCAAACAGCGACCCTTCGTCGATAGTCAAAATGGAAACGTCGAAAGTGCCGCCACCCAGGTCGAAAATCAAAACGTTCCTCTCGCCTTTCAAGTTTTTGTCTAAACCATAAGCCAAAGCCGCCGCTGTGGGTTCGTTGATTATCCTCATCACATTCAACCCGGCGATGGCGCCGGCGTCTTTGGTGGCCTGTCTTTGCGAATCATTGAAATATGCAGGCACAGTGATAACAGCATCCCTGATCGACGTCCCCAAGTAGGCCTCCGCCGTTTCCTTCATTTTCGTCAAAACCATAGAGCTGATTTCTTCAGGTGCGAATCTTTTCAGTTCGCCTTTGTACTCGACCTGGATTTTCGGCTTGCCTGAATCGCTGATGACTTTGAAAGGCCAGTGCTTCAGGTCTTGTTGTATTTTGTCGTCGTCGTATTTTCGCCCGATTAGTCGCTTGGCGTCGAAGACTGTGTTGCTGGGGTTCATCGCCACCTGGTTCTTGGCGGCGTCTCCGAGGAGACGCTCGGTCTCGGTGAAGGCGACATAGCTGGGGGTCGTTCTGTTACCTTGGTCGTTTGCGATGATTTCCACTTTTCCGTGTTGCCATACTCCGACGCAGGAGTAGGTTGTGCCCAAGTCGATACCAACTGCCGGAGCTTTCACCATTTTGTCGTGTTTGTTTTCGTTCACTTGGAGAAAAATTCACTGGTTTGCACTGTTTAAAGTCGCTATGAACTTTTGTGTTGCTTGTTTGTACTTCGCTTGTGTTCAAATGACTGAAGTGTGGCGCCGAATGCGCGGCTTATATATGAATCGGTGAATTCGTCTCGAGTCGACGCGAATGTTCTCGAAGCGTATGAGTCAATACTCGGTGGTTCTGGAATATTTCGTGTTTGACAACAGAATTATTAGTTGTTATTAAATATTAAGGATGGTGATGTTTTTGCGGCATAATCGGCTAATGCTGTTTTTTATGACTATGTGGGCAGTAATAACGAAAAGTTAATTTTATTGTAATGAAATAATAATAATAATAAAACGATTTTTCGTAAAATAAAAAAAATCAACGCACTTTTTTTTGTGTGTGAAAAGTCTATAATAAAAAAAGCGTTTCCTAAAATTTGTATTGCAACAATTTAAATAATGTCAAATTTAAGAACGCTAGAAAATTCTAGAAAGTGCGATTTTGCGGTAACACGACTGAACTTTTGTGGATAATTCGCACACTCTGACCGAATATTCGCGAAGATTGAATTTGCTGTAATCAGAATTATCGAACAATAATTGTGATGATAAATATATTTTTAAGTTTTTCATGGAAAACTCTGGTTAATAACGGTTAAACTATTCTTTATTAAATATTGTGTTAATTAAAAGCATTTGCAAACCTATTTACAATTGCGTAAGCAAATATTACGTGGAGGCCGTTTCACACGTAATTGCCCTGGAGTGCCGCCGAATTTTCTGGAAACGTTCGCCGCAAACAGTCATATTTACCATTGATTTTCGTGTTTTTATGCATATAAAATATTCATGAAAACATTCAACTCTTTGCTTTTGATGTTATAATTGCCTGTCGCGAAAAAAAGTGATTTATGCTGGTATATATTTTTTTTATTAGCAAAATGGCAAGTTGGATTCATTTGAATTTTTATAGAAATAAACAAGAAATCTTTTTCGTTATTTTTAAGTATGCAATATTTACAATGTGCATTGAAGGTTACATCCGACCTTGTCTTTTATGCTGGTTTTTCAAGCAATTTCCGGAAGCGGAAACATGCAAATTTAGACCGGAATGTTCTGGAACTTTCTTTGTGTGAATCATTTGTCAAGGTGTCGTGTTTAAAATAATTTTTATAATGTAAAATATGTATAATAGGAAGGTCATAAACATATTTTTTTTCGTTTCATGTTTTCTCGATGTTTCATAACTCCTACAGTAGGAAAAAATAGGTTTCACGTTTCTGTATGTCTCCCTATCTACCGTCTCTGTCGATTTTTATTAGACAGACAATATCCGAAATTACCGGACCGAATACCACGTAGACGGTAAAACGCTGACCAAAATTTGTCTAAAACCAGTTTTTACAAAAAAAAAGTATCACAACATTTTGTAATTTAACTTTGAAATTTTGCAACCGTTTTAAAGTTTTCGAAAGCGTGGTAAACTGTTAATCAAAATTTATCCATTCATGACTTGTAGTGTGAATTCATACACCATGTTGCATTTTTATCCTAGACATCGAGATTTTTGGAAAAAAATTAAAATTGCATAAACATTTTTCGGCTTCTCAATTTTTCGAAATTTCAGTTTTGGGATTTTTGATTCAATTTTTCGATTTTTCAAATTTTTGTTTTTCTTTTTTTTTTATTTTTCAGTTTTCCGATATTTTCGTATTACAATTTTCCAGTTTTTTGGTTGTTTAGTATTTCCATTCCTCACTTTTGCGAATTTAAAATTTTTCGATTTCTCAAATTTTCAATTTTTGGTGTTTCTAAATTATCGATTAATCGATTTTTCGAGTTTTCGACTTTTTTTATTGTTCGTATTTCTCAATTTCTCGACTTTTCGGTGTTTAGATTTCCAGATTTTTCGATTTTGTAGTTTTTCAGTTTTCAATTTTTCAGGTTTTTGATTTTTAAATTTTTTGATTTATTAAATTTTCGATTTTTCGACTTTTCGATTTTCAATTGTTCGATATTTTGATGTTTCGATTTTTGTTCTTCAATTTCTCCATATTTTTAATTTTCGATTTCTCGATGTTGATGCCCTTCGGTTTTTCTGTTTTTTTGATTTTTTGATGTTTGAAATTTTAGATTTTTCGATTTTAAATTTTTTTCAATTTTCTGAGGTTTCGATTTTGGGTTGTTTCGATTTCTCGGTTTTTCAATTTTTTGCTTCTACAATCTTTTGATTTTTCAGTTATCCGATTTTTCAAATGTTGGTGTTTCGATGTTCCAGTTTCTCAAATTTTTATTTTTCGTTTGGGCCATTTCGAGTTCTCGATTTTTCATGTTTCGATTTATCGATGATGGAATTTTTGTCAATTATTCGATTTTTAAATTTCGTCCTTTTGATTTTAGATTTTTGGATTTTCCATTTTTTCGATGTTTCGATTTTTCAATTATTCGACATTCCAGTTTTTGGATTTTTCAGTTTATCTATTTTTTGATTCTTCAATTTTTCAATTTATTGTTTTTACTTCCCGAGCGTAAGCTAAGGAAGTATAGTAATCGAGTCCATCGGACGAAGTGCCACTTTTATATTTTCTGGATGTTTCATGACCCCTATAGTACGAAAAAAGTGGTCTCCTGTTTCCGTCTGTCTGGTGTTTATCCATTTTTATTAGACAAGTATTCTCCGAAACTGCTGGACCGATTGTTGTCAAATTTTGTATGTACATATATTAGAAATATCATGTAGATGGTTAAATACTACCCAAAATTTGGATAATCATCCCCACCAACAATTTGATGACGCCATTTCATTGAATTGTATTTTAAAATAATTTTAATGTTACATAAAAAGATACTTAATTCAGATCATTTTGTTCGATTGTGGTTTAATTCAGATCAAACTAATTTCTACGTGACTATTCTTTCGATGTATAAACATAAATAAACACTCGAGAATGCAGGATATGTTTGTTGTACTTTAGGAGCGAGGGAAGTTCTGTCGAAACAACTTTCGACTAATCTTTTTCTTTTGCAGTTTTTCAAATTTTGGATGTTGCGATTTTTCGACTTTCAGGTTTTAGATTTTTCAATTTTCCAAATTAAAATTTTTCGATTTTGCGCTATTTCGATTTCTCGATTTTTCAATTTTTCGACTTCTAGACTTTTTGATTTCATTTCATTTGATGTTTCGATTTCTCGGTTTTTCGTTTTTTTGACTTTTCGGTTACGATTTTTTTCAATTTCTAAATTTCTCAATTTTTTTGATTTTTCAGTTTCATAAATTCTCATTTTTCGTTTGGGTCATTTCGTTTTCTTGATTTTTTCATGTTTCGATTTATTGATTATTCAGTTTTTCAATTATTCGATTTTTCGATTTATGGATTTTCCATTTTTTCGATGTTTCCATTTTTCAATTTTTCTACATTTCAATTTTGGGTGTTTCAATTTATATGTTTTCGATTTCTAGATTTTGCAGTTTTTAGATTTTTTCTTTTTTCGTTTTTTTGATTTTTTAAAAAATTTTTTCAATTTTTCAAATTTAAGTTTTTCGATTTTCAGATTCCCAATTTTTCAATTTTTCGATTTCTCGACTTTTCGATTTTTCAGTCATTTGATGTTTTAATTTAAGAGTTTTTCGATTTTTTGACTTTTCGGTTTTTTGATGTTTTCAATTTCTCGACATTTCAATTTTTTGATTCTACAATTTTTCGAACTTTCTATGTTTCAATTTATCGATGATTGAATGTTTGAATTATGTCTTCGATTTTTAGATTTTTGAATTTTACACTTTTCGATGATTCGATTTTTCGACATTTCAGTTTTGGGATTTTTCAATTTATCTGTTTTTCGATTTTTTAATTTTTGGTTTTGCGATTTTTTAATGTTTGGATTTCCCGATTTTTCAATTTTTTTTTATATATTTTTCAATTTTTAAATTTGTCAACTTTTCAATGTCTATTTTATAAATTTTAGATTTTTTAGATATCTGTTTCTCGTTTTTTTGATTTTTCAGTTTTTCGATTTCTTAAATTTTACATTTTTCAATTTTCCAAGTTTTTGATTTCGCGACTTCTTGATATTTTGATTTTTGAGTTTTTCGATTTTTCGAAAAACATTTTTTTCCGCTTTAAATATATTTCATATTCTTCGCACTTTTACGGACCGCGTCTCCTTGGTATTTGCGGGATTTGTTGGGCTTCAGAGGTGAAGCAGATAGTTCTGTCGAAATGACCTTCGACCATTTTTTTTTGTGTATAGTTGTATACAACATGGATTTATGTCGTGTTAATCTTGATTCATACATCCGTTATTCAGTGAGTCATTCCTTCCTTCTCACTTATAATGTCACCAAATAAAACACATCACTATAAAAATAATAAAACGAGAATGTCAATAATAACAGTAGTTATCAATTATACTTTCAGATTATTGCAGCAGTGATTTAAGCGTTACCATAACAGTGGGTTAATTAATATTCAACATAGCACTGCCATTCTAGTGGAATTGTCTGTTTTACATATTAAAAATTTGGTCATAATTTAAAATGTATCAAATTCGCTTAACTCTATACAGGGTGTTAGGAAATGCTTGCAACAAACTTTCAGAGCAAAGGCATTACAAAAAAAGGAATCTAAAATCTATGTACAACTTTTTTCAAAAATGTATAGTTTTTCTTTTAAATCGCCTTAAAAATAAGTATCACACCGTTTTGGAACTGCATGGAGGCCAATTTTTCAATAATACGTTCCATTATTAAAATTTCTATTGTTACTTAGCAACGAATTAGGAATGGCAATCTGCTTTCTATCTGTCAAGGGAATCGTTAAAAAAAAAACATCTTTGCTTAGTTACCGAGATACACTAACATTGTTCAAATTGTTTCAAATATTATTGTTAGATTTATAACTGTCATTGTCAGTAATACTCATTGAGAAAAAATGCCAGAATACAGCATAGAAGAATATGTAGACATGAATTTTGTTTATGGGGAATGTGGAGGCAATGCTAGAGCTGCAGCAAGACGGTATGCTGAACGTTTTCCTGGGCGTCGACAACCGTATCGCGAAACCTTTTCAGCCGTGGATAGAAGGTTGCGGGAGACAGGATCAGTTTTACCTAAAAATCAGGAGATTGGACGAGGTCGAGATCCAGATATGGTCAACATTGAAGAGCACATTATCAATCGTGTTGAAGAAGACCCGTCAGCTAGTACGCGTGAAATTGCTCGAGAAGCAGGTGTTAGTCACTGGACGGTGTGGAGAACGCTACGAGAATCTCTTTTGTACCCGTACCACCTCCAGCGGGTCCAGAGTTTAAGTCCGAACGATTTCATTCCTAGACAAAACTTTTGCCGATGGATAGTGAACAGCAATAATGAAACTCCCGGATTTCTTTCTTCCATACTGATGACAGATGAATGCTGTTTTACTAGGGATGGAATACTTAATTTTCATCATACTCACCGCTGGGCAGATGCCAATCCTCACGCGATTTACGAGACGCACTTTCGACAACGTTTTTCATTAAACATTTGGGCCGGAATAATAGGTAATCAAATGATAGGACCATATGTTCTACCAGAAAGACTGAACGGAGACAATTACTTTCATTTTTTATAAACACATTTGCCATTGTTATTGGAAGATGTACCTTTAGACATTCGACGAAGGATGTACTTTATGCACGATGGTGCTCCTACGCATTTTAGTTTACAAGTGCGACAATTCCTGACGAATGTTTATGGTGAGAGATGGATTGGAAGAGGTGGACCCATCGCTTGGCCACCCCGTTCTCCCGATCTTAACAGTTGTGATTACTACTTATGGGGTTATATGAAATCAATTGTTTATCGAACTCCAGTTAATAATTTAGAAGATTTAGAAGCAAGAGTTATGATGGGCGCAGAACGGATTCGAAACGATCCCGAAGAATTAAATAGTCAGTAACTCATTACTCAGGAGAGCAGAAGCTTGTATTCGTGCAAATGGTGCTCACTTCCAACATCTGCTTTAATTTTCTTGTTTTGTTTTTGCGTTTTTTGTTTTTTATTTTCGCTTATTCGTTTTGTTTGTTTATTATAATTAAAGGTTATTTTTCTTTGTGTTGAAAATTGTATTTAACAAATTGGCTTAAATTTTAAAATCGTTGGAAGATTTTGAACAAAGTTTTTAACTTATACAATACCTTTCTTGTATTTGTTGATAAACTATGTATTCTACCTTTTTCCGCAAAGCAAAAGTAGAATATAAATTTATTAAGAAAAGATAACTGCTGGACAATCGAAAAATAAAAAGATAATGTTGGACGTTGGAGTGCTAAGCAGTGTTTAACACCAATTTTTACCTGATTTTTGAGAATATTTCAACTGCTTAGACTATTTCTAGGATCTTTTTTTATTTCCTAATATTAAAAAAATTCTTAAAAACAAAAACATTTAGTATATGGTTAACCATTAAGAAGTAACTAAGAAAATACCTTAAGCGTTCTATGATTTCGGTACTCTAAGGGTACCTTTTTATTATCAATAATGAAATCACTTCCATTGCAAAGAGGATACTAAACACAGTTTAAGATGAGGGAATTGGCAGGAAACCCGACAGTTATCGTACAAAGGGCAAATGAAAGTGCGTATAAAATGAGTTTTTCTGTCATTTCAGTAGTAAGTGTTCCTTGCTACGGTCCACTTTCGCGTACACGGCTTGCGCCGGGATTGTTTGCTCATCTTGTTGTACATTGTGTAAGTTCGGATTTTTACCTACAAGCGGCAAATTATTTTGTTGCAATTTTCATAACGAGTGGTATACGAACGATCAACAAGCGGAGTTAGTTGTCCGTTATATGGACCGACGAACTTAGGTCCTACAGACTCCTCCGAATCTTGGGTGGAGCGTCCTCATTTGTTCATCAAACAGTTAATAATCATAGCCGCTTTTTTCAAGATCGAACAACAGGGGTCTGTACTAATCAAGTCGAAGGGTAGTGAGGAGGATGAAAAGTTTTATCACGAGGTTGGGTGCCATGAGTTGTCCCTTTTTGCCGTAGTATTAGATCAACTGGGAGCGCTATTGCGCTTGAGTTGACGAACTATTTCAACATTTCATTTACCACACTGCTGAAAGATAGATTTTCCTAATCTTTCTAGTGTTTTCCTTCGGGATTTTTTTCAGGGGAAAAACGCAAAACCCCCTCTTTCTGGTATCACTGCAGGTTTTCAGAGGCCGTTTGTGGTGTTTTCTGAAATTTCCGTTAACAACCGCGTTGGTACCCTTATTAGCGTGTCGGAACCGCGTCTATTTCGTTAAACGTCCGAATCAAACATTTTAAAACTCAAAGGTGTTTATTGTCTTGATGTAAATGTGACATTTTTGTCAATTTTTGACAAATTAGATTTAATCGTTTCTAAGGAAATAATCATCTTAGTTCCAGAATTTTCACAACTACCTTAGAAAAAAAAAGACAACGTCGGCAGTTCTCAAAATGTGGGGACTGATTTTTCGATACGCTTTTTAGAAAAAACTATTAACCTTTGAAAAAAGTGTTACTAGCATTTTTTGTTGTTCTCTTCTTCAGGAGCCTACCTTCAAATTTTGTTGCAAGCATTCCCTAACACCCTGTATACATATGTACACACTTTGAACTTGTAATTCCATATCGACCTTTTCATAGAAACGTGATTTAACTGTTGCGTGCGACCAAATTTTCATTCCCATTAGTGCTCACCGAGCTTTGTTGCTAATTTCTGAATACCGTGTCTGGTTTTCATTGTGAGTTACTCATATTTAATTTTTAATTTCCTCGATTTGTAGATGTTTTACTCGATAACATGTTCAATGCCAAGGTTTTTGTAAACAGCATGATTCAAAATTCAAGTAGTAATTTATTAAATATTAAATATAACTACCCGTGGTTTATGAATCCGCCTTTAAAAAATTAAAAAATTTCAAGGGTCCACTGGATACCCGTAGAATGCTACGCCAACCTGGACTACTCCAAACGTTCCACAGCTGCAGACGTCTGGGCTTTCGCCACCACATTATGGGAAATTTTCATGTTCGGTGCAGAAATAAAAACGACCGATCACGTTGAAGCCATGAGGGTAACATTTCACATAACCGTGTAACCACCATACATGTATTTAATTATAGTTCTACGCAAACGGGAAACGGTTACCCTGTCCACCCACGTGCGATAAAGATATCTACGACCTAATGAGGGAATGCTGGAACGCCGACCCCCACCGGAGAAAACAACCCCAAGCCCTCATGCGAGACATCAACCAAATTTTGTACCAAGTCTACAACTCCCGCCGAATCCATTCCTACGCTAAAGTCTTCACTAAGTCCAATTCCACCCTTCAGACGGTCACAGCGACATCTACGTACAGTTTAACGTCGAATACCACCCAATCCACTTTCATGCCTGGCAACGAAGATCTGGTGGCAGCGAGCGAATTGGAGAGCGACTCCGCCCCTTCGAGTTTCCGCAGCCAATCGCAAAATTGGCTGCTGAATTCACAAGAAGTGTTGAACTGCGAGGACTCGTATTCTTGCGACTTCTCTAATATTTTGTCGAATTTCAATTTTTCGACGACGGCGACGACGTCGTTGGATAGCATCAATTCTTTGCAGAGCATTTTCGAGTTAGATCAGGACTGCAGCGTGGTTCTGCAAGGGAGGATCGGGCAAGGGTTTTATGGGGAGGTGTACAAGGGCACGCTGGAGTATATGGGGAACCCGGACATTGAACCCCGGATCGTAGCGATTAAGAAACTGAAGGCTACGGCTTTGTCTTCGTGTTTGCAGGATTTTGAGAGGGAGATTAATATAATGAAGACGTTGCAGCATAAAAATATTGTTGAGATTTTGGGAGTTTCGCGGGAGCCTGATATTTCGTTGGTTATGGAATTCGTGCATCACGGGTCTTTGCAGAGTTATTTGAAAATTAATAGGGAGTCGTTGGGGATGCAGCAGCAGTTGAAGTATGCTCTTGATATTGCGGAGGTTGGTTGTTTTAGTATAGTGTGATAGATTGGGTTACTTGTATTCGTGTTTCAGGGGATGGATTATTTAGGAAAGAAAAATATCGTTCATAGAGATTTAGCTGCGCGGAATATTTTGGTTGTTGATGAAAACCATGTGAAGATCTCTGATTTTGGGTTGGCACAAGTTATGGGTACCAATGAGTATTATATTTTGAAGACTAGTAGAGAATTGCCCATCAAATGGTAAGTATATGTAGTGCCTTTTTTCACATAATGCAGTAAAAAAAAATTAAAAATATTTCGCCAGAACTTCTCTGGTCTCTGAAATGCAGCCCAACCAATTCCACTTTGAAAAATTTCTAAATTTTTTTTGCGATTTTTGTTTTTTAATAACCTCTATATAGTTTCTTCAGTTTTTTTTTTGCAATTTTTCGAGTTTCTAAGTTAAAATTTTTAAGTATGTATTTCAATTTGCCAAATTCTAAATTTCTCAATTTTTAGATTCTGTAATTTTTTTTTGAGTCCTCAAGTTTTCAGTTTTTAATTTTTCAGTTTTTCGATTTTCAATGTTTCGTTTATTTTCTTTATTTTTTCAATTATTCGATTTTATAATTTTTATTTTTTTTTGTTTCTTCAATTTTTCGATTTTTCACTGATTCAATTTTATAATTTTAATTTTTTCGATTTTTATTTTTTTTTGTTTCTTCAATTTTTAGGTTTTACAATTTTTCGATACAAAATTACTCGAGTATTCATTTTTGAATTTTTCAGTTTTTCAGTTTTCGAACTTTTGGATATTAGAATGTTTAGGTTTTGCAGTTTTTCGATTTGCAATTTCATCAGTTTTTAATTTTTCGTTTTGTAATTTCTCTAGTTTTCATTGTAATGTACTTATAATAATTTTTAAAATATTTCACTTTTTCAATTTTACAATTTTACAATTTTTCAATTTTTCAATTATTGGGTTTGAAAACTTATCCTTTATTTGCGTTTTCAAAATTTCGATTTGCAATGTTTCGTTTAAATTTTTTATTTACTTGATTTTACAATTTTTCAATGTCGCGATTTAAAATTTTTATTTTTTCGATTTTTCTTTTTTTTCTGTTTCTTCAACTTTTATATTTTGATAATAATAATTTTTAATATACTTCACATTTTCAATTTTATAATTTTGTTTTCTGATAACCTCTATAAAAAAAACCAGTGGCGTAAATAACACACGGCTTTTTTTGATTTGCAATTTTTCAATTTCTAAGTTTAAATTTTTCAATGTTTCAATTTTCCAACTTTTGAATTTTTCAGTTTTTCGATTCTTCAGTTTTTCATTTCTTCAAATTCGGTTTTTGATTTTCTTTTTTTTACATCTTTTCGATTTTTCAGTGTTCCAACTTTATATTTTTTTTGTTTTTGATTACTTTTTTTTTGTTTCTTCAATTTTACGATTTGCAACTCTTCGAGTTTTCATTTTAAAATTTTTCAGTTTTCGATTTTCTAACGTTTGGATGTTTCAATTTTTAGTTTTTCGTTTCGGTTTTTTATTTCCTTAATTTTTTCAATTTTTCGGATTTTAGTGTTCTAATTTTTATAATTTTTCTTTCAATGTCAAATTTTTCAGTTTTTGGATTTTCCACTTTTTCAATTTTTCGATTTCTCAACTTTTAGATTTTTTGATTTTCAATTTCTCGATTCTTCAGTTTTTCGTTGCTTCAATTTTTAATCTAAAATTTTTCCGGTTTTCATCTTAAATATGTATTAATTATAATTGAAAAAAAACACACTTTTTCAGCTTTACCATTTTAGAATTTTTTCATTTTTTAGTTATTGGATTTTTAATTTTTCAATTTCTCGAAATTTAACTTTTTAATTTTTCGTTCTTTCAGTGCTCCAGTTTTTCGTCTTTACAATTTTGACAATTCTATAATTTTTCGATTTTACAATTTTTGTGTTTTCCAATTTTTCGATTCATTAATTTTTTTCGATTTATAAGTTTCTCAATTTTCTCATTTTTCGTTTTGTCAGTTCTTCAATTTGCAATTTTTCTTTTCACTTTTTCGATTTTTTAATTTTTTCCGATTTTTAAGTTTTATTTTCAAAAAATCGCAAAATTCCAAAAACTCAAAAATGGAAAAACGAAAAGTATAAAATGAAAAAATTAAGAACTCGAAAAACTGAAGAACAAAAATTGAAAAATTGGGAGATTAAAAATTGAGAAACTCAGAAACCGAAAAAGTCCAAAATCGAAAACACGAAATATGTATTGTAAAATCGAAATATTGAAAATTAATGAAATCGGAAAATCGCATAATTGGATATCCAAAAATTGCAAAATTGAAAAATTTAATAAACGAAAAACTGTGATTTAAAATCGCGAACACGCAAAATAAAAATCAAGAATTGGAAAATTGAGGAAACGAAAAATCGAAAAATAGAAAATTAAAAATTGAAAACTTTAAAGTTGAATAATCAAAAAATTAAGAAACCAAAACAATGAAAAATGGAAAAATTGCAAATTGAAAGAAAAAAAAACGAAAAATTGTGATTTCAAAAATTGGTCGAAGGTAAAAAAATCAAATTTTTCGAAAAATTGTGAGATTTGATTTTGCGAATTATATTTAGATTAATAGCATACATATACTGTTATTATTAACAGTACTGTATTTCCAAATTTTCGGGAAAATGGAGTGAGTAGTTCTTGATATTTAATTAAATCATTGCCTCATTCGTTATTTTATTTTGAGTCACCCTGTATAAGTAATTCTAAAGACTATGAGTGCTTTGATAAGCCGCAAGTATAGAGTCATAACGTTCGGCATGTTTCAGAGGGGATTTATTCGGCAAAATTTTGAGATGACGTGATCAATTTTTTGAAAGAGGATAAACGAATAAAATTTTATTAACGATTTACCACGACTACGATAACTTTAAAACGTTCACAAGACTTCAGAAAAAAAATGTTATATAATTTTAATTTTGGATATGGATGTATCCTATTTTATAAAACTAACAAAAATTGCTAAATTTTGAGAAAAATTTTGGTTAGCGTTTTACCAGATGGTAAACGTAAAAAATTTGAAAACGGGAGACGAGTTTTTTCGTACTTTCAAACCTTAGCTTACACTCAGGAAGTGAAAAGCAAACATTTTACAGAACTAATAGTTTAAGTAGAAGTAAAAATAAAATATCGTTTTTCTTAGGTACGCCCCTGAGAGCTTACGCGATGGCAAATTCTCAGTTCGCTCTGACGTGTGGTCGTATGGAGTAACAATGTGCGAACTGTTCAACTGGGGAGAAGAACCCAAACTGACTAATATTAGCAGCACTGATAATGAAGGTCAAGAGCAACAAGTTTTCTTAGAAGCGTTAGAAAGGGGAACCAGGTTATTACCACCAATTTTTTGCTGTACCACAATCCATTCTTGCCTTTTATAGATTTCCGTGTCCTCCGACGTGCCCACAATCTGTCTACATTCGCATTATTTATCCCTGCTGGCATTCGGATCCACATGAAAGGCCAGCGTTTGCCGTATTGGTACATGAAACTCATGATTTATTGACGCAGTATTGAAAACTGTGAGTAGGATATGAGTTGCATGTTTCAATTAATACCTTTGTTGTGTATTACAGAATTGCGTGCCCTTCAAAACGCCCACGAACCGTGAATTTACATTATTTATTCGTGTCGGCATGAAGATTTCCATTTACAGTCTTTGTTAGTGGAGTTGTTTGACTAACATGAAGTTTGTCAGTTTTGTGCCACAACTTGTGGGTAACTTTGTAATTTTACGTGCAAACGCACTCTTATCTCTTTATCAACTTTATTGATGAAAGTACCTGTTTTCTTTATTATTTGCTCAATTATTTCTATTACAAACGCACGTTTCTGTGCCATTTTCAGTGCAATCTTTCATATAAGTGTAAATATGTATATACGTTATTATTAAAATAAACTGTAACAAAATGTATTGTGTTATTTTTCACGTGTGTCAATTTTTAAAATAATTACACCTGTAATATAAAAATTGAGAAGTGTGGGTAAGTTTTTGCTCTAATGGGAGTTATATCCAGTGAAATGTTTCTAGGGTTTTCCATGTTTTGATTTTTGGTCACTAACGATTTCTGCTCCACTTGAAGTTTATTTAAATTTTTGCTCAAAAAAGGAAATAAACTGGCGTCGAGCAGCAACGACAACTGGAGTAGTATGGATATAGATCCATCACCGAGTACCTCGTCAGGTTCGTAAAATATCCATATCAGAATATCAACAAATGTTTTTTCAGGTTATGTCAAAATTTTTGTGTTTGACTAACACATGAGGGTTTCAGGTGATTTAATGGCTTTAACGCAGTCAAGCTTGCCAAAAATTGACGAAAATAATGCGATAGAATCAAAAACGCCTAAAGAACGGATCTTAGAATTGTTAGATGTTTTAGAAAGTCATGTTGAAAAGTTGCGAAGAGAAGCAGCGCAACTAGAAGAAGACAGAGACCACTTGTTATCGTCTCTAGATTCGGTTAGGAACACAGATTTAATCATAGAGTTGGCGGACAGTAAGTGTTATGTAACTGCGGAATTCAGTGATTAAATATTTCTTTAGATGACAGAGATGATGTGTGCCGGTATGCCGAGAGAATAATGAACCGTTGCCTTACAGTTGAAGTGAAAATCCTCACTCAGCGCGACAAAACGCAGGAAGAAGCCTTACATCAAGTGAATCATTTAATAGACGGTCTTGTAATGTGTGTGAAATCAGATCCTGAAAACGCGAAAGCAAAATGTGTTTCCTTTATGAATGCATGCTCTTCCAATATAGTTCATGGCGTGACTGATAAGAAATTCGAATCAGCTTTATTAGGATGTACTGTTGATGACCAAAAACGAGTGAAGAAACGCCTTCAAGGTTTGTTACATTATTTCGATAAATTGAATGTAACTTCTATTCAGTGAAAATAGCTAAATGGATGGTTTGCCACTTTGCTCTGGCTCTGCTTTTTGCTGTTATTACAAATACATTAAATTGTTCGTTCATAAACATTGGAGTTCCGGTTAAATTCTGCTTAAGTAATTTTACTTCAATGTTGCAGTCTTACATGGAGTAGTCACTGTGATTGGTTAAAAGACCTTATTTATAATAAATTAATGAATCAAATAAATGATAGTTAAAGTGTTCATTAAGTTTATTTATATACCATTATTACACTTTTGTGGGAAAATATTTTGGATCTTTTACATGTGTAACAGTTAAAGTGGCTTGTAAAGATTCAACCGTGGTAGGCTCATCTGCTACGAAGATCACTGTAGTTACGAGGCTGTGTTGGATGAAGCCGTTTTCGAGGAAATGACCTTTTGTATCACCAGCGTCCAACCATACAAAGAGACAAGGGGCATCGGCTCGTAGGGCGATTAAAAATCTTAGGCCTTCAGCATCAAAGTTATCTACCGCCAATATCTAGAAAAAAATGCGATTATATACATCATGTGTACACGTTTATATTTATCCATTATGTCTTTATAAACAGATTAAGTATGATTATGTTGAATCATATCTTTAAGAAAATACATCTTATCTTAAAGATATGTCGCCATGTTTGTACATATTTAAGCTTTTGGTCATTAAGTGCACTTTATATTTGTAATATCTGGTTTTTAAAGTGACGGTTTAGGATGACTAAGAACTTTTTACTTTATTTGTGATTTCCGGGTAATATCGTCGCAGAAATTAATTCGCCTCATTATAAAATTTTTAAACTAATCTCAAAGACAGCTATTTTATTAGTCACTCAGATTAATTTCAAACCAGACGTTGAAAAAGTGTTTGGTTGTAATTATTTACAGCTTTAATATAATTTTGGCAAATATTAATAATAGCGCATTTATTTCTCATAATAATATCTTAAAATACCGAGAGAGCAGTAAAAAAGACGATTAAGGATAGTCATGGATGTCTGAAAGTTTGTCTTTGATAGTTGCATTTTCAACTCAAACTTTGAAATTGACATTTGAAAATTATATCAAAGACAAATCTTCAAAAATCGATGGCTGTCTTTGGTGGTATTTTTATTGTGTTCGCGATATTTTAAGAATAGGTTTCAGCGTTTTTAGCATTTAGAAACGAAAAAATCTACAAAACGCATTTTTATTACTAATATTTATCATTTATGAAGATAAGGCCCAAAGGTTAAAACTGTATTGTTTGCACAAAAATGAAAAATGTTAATACGTATTAATGTGGGTCAGCAAAAATGTAAACAATATAATCCTCTAAAAAGGTTGAAAAATATAAATATGCATTAACTTAAACAAACATGGGGGAAATAGCGCTGTTTTTTATGATATATTTAAAAACAACAAATGCTGCGTAGGTACATATCTTTGATAATGAAATAATCAAAACAATGGGAAATTTTGTAGCGTTGGCCTAAACAATTCCTGTTTTTATTTTTGACCCAGAATCTTAATTAAGCAAAGTATTTATTTTTGATATCCGCAAACGAAGCTTCTGTATAGGCCATCCACGAAAATAGTGGTTTTACGACTTTGACTTCTTCGCCACCCTTGTCAACGAATAATACAGCTTTATATAGGCAACTGCTCTTTGTTGTGTTTGGCTAGTTTTTTTGTGCAGAAATATTAGTTAAGATGCTTTTTCTTTCCCAAACGAGGGGTTTGGAAAAGCAAAATCATAAAACAATGATAGAATAAATTTTGTGGCCTGTACACGGGTTTTCAGCGATATTCTTTGCCACGATGTATCAAAATCCTCCAGTTGCTCCCTCGCTTTGCCTCTTTAGAATCCTTACAACTTTCTATATCACCTGTGGAAAGTAATAAAAAGTCTTGTATTTTATTTTTTCAAAATTTAACAACACAACAAAACGTAATGATAAATTTAAAAAAAATTATTGTGGTATCCTGGATTTTGAAATTCAAATTTCGCACTGAGAAAAAAGAAAAAACAGCGAAATTGCAGTTGAAGTATTAAAAATGAGAAAAACAGTCAATAACATAGGGAACCATGCATATTTAGAGGAATGTCACCCTCAATTAGTCAGAGTTCTTTCTTTTGTAACAATGTTGAAAATAACTAAAATAAGAGTAGGTTAAATTTAGTTTGTAATTTCATAAAAAGGCAGTTGTTTAAACAAAAATGAATCGCAGTCGACGCCACAGTCTGTTTCAATGAGTGTCTTAGTTTATTAATGTTTTTACTTCCCGTGCGTAAGCGTGTAATCGAGTCCGTCGGTCGACTTTCTACTTCTACGTTTTCTCGACCTTTCATTACCCCTATGTTCTAGAGATGTTAAAAAACTGTTTTGTCTGTCAGTCTGTCCGTCTGTCTGGCGTCCGGATTTTTATTAGACAAATAATTTCCGAAAGTACTGGGCTGATTGTTGTCAAATTTTGTACTAACATTAGGAATATCGTGTAAATGGTAAAACACTAACCAACATTTGTCTAATCATCCCCACCAATAATGTGATGACGTCACTTCAAAATTGTATATGTCTAGTAAATGGGTTTTAAATTGTATAAAATAACATAGTCCTGTACATGTAGTTTATGATTCCGTGTTTTTTACCCGAAACATCCAGATTTTTGGAAAAAAATCAAAATTATAAAACATTTTGCAATTTAGAATCTGCGAAACCGAACGCTTTGAAATCTGGAGATGTTTTAAAGTTATAATAACCATAATAAATTTTTAATCAAAATATATTTGCTTATCCCCTCAAAAAGATTGATGACGTCAGCTCAAAATTTTGCCGAATAAATCCTATCTAAATCGTCCAAAATATGATTTTGCTTTTTTCTAATTTTATGGGCATTTAGTAGCCCCGCCCAACCACCCCTTCGTCGTTCCAACGACTACCCTTAGTATTGTTATTCTTTCAACAACACGATACTCAAAAATGTGATTTTAATTTTTTGAAAAGAAATAAATATTTTGCAGTTAAGCTCCGCCCCCATAGTTGACGACGAATAAAAGAAAATCATTACAATTGACATAGGGTGGGTGGGCGGGCTTACATTTTGCCTTTTTGTTTTAATATGTGTAGACTTCTTTTCGCAACATGAGACTTAAAACATGTTCAAAATGGAAAATTTCCATAGTTCCAAAATCCACATTTTCTTGTAAAAATGTACCATTTTAACCATATCTTAAGCTTCATGTTGTGAAAAGATGGTTATGCATTTTAAGAAAAAAAAGACAAAATATAGGCCACGCCCACCCACCCTGTCTCAACTCTGATGATTTTTTTTATTCGTCGTAAGCCGAGGGGCGGAGTTTAATTGTAAAATTCTTGTTTTTCTACGAAAAATTACCATGTAAAATATGTTCTTAAGAGCAAAGAAAAACTAAATGTATTAATTAAAAAAGAGAAGCTCCACCCATCCGTCTCGATCTCAACCGTGATGAATTTTTCATTCGTTGTCAAACCTAAGGGCGGAGCCTAATTGTAAAATACATATTTCCTCACAAAAATTGTGTTTTAAATTGCTAAGAATAAAAAAATCATCACAATTTAGATGGGGTGGGTGGGCGGGGTTTTATATTTTGCCTTTTTTCTTAATATATATAATATTCTTTGAACAAGACGACATTCAAAAGCATGTTTTTAATTTCTTGTAAAGAAATAAGTATTTTGCAGTTAAGCTCCGCCCCCATAGTGGACGACGAATAAAAGAAAATTATTACAATTGACATAGGGCGGGTAGGCGGGCTTACATTTTGCCTTTTTGTTTTAATATGTGTAGACTTTTTTTCACAACATGAAACTTAAAACATGTTTAAAATGGAAAATTTGTATAAGGAAATATCGATTTTGCATTTAGGTTCCGCCCCACAATTGCAAAATCCATATTTCCTTGCAAAAATCATTTTAATCGTGTAAACCCCACCCACCCGCCCTATCTCAATTCTGATTATTTTTTTTTAATCGCCGTAAGCCGAGTGATTTATCAGTAACGGCTAACTCCATTTTCTCAGAAAATTTTGGGAATACGATACTGTTATTTTTAATAGTACACTACACCAATAAAGTTGATATACGTGTCCTTGCACGAAAATGCTGGATATGTTTCATTGTACTGTCGGTGTAAGGCAAGTTCTGTCGAAACAACTTTCGACCAGTTTTTTCTAATCTGAAATTAGTGAAACTTTGACTATTCGTCAACACGTGTAATGTTGGTTTTGTTGCCTGGAAACTCACAGTTCATGTTAAGATTTGTAACTATTTATGGTTCTAATTTAGTTTTATGATCATGACACGTTCATATAAAAGACGTGACAGGAAATTCACTTATTTAGGCTTAACTCTTTTTTTTTTTTATAACGATGTTTAAAGTTTATGGATGTTTTTTACTTAAGTACGAGTATTACTTTATTCACAGTTAATAACTTCTCATCGAGATTTATAAATAGTAGTTCATTTATGGCATTTGGACCAATCTTAAACGTTGGTCCATTTTGAGAGAAAGGACCTTGCAAATTTTTATCAACCGTTCGATAAACTGAATTTGGAGATTTTATTGCTGACAGTGTACGCACCAAACTCAGCCTATTTTTGATTTTGTACTACATTTAATATTCATATTTTTGTTGTGTTTATTTCATATGTGCTTTGTTAATGTTATAAATTTAAACAAGTTATCGTTATAAATTTGAAAGATAGGATGTGTATTTTAATTGAAATAAAGCACGATATCACGTGGCGCAAGCAGTATAGAGGTAGAGTATAATATGCGGCAGGTTTTTTAAGTATAGAAATGTGATGTGTGTATTAGACCTGTCTATAGAGTAAAAGCATAATTTAAATTTGCCTCCACACCATCATAACAACTTTTTTGTGTTGCATAAAAATGAATACACGTTTCTGATTTATTATGCGTGTTGGGTGACACATTCTTGGCAGTAATTATGACTCGAATAAGTTCTGTTTACTGTTACATTAATATTACAGTTATCTGCCGGGATATTATATTTCGTATCAATTTTTGTAGTTCAGATGGCGCCAAAGTATACACGAGCGTCCTCGGGAAACAAAAAGTTATTCCTTCTTAATAAAATACGAATGTAAACGAGTTGTAAAACCAACAAAGGTAAATATAGGTTCTGCTATTAATTTTCTTGGAGGCGATTATTTATTTTGCTATCTCAGACTTCTGTATCAATATTTAAAGAGAAAAAGGTGAACAGACAGATGGTCGATGTAAGGTTTGTCGTCACATAATTGTTAAGTTCAGGATGACTGAATTACCGCAAAATTGTAAAACAGTGTATAAATCAACAAACAATTACAATTATTATTTCGTTATACGACGAAACTATTTTTTTCAATATATTACAAACTGAAAAGTTTGTCTTGTTGACATACTTAAGGTAGTTAAAGCGCAATTATTTCTACTTTAATCAAAGAAATGAAAAATATTTCCATGACCTCCCTTTATAAACTCTAGTAAATACTCCATAAACATGAAAATATGGACCAATTTGTAATTATTATTTTTTTTACCTCCAAATTAGATGTCACCAGATTAGCTTCCTTGAATTTTGAAGGAAAGAAATAATTTGAAGGTGTCAATGTTATCGTACCCAATCCAGCCACGAAATGTATAAAACAGTTAAATCTTGCTTCTTCTACTGACCCGCAACCGGAATCGGAAAGGTACTGATCGATATCAAGAGTGGCAATCAGCGTCGAAGTCACAGGTTCCTTAAATAATAATAATTAAACACACCAAATATCGTTGAAAAACAAATACCTACAAATTCTCCAACAAACTGCGTACCATTGACAGGTGTGAAAGAATCCCACGCATAAATAGTTAAATTGATCCATTTTTCCCCGACTCCGTATTCTTTGTTTAATATATGATACACTTCAAGTTGATTGTCACTGTTGGCGTGACCTGTAACTAATTCTTGGGAGAAGAAACCCGGAACGAAGTAATGAAGCATCTTCCATTTCCCCGTATAGTCTATGGAAGACCAGCTGGGAGCAACCCACACGTCATTTAGTTGCCAAAATAGGGCACCCATGGTGTAACCACGGCCATCGTTATCAACTCGTCCCATGTGTCGACGATAATGTTCAGTTTCAATTTTGATGGACATTGCTTGAATGATCTAATATTACGATAGTAATTGAAAGTCAACTATGCGTGATCTAACCTGCGTATAGTAGATGAGAGCTTCATCATAGTATTCGTTGTTTTCGCTGGGAAGTTCTAACTGAAATTCAATAAGGTTTTTCAGAGGATCATTACCATCAGGGTGATGTTGTCTATGTTTCATAAAGTCACTATTGATACTTAAGTCGGTTAAATTGTCGGTCACTGTAAGCCAAGAGCTAACACTCGGCAAAGACTGGAAACCATATTCAGAAGAAAATCTAGGAATAGGGTAGATGCTTGTGTCGAAGCTGTCTCTATTGTTAGTGTAAAAGTGTACTAAAAAAGTGTTAAGTGAATTTTTTGAACTAGTGACGAAATAAACACACCGTCTCCGTAAATCAGGCTACCAGGATCCAGGGAAACGTACCCTTCACTATCAGTTTCGATTCCGTTCGATGGACTCGAGTCAACAAAGTTTGCATTCTTCGTGATCCTCCGCATTTCATCCCTTACGGTGTCGATATACAACTTAATGTAATCCGCTTTGTAAACTTCGAAATTATCAGCCGTATTGAAATAATTGGAAGCTAAATTTCCCTCGTTTTCGTTGTTACCACCCCACAACGCTAAACTTGGATGACTCTGGATTCTCTTAACTTGGTGGTTAACTTCGCTCTTCACGTTACTAAAACCACAAATAAGTTATTTTTGAAACGATAATCTTTGTGTGTACTAGCTTAAGAAAATCGTCATCTGCTGGATACATAGAAGACGCGAAAACAAAATCCTGCCAGATCATCAATCCATACTCATCTGCCAACTGGTAGAAGAGATCAGATTCGTACACCCCACCACCCCAAACACGGATCATGTTCATCTCAGTGTATGTCGCAACGCTTGACATGAAGTGGTTGAGTCGTTCCAGATTGTAGCTGTTTTCGGGGAGAATATCGAAGGGGATTGAGTTAACACCCATGGCGAAAATTGGGACGTCGTTGACTTGGAAGTAGAACGAACGCCCCATTTCTAGAAAATTATATAAAATTACTGATTATTTTTTGTGATTGTGATTACTGATTACCAAGCTCGTCTTGAATTAATTCAATCTTCCTGAAACCTATTTTGATTTCTTTGTAACTGTAGTCGAAGACGCTGTCAAAAGATACACCTAGAGTGTAGAGTGGTTGTTTACCGTAGCCATTGGGCCACCAGGTTTCCACTGAAGTCTAAAATGATAAAAGTAGCAATTTTGAAATAGGTTTTTGATGAGGTACTACTTTTGGTACGACGATCTCGGTTGTATTCACCACTTCTCCGTATTCGTTGGGGATAGTCAGAATTGTCCAGTTTCTAACTGTAATTGGTTCATTTGCTGTCTCTAGTTCAAAGCCTAAAAGTCCTACAATGTCTGCTGGGGGCGAAAAGTAGGTGTCGATTGATAAAGTCCAGTTGTCGCCGGTATCCAACACTTCTGCCACTACATACTCTATGAGAGTGCAATAATAACCTTGTAAATATATGTCTTTCCTAAAAATATAGTGGAAAATTAACAACAAAGAACATGAAGGAGTCGAAAATTACGTCACATTTTTAACGCGATAGTGACATATAATGTGAAATACAGGGTGAGTCACTATCCCATTAATTATTAGAAATAGAGAAAAAAGTTAAAAACCAAAGTTGTACCAACTGTTTTAACTATACATAGTGTTTTGTTTTTAGAGCGTAACACACAATTGAGTTTTTTTTTTTAATGAAACACTCTATATACTTTACATATTTTGATTGACCTCTTCTTAGGCTTTACAACCACATTTTAATTTGGAAATTACAATGCTACGTTGCCACGTTATTCCAGTTTTCTTGAAATTTTTAATAATGGAAAGATTCACAAAAAATTACAGTAGAGTTATTTTTTAAATTTATGTTACAAGATTTTGTGAAGAGGTAAAGAAAGGTACGCGTTTTGTTGTGGTATAATGAGATTACATTTTCATGTACAAAGCATCTATAAAAATGTTTTAGTTATTACAATTTTCAAATATCGATATTTCAGTTTTTAGAACACCCTATATTTTATTACTGTATCAGAATTCTATTTTTTGTTCTTTTTCTTCTTTGCTGAGTATTTTCTATATTGAAAGTTGATAGTTATACTGAGATTTTTTACTTTTTTAAGAGACATATAGACACAAAGGAAGCATGAGGACAAAAAATAGAGTAAGATACAGTAATAAAATACAGGGTGTTTTAGATGTTCTAGGTGTTTTAGAGATGTTAAAAAACCGTTTTTACTTCCCGAGCGTAAGCAAAGGAAGTATTGTAATCGAGTCCGTCGGCCAACTCTCTACTTTTACGTTTTCTCGATCTTTCATGACCCATAGAAGACGAAGAAATAGGTCTCCCATTTCCGTCTGTCCGTCTGTCTGTCCGTCTGTCCGTCCGTCCGTCCGTCCGTCCGTCCGTCCGTCCGTCCGTCCGTCCGTCCGTCCGTCCGTCCGTCTGTCGTCCCGGATTTTTATTAGACAGATAATCTCCGAAAGTACTGACATAATAGGCATAATAGGCATGCAATCGTCACGTTTCCGACAGCGAGGGAAGTACTGTCTAAACTCTTTAGACCAATTGTTCAGTGTTTCTTTAGATTTTATAATTTTTCGATAAGCCAAATTTTCAACTTTTTATTTTTCAATTCACCGATTTTCCAATTTTTAAATTTATCACTTTTGCAATTTTTGGATTTCTCAATTATCCGATTTACCAAGTTCTTTAATTTTCAATATTTCGACATTACAGCGTGTTCCTATTTTGCGCTTTTTCAATTTTTAATCTTCCGATTTGCATTTTTTGGGTTCTCCAATTTTCAAGTTATTGATTTCCAGTTTTCGTTTTATACTTTTTCGTTTTTTTATTTTTGATTTTTCTATTTTATAGTTTTGGAATTTTTCCATTTTTTTTAAATCGCAAAACTAAAAAATCTAAAAAAAATTGAAAAACCGAGAAACTGAAAATTCTAAAAAGTGGAAAATCGAAAAACTGCAAAATAGAAGAACCCAAGAAATGAAAAACTGAAATAGACAAACTAAAAACACGAAACTTAAAGAGCGAAAAAAATAATGAATCGACAAATTGGAAAACCCAATACATAATTTTAAAACTGAAAAATTATAGAATCGTCAAAATTGGAAAGTCGAAAAACTGAACAATTAAATATCGAGAAATTGAAAAATTAAAACTGGAAAAATTAAAACTCGAAAAATTGAAAAATTCGAAAGACGTAAAACTGAAGAAGTGAAAAGATTTTAAAATCATTGTTCATACATATTTAAAATGAAAACTGGAAAAATTGCGTATCAGAAATTGAAGTAACGAAAATCTAAAAAATCTAAAAGTTGAAAACCCGAAAAATTAACAAATTTCACATTGAAACAAAAGAAAATTTATACAATAGGGACATTGAAAAACAGAAAAAAATCGTTATAAACAAAAATGAAAATAATGAAAATAAAAATAAATAATTACAATTGAAAAATCTAAAAATCGAAGTATCCAAAAGTTGAAAAATCAAAAAAAGAAAAATTTTGAAATGAAAACTTATTTTAGTTAGTTGTATGTCATAAATTTGAAGAAACAAAAAAAATTAAAGTCGAAACATGCAAATGAAGAAATTGAAGAAACAAAAAAACTGAAAAAACAAAGAATTATAAAATCAGAACATCGAAAAACTGCAAATCGAAAATTTTAAGCCAAGCAAAACTGAAGAATCGAAAAATTAAAAAATTTTAAAAATTGAAAATTCGAGGAATAGTGAATCGAAAAATTGCAAAATCTAAAAATTGGAAAAACAAAAAAATTAAAAACTAAAAAAATTCAAATCGGAAAATTGATATAAAAATTAAAATTGAAAAACGAAAAATTATAAAATCCAAATATTGAAAAATCGAAAACTTGAAAAATTTAAGAAAATGAAAAATCGAAGAGGGAAAACTGAAAAATTAAAAACCGAAAACTCGAGAAACGCAAATCGAAAAATTGCAAAATTTAAACATTGAAAAATTCGAAGGTTGGAAAATTGCAAAGCCGAAAAATCTAAAAATTAAAAACTCGAGAAACTGCAAGTTGAAAAGTTGAAGATACAAAAAAAAATAATTAAAAATAATTGGATTTTACTTTAAAGAGTTATTTTTAAACAAAATTACAATTTTTCGAAGAAGCGAGATTTGTTGGGCTACACTTCGGGGGTGAGGTAAGTTCTGTCGAAATACCTTCCACCCATTTTTTATTAAATGGGTTTGTTTTTGCAGTCAAGTCCGTTGACCGACTCTCTACTTTTACGTTTTCTCGACCTTTCATGACCCCTAAAGTACGAAGAAATAGGTCCCCCGTTTCCGTCTGTTTGTCCGTCTTCTGTCTGTCGTCTGTTCGGATATTTATTAGACAAATAATCTCCGAAACTACTACCGATTGTTGTCAAATTTTATATCTGTATTATAAATATCATGTAGATGGTAAAATGCTAACCAAACTTTGTCTAATTATCTCCACCAATAATGTGACTCCGTGTTGAGTTTTTACCCGAAACGTGCAAATTTTTGGAAAAAATCAAAATTATAAAACAAAATTTTTCAATTTAATTTTGAATCTGCAAAACCGAATGTTTTGAAATCTTCGAGGTGTTTTAAAACTATCATAAACCTGGTAAATTTTTGATCAAAACTTATTGGCTTATCACCCCCAAAAAATTGATGACGTCACCTAAAAATTTTGCCAAATAATTCCTATGTTTTTTTGTTATTCAAATATTTAGCAGTTTTAATTAAATAAGCAGTTAAAATATACTTTGTTCCGTAAACTAACAAGTATTTGTTACTTAATAGGGTCAAGGTTTGCTTAAAAAATCTCAAAAATTTTAAAATGTGCTGTTGCGCCATCTTTGGTTTTAAATTTTAATTACTTGGACGACAACGAAGTCTTCAAGAACATAATAGAATTATTAGATAATTAATTCTATGAACATCCTAACATAATCTCAAAATTTTGAATACAGATTAGAACAAATAATTTTGTTGATAAGTTTTATGATAGTTTAATAAATTTATTTGATTTTTGTACACTACTCCAAAATTTCAAAATTTTTCGCTCTTTCTAACACAACTAACATCAATGACTTCAAACATCCAAAAAGGTAATTAAAAAAAAAAACAGAACACTTCTCGCATTTTAAAACACTCAATATATTAAAATTTGATTTTGTTCACAGCACGTCAAAGCCCGTACTTTTATTTATCGTTCCTATAGCGATTTTTTGTGAACCCTGCCAAAGAATTTCGAGAAAATTGGAATAACGTGGCAACGTCGCATTGGAATTTCAAAAGTAAACTGTGGTTGGAAAGCCTGAGAAGAGGTCAATGAGAAGAGGTTAATCAAAATTTGGAAAATATATAGGTTGTTTCATTAAAAAAAAACTAAGTTGTGGTACAGCTTAAAAACAGAACAGTTAAAAATAATTTTCGACTATAGTCCTCAAAGAACCGTACAACTTTTTTCTGTCTCTAATAATAATTAATGAGATATACAGGGCCGCGTCTTAGTGACTCACCCTGTATATGTTAAATGCAAAATTATGAACAATAAATATTAAAATGTTTTATTGTTTTCCGTATGTCTTATTTAAAAATTGTTTAAAGGGCGTTTTGGGTTAATGCAGCCGTCTGCGATATAAAACATATTGGACTAAAATACATATAAAACATATTTTACGTGCGAAGTATATTTATATAATGAATCTATTTATAGAATGAGCAGGTCGACCAAAACCAATATTTAAAGGTGGCACTATGAGGAAATATAAATCTTATGATCCATTTAATTTATATCTGCGAGGCATTACGTTGTCATACCTTACCTTTTTAACTGATTTTTCAAAAATATAAACATTACCGAAGCATAATCAATCATCATCGGTATTTTCAGGAAATTTTATGTATGTAATCATTTTTTGAGATGACATCTTTAATTTTTATGTTGTTTGATAAAATTAAAATAACATTTGCAAAATTTTGAAGTGACTTGGTCACATTGTTAGTGAGGTTCTGTTTAAACTTGGATTGTTTATTATAAGTTCTTACCAAATCCCGACTGAGGGAAAAGCTGGACCCCAATCCCACGAGAACGATGCCGGGATTTTTCTAAGGTAATTAACATGGCATTCGCCCTTGTACGAATCAGGGACGCACTCAGGTGGAACCACATAATTTTGTTCGTGTTTGGCTGCTAAATCATCGACAGCCGAAATGGGTGATAAAAATTTTACCTCGATAGTGTTATCACCAACCTAAAATTAATTTTTTCTAACGAAAAAAATGTATAGTGAGACAGAGACCTTAATTTGCTCAGTTATGTTGAAGATATATTTGACAAACATGTTCTGAGTGGTTCCTACTTCCACATCGTTGATCAAAATAGTGGAAAAAGTATCGACACCTTCAAGAACTAAATTGATTGTATAATAATCAGTCAAAGCCTCGCGTACTTCAAAAGTGGTATAGTACGACCAGTTACTTCTCGCCACCCATTTATACTCCACATCGTTGAATCCAGCGTAAATATTGTCCAAAACGCCATTATTCATCAAATCGGTGTAAATACCCCCAGGAACTTTCGCGTTTAAATCTAAATACTCTGAAAAATATGTTAAAATTTATATTTTTCCTTCTTCGACACTCACCGCCAGATTCATCCTTAAGTAGCCAATCACCATTAAGCGACTGCCTCGTCTGCGCGTCCACAAAATGCACCACAAACAGCAAAATTATTCCAAAACCGCAACCCATTTTAAACGGTGTTGCTAGCCAAAACTATCTGTGTTGAACTAAATAAAACTCTCGAATCGTTATCAAAGATTTATTTACTGATACTCAGCGTTGTTTAAGTGAACAATTGTAAGTACTGTCTCTAGCTCAGCAACAGAAGTCGCTTCTTCTGCTTGAAAACTAACATTTTTGGTGGGACCAATCTGGGCGAATCCGTTTTCGCTAAACCTGCCCCGGATTTGGTGGGAGTCCAACCAAACGAAAAGACTAACACCATCGGCTTGGATCGAAATCTCGAATTTTTTGGCTTGAGTGTCTACTTGTCGAATTGAGACAATTTCAACGGTGGTTTTCGTCAAATTTGATTGTTTGAGGGAGGTTGCCATGATTAGATTATGTGGTGCTATGACGGCGTTGCCGGAGAGAAGAGTGAGGTAGAAGAAGCAGTTGGTTCGTGCTTCGGACAAAGAACCACAGCCGAGACTTTGAAGGTAGCTGTCGGTGTCAATCACGTTGACTTCGACGGATTTTCCATATTCCTACAAAATTTTGCAAAGTTGACCGAAACACGGATTGGAATACGAAATACTAACCAAAGTGACGTTGTATTCGGAGAAACCGACTCGTTCGAACGAACTCCAGCTGTAAACTTCTACGACTGCAGACACGTCTAGAGATACACCTACTAAAGAAACGATTTCCGACATGGCGTAAATTGCAAATTGTCTTGAAACGTCTAAATACCCTGTTATAATCGTCGGTGCGAAGAATTCTATAGCATAATACTGTAACATTTTCCACTTGCCTGTGTAGTCTGGAAAAGAGGGTTTACCATCACAGTTTACGCAAACATCGTATTACCTATTCCAGACCACGTAGGTGCCACCCAGACGTCGTTTAACTGCCAGAAAAGAGCACCCATTGTGTTACCTCTTCCTTCAGAATCAACCCGACCCATGAAACTGCGATAATACTCAGTTTCAAATTTTATTGACAAAGCTTGCACAATTTGTGAGTAAAAGATATAAGTCTTGTAATAGTCTGGTATCGACTTGTTGAGGTTTAATTGGTAACCGATTAAGAGACTGTTTTCAGCGAATCCTAACACGTGGTGTTGCCTATGGTACATGAAAACACTCCCCGGATCTAAATTATCTACATCGTCGGTGACAGTCAACCAAGTGTCAGCGTCAGGAAGAGATTGATAACCGTATTCAGACGCAAACCTTGGAATTGGATAAGTCGTTGAGACTAAACTGTTGACCAAGTAGTTGTAGAAATGAACTGAAAGACTCATTGTGAAATTTATTTTTGTTGAAAATTTGCTCACCATCTCCGAATAACGGGTCTCCGGGATTTTTCGCAAGATAGTGTTCTTCTTCGGATTCTTCACCATTGGACGGACTTGATGAAAGAAACAAGACATTGTTTGTAATATTGAGTAGTTCTGAGCGAACTGTACCTATGTACAGTTTCAAGTAGTCGTTTTTGAAAAGAGTGAGATTTTTTTTAGTGTTGTACCAGTCAGTCATTAAGGCTATTTCGTTTTCGTTGTTACCAGCCCAAAGCGCAATGCTTGGGTGGCTGTGAAGACGTTTAATTTGGTGCCGAATTTCGACTCTAACGTTGCTAAAAAAACAGTTATATGCTTGTGTCCAATAACGACTGTCCTTACTTTAAAAATTCGGGATAAGTGGGATACATGGCACAGGCGAACATAAAGTCTTGCCATACCAAAATCCCTAGTTCATCCGTCTTTTGATAAAAATAGTCAGACTCGTAGACTCCGCCTCCCCAAACGCGCAACATATTCATATTGGCGGCATGCGCACTTTCTAAAATTTTCGCTATGGTTTCAGGATTTTGTCCCTTTTCGGGAAGAATATCAATAGGGATTTCATTCGCCCCCTTTGCAAATATCGGAACGTCGTTTACTTTAAAGTAGAAGCTGAGTCCAGACGCTAGAATTTGATCGTTATTCCAGAAAGATTAACAGCTAACTTACCAATGGGTTCCTGAACTATTTCTATTTTTCGGAAACCTATTTTTATGTTTTTTGAGCTTACTTCTGAGCCGCTTTGGAACTGTGCGCTTAAAGCGTAGAGTTTGGCTTCGCCGTAGCCATTGGGCCACCAATTTCTGACTGTAATCTGTTGTCAAAAATTTAGAACCGGATTGTTACAGTTTTTTTTATAAATTACCTTTGGAACTGTGAAGGAATAGTCAATTTTGATTTCGTCGTTGTCGTTACTGGGTTCATTAACTTCCACTATTTGTTCGATTGAAGATACGTCAGTTTCCAAAGTGTAGCGGAGTTTCCCTTCTAGGGTTTTTCCTTTCGTGGCGCTTAAATATGCAGATATTGTTATCATCCAGGAATCGTCCGAGGTTTCGTCGTAATCCACCAGGAGGTAGCGAATCACAGACGAGTCGAATGCCTCCAAGTATACTTCCTTCCTTAAAATCTACGTTTAAGTGGAATTTTAACTAAAGTTGTGTGAAACAAAGACAATAATATTTTTTCCTGTGTAAATACTGACTTTGGTTTAAAAAATTGGTCGAAGATTATTTCGACAGAACTTCCCCCGCTTTCTTGAAAATTTATAAACATTGTTGGGGATTTTTGTTTTCTGATAACCTCTATAATTCGCTAGGATTTTTCAGTTCTTAATTTTTATTTTTTTCTGTTTCTTTAGTTTTCGATTTACAATTTTTCGAGTTTTCAAGTTTAAATTTTTCAAATTTTGAATTTTTGATTTTGCGAATTTTTCGATTTGAGTTTCTTCCGTTTTCAATTTTTAAAATTTCATTTTTTCGACTCTTCAATGTTTTGATTTATAAATTTTTGTTTTTTTATTTTTAATTTTTTCAGTTTTCCGTTTCTTCAATTTTTCGATTTGCAATTTTTTTGTTTCTTCGATTTTTAGATTTTGCAATTTTTTGATTTTGCAACTTTTGGATGTTATAGTTTTTAGATTTTGCGATTTTTCAATTTTCCATGTCTTCAATGTCAAATTTTTAGGTTTTTCAATATCCTGATTTTATAATTTGTTTTTCAGTGTGAAAATTTTCAATTTTTGGATTTCTCAAATTTTCGGTTTTCAAGTTTTTGACTTTTTAACTTTTAGATTTTTTTAATTTCTCATTTATTAAATTTAAAATTTTTCTAGTTTTCATTTTAAATACATATGTAGTAAGAATAACAATTTTTTAAATATTTCGCATTTTCAAATTCACGATTTTAGAATTTTTCCATTTTCCAATTACTATTGTGTTTTAAAACTTTTTCATTTATTCGACTTTTTAAAGTTTGGATATTTAATTTTTCAATTTTTCAATTCTTCAATTTTTCATTTCCTTCAAATTTTCGGTTTGCATTTTTTGTTGCAGTTTTTTATTTTCTTTATTTTTACAATTTTTAGATTTTTCGATGTTCCGAATTTATAATTTTTAATTTTTCCAATTTCAATTTTTTCAGTTTATCAATTTTTCGATTTGCAATTTTACAATTTTTCATTTTTTTCGTTTCTTCCATTTTAAGATATGCACTTTTTCGAGTTTTCATTTTTAAATTTTTCATGTTCTGATTTTATAATTTCTCTTTTTTTTTCCATGTGAAATTTCCAAATTTTAGGATTTTTTACTTTTTCGATTTCCAATTTTTCTATTTTTCAACTTTTCGATTTTTTAATTTTTCGTTTCTTCAATTTTTAATTTGATTTTTTTCTAGTTTTTATTTGAAATATGTAATAACAATAATAATTAAAAAAAATACTTTTTCAGTTTTACGATTTAAGAATTTTTCTCAATTATTGAATTTTCAAATTTTTTCCTTTATCCGACTTTTCAATGTTCAATTTTTTAATGTTTCAATTTTTCAGTTTGTAATTTTTCTTCCCGGTTTTTTAATTTTCAATTTTTTCATTTTCAAGTTTTTCAGTTTTTCGTTTCTTCAACTTTTCGATTTGCAATTTTTCATTTTTCTCTTGTTTCTTGAATTTTACATGTCACTCTTCGAGTTTTCTTTTTAAATTTTTCAGTTTTTCGATTTCCCAACTTTTGGATTTTTTAGATTTTTGAAAATTTTTGATTTACAATTTTACCAGCCTTCAATTTTTAATATTTCAGTTTCCCGATTTTTCAATTTTTGGATTTTTCATTTTTCAGTTTGCAATTTTTCGTTTCGGTCTTTTATTTTGTTTTTTAATTTTTCATTTCTTCATGTTCTGATTTGTAATTTTTCTAGTTCTCAGTTATTGGATTTTAAAACTTTTTCATTTATCCGACTTTTCAATTTGTAGTTTTTCTTTTCGGAATTTTTTTTTCTTTATTTTTATATTTTTTCGATTTTTCGATGTTCCAATTTTATAATTTGGATTTTTTCAGTTTTTTGTTTCTACAACCTTTCGATTAGCAATTTTTCAATTTTTCATTTTTCTTTTGTTTCTTCATTTTTACATGTTACTTTTCGAGTGTTTTTAAATTTTCAGTTTATCGATTTTCCAACTTTTGGATGTTACAGTTTTTAGATTTTTACAATTTTTCGATTTGCTATTTTACGAATCTTCAATTTTTAATATTTTAATTTCTGGATTTTTCAATTTGTCAGTTTTTCACTGTTCTGATTTTATAATTTCCCTTTTTTTCAATGTGATATTTTCAAATTTTTGGATTTTTTACTCTTTCGATTTCCAATTTTTCAATTTTTCAACATTTAGATTTTTTAATTTTTCGTCTCTTCAGTTTTTAATTTGCAATTTTTCTAGTTTTTATTTGAAATAAGTATGTAATAACAATAATAATTTTCAAAACAAAATACTTTTCAGTTTTACGATTTAAGAATTTTTCCATTTCTCAATTATTGAATTTTAAAAATTTTTCCTTATCCGACTTTTCAATGTTCGATTTTTAATGTTTCAATTTTTCAGTTTGTAATTTTTCTATTTTTTAATTTTTTCAATTTCAATTTTTTCAGTTTTTCGTTTCTCCAACTTTTAGATTTGCAATTTTTCAATTTTTCATTTTTCTCTTGTTTCTTGAATTTTACATGTCACTCTTCGAGCTTTCATTTTTAAATTTTTCAGTTTTTCGATTTCCCAACTTTTGGATCTTTTAGATTTTTGAAAATTTTCGATTTGCAATTTTAAGAGCCTTCAATTTTTAATATTTCAGTTTCCCGATTTTTAATTTTTGGATTTTTCAGTTTTCAGTGCAATTTTTTGTTTCGGTCTTTTATTTTATTTTTTCAATCTGAAATTTTTAAATTTTTGGATTTTTTCACTTTTTCGGTTTCCAATTTTTCGAATTTTCAACTTTTATAATTTTTAATTTTTCGTTTCTTCATGTTCTGATTTATAATTTTTCTATTTCTCAGTTATTGGATTTTAAAACTTTTTCGTTTATCCGACTTTTCAATTTGTAATTTTTCTTTTCGGAATTTTATTTTCTTTATTTTTATATTTTTTCGATTTTTCGATGTTCCAATTTTATCATTTTGGATTTTTTCAGTTTTTCGTTTCTTCAACCTTTCGATTAGCAATTTTTCAATTGTTGATTTTTCTTTTGTTTCTTCAATTTTACACGTTACTCTTCGAGTTTTCGTTTTTAAAATGTTCACTTTATCGATTTTCCAACTTTTGGATTTTACAGTTTTTAGATTTTTACAATTTTTCGATTTGCCATTTTACGAGTCTTCAATTTTTAATATCTCTATTTCTGGATGTTTCAATCTTTGGATTTTTCAATTTGCAATTTTTCGTTTCGTTTTTTTATTTTCTTATTTTTTCAATTTGTTAGTTTTTCACTGTTCTGATTTTATAATTTCTCTTTTTTTCAATGTGATATTTTCAATTTTTTGGATTTATCACTTTTTCGATTTCCAATTTTTCGAATATAAAACTTTTATATTTTTTAATTTTTCGTTTCTTCAATTTTTAATTTGCAATTTTTCTAGTTTTTATTTGAAATAAGTATGTAATAACAATAATAATTTTCAAAAAAAAAACTTTTTCAGGTTTACGATTTAAGAATTTTTCCATTTCTCAATTACTGGATTTGAAAAATTTTTCCTTTATCCGACTTTTCAATGTTCGATTTTTAATTTAATGTTTCAATTTTGCAGTTCGTAATTTTTCTTGTTTTTTAATTTTGAATTTTTTCAATGTCAATTTTTTCAGTTTTTCGTTTCTTCAACTTTTAGATTTGAATTTTTCAATTTTTCATTTTTCTCTTGTTTCTTCAATTTTACATGTCACTCTTCGAGTTTTCATTTTTAAATTTTTCAGTTTTTCGATTTCCCAACTTTTGGATTTTTTAGATTTTTCGATTTGCAATTTTACGAGCCTTCAATTTTTAATATTTCAGTTTTCCGATTTTTCAATTTTTGGATTATTCATTTTTCAGTTTGCAATTTTACGATTTTAGAATGTTTCTATTTTTCAATTATTGGATTTTAAAACTTTATCCTTTATTCGCCTTTTCAATTTTTGGATTTTTAATCTTGCAATTTTTCAATTGCTATTTTTCGTTCCGGTTTTTTATTTTCTTTATTTTTAATATTGTATAAATTTTTCTGTTTGTTTTTTAAATCACAATTTTTTTTTTGTTTCTTGAATTTTATATTTTGCAGTTTTTTGATTTGCAGATTTTCGTTTTGGTTTTTTATTTTCTTAATTTTTTCAGTTTTTCGGTTTTTCAATGTTCTGATTTTGTAATTTTTATTTTTTTCAATGTGACATGTTTCAATTTTTGGACTTTTCAATTTTTCGATTTTTCAACGTTTACATTTTTTAATTTTTCGATTTTTCAATTTTATATTTTTCAGTTTCTCAATTTTTCAATTTTGTGTTTCTTCAATTTTTGGTTTTTTATTTTCTTAATTTTTTCAGTTTTTCGGTTTTTCAATGTTCTGATTTTGTAATTTTAATTTTTTTCAATGTGATATGTTTCAATTTTTGGACTTTTCAATTTTTCGATTTTTCAACGTTTACATTTTGTAATTTTTCGTTTTTTCTATTTTATATTTTTCAGTTTCTCAATTTTTCAATTTTGTGTTTCTTCAATTTTTTGTTTGCAATTTTTCATAGCTTTTATTTTAAACATGTAATAATAATTATTATTTTTAAAAATGCAGTTTTTTGATTTGCAGATTTTCGTTTGGGTTTTGTATTTTCTTTTTTTTCAGTTTTTCGGTTTTTCAATGTTCTGATTTTATAATTTTTATTTTTTTCAATGTGAAATGTTTCAATTTTTGGACTTTTCAATGTTTCGATTTTTCAACGTTTACATTTTTTAATTTTTCGTTTTTTCATTGTTATATTTTTCAGTTTCTCAATTTTTCAATTTTGTGTTTCTTCAATTTTTTATTTGCAATTTTTCGATTTTACAATTTTTCGGTTTTAAAGTTTCTCCATTTTTAGTTTTTCAATGTCTCAATTTTTCGTTTTTTCAGTTCTTCGATTTGCAATTTTTCAATTTCCTATGTTTTCGATTTAGCAATTTTTCGTTTTTTCAGTTTTTCGATTTTTTCCATTTTCTTCAATTTTTCAACTTGTCAAATAAAAACATGGAATCATTGCAAAATTATACAGTTGAAAATTCAGAAATGAAAAAATGAGAAGTATAAAATGAAAACTTTGCAAAATCTAAAAATTGGAAATCAAGAACTTGAAAAATTCAAGAATCGGAAGATTAAAAATTGAGCAACTTAAAAATCGAAATATTGAAAAGTAAAGAATTCGGAAAATTGGGTAAGTGGAAGTCCAAATAAAAATTGTAAAATTGAAAAATTTAATAATTAGAAAATCGAGGAATTGAAAAATCAAAGATTGAAAATTTGAAAAATTGAATAAAAAAATTTATATAAAATTAAAAAAATGAAAATTTAAAATTGGGAAGCTGAAAGATAGAAAAACGAAAAATTATGAAACCACAACATTGAAAAATTACTATGACTGCATAGACCACAAGTTTAGTCATAATATTTTGACTAAACTTTCAGACAGGATTTATTAGCCAAAATTTTGAGATAAAGACATAATCTTTGTGGCAGAGGGCAAAGGAATAAATTTTGATTAACGATTTACCACGATTTCGACAACCTTAAAACGTTGGCAAGATTTTAGAGCACTCGGTTTTACAGTTTGAAAGTTAAATTGCAAAATCCTATTATACAATTTTGATTTTTTTTTCTTCTAAAAATCTGTATGTCTAGAGTAAAAACTCAACACGGACTCATACATCACTAGTGCAGGAGTATCTTACTTCGTAAATAAAAAAATATAGGAGTAATATTTTATTGTAAATTTTATAGATGACGTCATACCACTGTTGGTGGATCCTAATATACGTACAAAATTTGACAACAATCCAGTAGTTCCGGAGATTGTGTCTAATAAAAATTGATATAGATGACAGACAGACAGACGGAAACGGGAGACCACCTTTTTCGTCATCGTTCGACGTCAGTGGCGCTGTATAATTTTCACACTATATATAGTACATACCAAATACCCATAGAAGGGAACGCTGGGCCCCAGTCCCATGAGAAAGATGCCTGCATTTTTCTAATCTGATTTACATGGCATTCCCCATTTTGTACGTCTTGTGGACAGACTGGCGGCACGTCGTAGCCTTGTTTTGAAGACAATTCCTTGGCCGTTATTATAGGAGAGGCGAATCGCACCTCAATATTGTTATTTCCGAGCTATAAACACATAAAAATATGACTTGCTATTTGACGATTTTGGATGTGGGCGTCATTTTAACTACCTTTAGAACATCCTTAACGTCGAAAATGTACCGCACAAACATGTTCTGGCTTGTGCCAATTTCAACATCGTTGACTAAAATTGTGGCAAAAGTATCAAGTCCCTCAAACACTATATTAACAGTGCTATGGTTTAAAATACTGTCGTCGACTGAAATACGAGTTGAAATGAGTTAAGTAAGTAGCCAACTGGGAACACTAACCTGCAAATTGGTATTTATAAGTCCAATTGGTCTCAGCCACCCACCGAGTTTCAGTATCATTGTTTCCGTAAAATATGTCACCAATAATTTTGTTTTGCATTAAATCTGTGTAAATGCCACCTGGTACAGTCGCATTTAGGTTATTGTATTCTGAAATAAATTTATGATAACTTTATCTGAATTATGACGGAGAATAATAACTTTACTTCCTGTTGCTTCTGTAAGTGACCATTGTCCGCCCAAATCTTGCAGTTGTAAACAACTTAAGCCAAGAATATTCGTAGCGAAAAAGACAAGTTTGCGCCAGCCAGCCATAACTTAACAACTGAGAGAGTTTAGTCGATTGAATTTGATGTCATAATCTCGTGTGGTGTTTAAGATAATGGTACTACATAAATAACAACATATACATTTTCATATCTTTATCGGTATTGTTACAATGCCGGCTTTAGTGAATAACTGTATTATTGTAATTGATAGAACATTTCCATGAAATAAACAACTTTTTTTTTTCTACTTTTTAGTGTTTTTCTCTCAAGAAGTAGAACACAATAAGTAGATGCAGGAATTCAGGAAATTGTTATGCTCTTCTTGTTTCCAGTTTTTATACGCCGACGAGAGCGAATATGCGAACAAAACTGTAAAAGTAGTGAAAAACGTAAAGTTATTGATTTCCGGCTTAAGACGGGTTGAACAAAATCTTCTGTTCTTAAGATTTGTACTTGTTATGATAAATTTTTCAGTAGACAATGGTGATGTTATCAAGTGAGAGGAGATAAAGATCAATATTCCTGATACCATTTAAAATTATTATCAGCTTCATTGAAATCATTTCGTAGGCGAAGAGCATCTAAAGTACTACTCTTCCAATTATGTTTTCAATAGTTGGCATTGTTTTCCTTGGTATTAATTTACTTCAAAACAAGTGGTCATCAGTGATATCAGATTATGACTTGAATGATCACAAACGTTTTGTACTTTGGTCAGAATTTTCCATAATTTCCACTTGTTAGTTTAAGTACCCCAAAGTCAATAGATAGCAATTTTAAAAATAAATTGTGTTTATCGTGACTTTCTACTCAGAAATCAATACAATACATAAATTCATTCGACATGCGGTAAAAACTAATGAATAGCAACATTATAATTTTTTTAAACTAAAAGTTAAATTCTGTCGCTAAATTAGTGCGCCCTTTCTATGGCAGATTCTGGTGATAAAAAAACCTTCATTTTATACATAAACAAAGCTTGCGGCGTGTGTGGGCAGGGGTGAGCAACGCGCCACCCGTGAAGTTTATTTTGTAATATTTTTTATGCAAAATTAACAAAATGGTATTGGAGCTAGCTAGCGGGAGGTAACAAAGCCAAACACAACTAAATTAAAATTTTGTTTTAAATGCGTGTGCTAATGCGTTTTTTGTGTTAGTTTTTATTTAAAAGGACTTCAATAACATAAGGGAGGTTAATTTATTTTTCGAAAGACAGATTATTATCTGAGGCATCCATGCTATTAATAATAACAACATGTATTTTGTGTAAAAAAATATTACAATGTCTTTCAAATCTCGTCAAAAAAACAAAAAAAAAAAACGATTATTAATAGAAAGTACACATATCTGTGAATTACATCGTCAACAGAATTTTCCCATTGCATAACCAAAATAAATAAAATAAACACATATTAAATGCGGTCGAAATCATAATAACGTGTTTTTGGTACACACTTCGCTATGAGAGGAGTGTCCGAGAATAAATGTTCAAAATTTAACTCGTAGAACACATAATAAGCATAAAATATCCCTTCCCGTTTCGAGTCCGCGATGATATTAATTTAACTGATAATAACTTCCAAAACAGCCCAATAAATATTATAAAATACATGATGTATTGTATAGAAATATTTCCTTACAAGTATACTAATGCATCGTGAAAATTTGATCAGATTAATGGCTAGTCATAACGATAAGACAATGGGTGGGTTTCCTGAGTAATCGCGACATCACGATGTATTTTTACTACATAACATACCTATTTTTCCTTTGATTAAATTTAACAAATAAAATGCAACCTACCAGTTTTAAATTACATGTAACTTCTAACACCACACAGTCTTTTCTTTTCGACTAACTGAATCTATCTACCCATCTAATGGGGAGGAGTCACCATTATCAGCACTAAATTTTGGAAAAACCAATGAAGCATGAATGTTATCTACAATCCTACGTTATGGAAAGATTTAATCGTTTGAAAATGGATTCGTGGTTTGGTTTTATTGAAAAACTACAATATGAATTATTATTTATAAAAAATAAATTAACACAGATAAATAAATGATAAATATAAACAAATTGTATGCAAAAAGGTTTATGAAGAAATTAGTTGTAAATAATACTCATTTTCACGTACCTACTGATAAATTCAAAATCAGACAAAATTAAAAAATTTAAATTATTTAGAGATTAAGTGGAAAAATGACATTGTTGAATTTTTGTCACTTCGTTTCACACTACAGAACTTTAAAGAAAATCTTTAGTAAAAGGCGAAATATTCATTCCAAAAATCATGTATAAAAGGCACAAGTTAAAAAATGTTTGATAAAACGCAAAAGGCTAATTCCGCAAATCAATAGTTTTAGTGAGAGCCGAAAAATTTATTCCGAAAATCTTTAGTAAAAGCCCGAAGATTCATTCCGAAAATCTTTAGTAAAAGGCGAAATATTTATTCCGTAAATCTGTAGTAAAAGGCGAAAAATTCAATCCGAAAATCTTTAGTAGAAGACGAAAGATTCAGTCTGAAAATCTTTAGTAAAAGGGGAGAGATTCGTTCTCAAATATTTTTAGTAAAAGGCGACAGATACATTCCGAAAATCTTTAGAAAAGAGCGACAAATTAAGTCCGAAAATTGCTGGTAAAAGAGGAAAGATTTATTTCCAAAATCTTTAATTAAAGGTGAAATATCAAGTTCGAAAATTTTTTGGAAATTCATTCGGAAAATCTTTAGGAAAAAGCGAAAGGTTCAAGTAAAAGGTAAAAGATTAATTCCGAAAATCTTTAGTAAAAGGCGAATGGTTTATTCGTAAAATCTTTAGTAAAATGCGAAAGATTAGTTCCGAAAATCTTTTGTAAAATGCCAGAGATTTCAAAAATCTTTAGGAAAAGGCGACAGATTCATTCCAAAAATTTATAGTGAAAGCGAAATATTCATTCCGAAAATCTTTAGAAAAAGGCGAAAGATTAATTTTGAAAATCTTTTGTTGACGCCAATAGAATAATTCCGAGAATCCTTATTAAAGGCGGAAGATTAATTCGGAAAATCTTTACGAAAAAGCGAAAGATTCAATCCGAAAATCTTTAGTAAAAGGCGAAAGATTAAGTCCGAAAATTGTTAACAGACGAAAGATGAATTTCGAAAATCTTTAGTAGAGGCTGAATGATCAATTCCTAAAATCTTTAATAAAAGGTGGAACATTAAGTTCGAAAATTTTTTCTAAAAGAATAGAGACTCATTTCGAAAATCTCTAGTGATAGGCGACAGATTCACTCGGAAAATCTTTAGGAAAAAGCGAAAGATTCATTTCGAAAATCTTTAGAAAAAGGCGAAAGATTCATTTCGAAAATCTTTTGTTGACGCCAAGAGAATCATTCCGAAAATCTTTAGTAAAGGTGGAAGATTCATTCGAAAAATCTTTACGAAAAAGCGAAAGATTCAATCCGAAAATCTTTAGTAAAAGGCGAAAGATTAACTCCGAAAATTGTTAACAGACGAAAGATGAATTTCGAAAATCTTTAGTAGAAGCTGAAAGATCAATTCCTAAAATCTTTAATAAAAGGTGAACATTAAGTTCGAAAATTTTTTCTAAAAGAATATAGACTCATTTCGAAAAAATCTCTAGTGATAGGCGACAGATTCACTCGGAAAATCTTTAGGAAAAAGCGAAAGATTCATTCCGAAAATCTTTAGTAAAGGCGGAAGATTCATTCGGAAAATCTTTACGAAAAAGCGAAAGATTCAATCCGAAAATCTTTAGTAAAAGGCGAAAGATTAGTTCCGAAAATCTTTTGTAAAATGCCAGAGATTCATTTCGAAAATCTTTACTAAAAGGCGACAGATTCATTCCAAAAATTTATAGTGAAAGCGAAAGATTCATTCCCAAAATCTTTAGAAAAAGGCGAAAGATTCAATCCGAAAATCTTTAGTAAAAGGCGAATGGTTCATTCCTAAAATCTTTAGTAAAATGCAAAAGATTAGTTCCGAAAATCTTTTGTAAAATGCCCGAGATTCATTTCGAAAATCATTAGTAAAAGGCAACAGATTCATTTCAAAAATTTATAGTGAAAGGGGACGATCCATTCCCAAAATCTTTAAATCCTAAATTTAAACAATAATTTCTAAAATTTAAATTTCCTCTTTACGTCACCAATAACGAGGTCAAGACCAACGACGCGACGAAACGCTGACCACCGCAAGAGCACCATCGTCAGCGTTACGAAGACAGCGGTAATGGAACAAAAGAAAATACAAGAAACTGGGACGCAATATAATTTCATATGTGTTATTACCTTTAGTTTAGAACCACTCACACGCTGTAAATAGTTAGTTTTGTATAAGTTAGGTTGTTTTGAATAAAACCAGTATTAAGCTTTATTGGCTTTTTACTCACTCCCACAATTCTACCCCAGAATTGTTCAGAAAAAGGCGAAAGATTCCTTTCGAAAATCTTTTGCTGACGGAAGATTCATTCGGAAAATCTTTACGAAAAAGCGAAAGATTCAATCCGAAAATATTTAATAAAAGGCGAAAGTTTAAGTCCGAAAATTGTTGTTAAAAGACGAAAGATGAATTTCGAAAATCTTTAGTAGAGGCTGAAAGATCAATTCTTCTAAAATCTTTAATAAAAGGTGGAACATTAAGTTCTAAAAATTTTTTTTATAGAATAGAGACTCATTTCGAAACTCTCTAGTGATAGGCGACAGATTCACTCGGAAAATCATTAGGGAAAAGCGAAAGATTCATTTCAAAAATCTTTAGGAAAAAGTGAAAGATTAATTTCGAAAATCTTTAGAAAAAGACGAAAGATTCATTTCGAAAACCGTTTGTTGACGCCAAGAGAATCATTCCGAAAATCTTTAGTAAAGGCGGAATATTCATTCGGAAAATCTTTACGAAAAAGCCAAAGATTAAATCCGAAAATCTTTAGTAAAAGGCGAAAGATTAATTCTGAAAGTTTTTAGTAAAAGGCGACAGATTCATTTCCAAAATCTTCAGTAAAAAGCAAATGATTCATTCCAAAAATCTTTAATAAAAGGCGAAAGATTAAATCCAAAAATTTACGGCAAAAGGCGAAAGATTAATTTCGAAAATCTCTATTAAATGCTGAAAAATTAATTCCGAAAATCTTTAACAAAAGGTGAATGATTCATTCTTAAATCTTTAGTAAAACGCGAAAGATAAATTCCGAAAAGCTTTTATAAAATGCCAGAGAATCATTTCGACAATCTTTAGTAAAACCCGACAAATTCATTCCAAAAATCTATAGGGAAAGCGAAAGATTATTTTCGAAAATCTTTAGAAAAAGGCGAAAGATTCATTCCCAAAATCTTCAGGGAAAAGCGACAGATTCGTTCCGAACATTTTTTGTAAAATGCGAGAGATTCATTTTGAAAATACTTAGGAAAAGGCGACCAATTGAAAGCACCAAGAGAATAATTCCGAAAATCTTTAGTAAAAGGGGAGAGATTCTTTCTCAAATATCTTTAGTAAAAGGCCGCAGATACATTCTGAAAATCTTTAGAAAAGAGCGACAGTTAAGTCCAAAAATTGTTGGTAAAAGAGGAAAGGTTTATTTCCAAAATCTTTAGTAGAGGATCTTAATTAAAGGTGAAATATAAAGTTCGAAAATTTTTTGTAAATTCATTCGGAAAATCTTTAGGAAAAAGCGAAAGGTTCAATTCGAAAATCTTTAGTAAAAGGTAAAAGATTAATTCCGAAAATCTTTAGTAAAAGGCGAATGGTTTATTCGTAAAATCTTTAGTAAAATGCGAAAGATTAGTTCCGAAAATCTTTTGTAAAATGCCAGAGATTCATTTCGAAAATCTTTAGTAAAAGGCGACAGATTCATTCCAAAAATTCATAGTGAAAGCGAAAGAGTAATTCCGAAAATCTTTATTAAAGGCGGAAGATTCATTCGGAAAATCTTTACGAAAAAGCGAAAGATTCAATCCGAAAATCTTTAGTAAAAGGCGAAAGATTAAGTCCGAAAATTGTTGTTAAAAGACGAAAGATGAATTTCGAAAATCTTTAGTAAAGGCGGAAGATTCATTCGGAAAATCTTTACGAAAAAGCGAAAGATTCAATCCGAAAATATTTAGTAAAAGGCGAATGGTTCATTCCTAAAATCTTTAGTAAAATGCAAAAAATTAGTTCCGAAAATCTTTTGTAAAATGCCAGAGATTCATTTCGAAAGTCATTAGTAAAAGACGACAGATTCATTCCAAAAATTTATACTGAAAGGGAAAGATTCATTCCCAAAATCTTTAGAAAAAGGCGAAAGATTAATTTCGAAATCTTTAGAAAATGGCGAAAGATTCATTTCGAAAATCTTAATTAAAGGCGGAAGATTCATTCAGAAAATTTTTACGAAAAAGCGAAAGATTCAATCCGAAAATGTCTAGTAAAAGGCGAAAGATTAAGTCCGAAAATTGTTGGTAAAAGACGAAAGATGAATTTCGAAAATCTTTAATACAGGCTGAAAGATCAAGGCCTAAAATCTTTAATAAAAGGTGGAACATTAAGTTCGAAAATTTTTTCTAAAAGAATATAGACTCATCATTCATTCATTCGGAAAATGTTTAGGAAAAAGCGAAAGATTCATTTCGAAAATCTTTAGAAAAAGGCGAAAGATTCATTTAACAAATCTTTAGAAAAAGGCGAAAGATTCATTTCGAAAACCTTTTGTTGACGCCAAGAGAATCATTCCTAAAATCTTTAGTAAAGATGGAAGATTCATTCGGAAAATCTTTACGAAAAAGCGAAAGATTCAATTCGAAAATCTTTAGTAAAAGGCGAAAGATTAATTCTGAAAGTTTTTAGTAAAAGGCGACAGATTCATTTCCAAATTCTTCAGTAAAAAGCAAAAGATTAATTCCAAAAATCTTTAATAAAAGGCGAAAGATTAAATCAAAAAAATTACGGCAAAAGACGAAAGATTAATTCCGAAAATGTTTTATAAAATGCGAGAGAATCATTTCGACAATCTTTAGTAAAAGACGACAAATTCATTCCAAAAATCTATAGGGAAAGCGAAAGATTATTTTCGAAAATCCTTAGAAAAAAGCGACAGATTGATTCCGAACATCTTTAGTGAAAAGCGAAAGATTCATTCCGAAAATCTTTAATAAAAGGCCAAAGATTAATTCGTAAATTCTTAAAATGTTTAATAGAAGCTGAAATATTCAATCCGAAAATCTTTACTAAAATGTGAAAGATTAAGTCCGAAAATCTTTGGGAAAAGGAGAAAGATTCATTCCCAAAAAACTATTTAGGAAAAGACGAAAGATTACTTCGGAAAACCTTTAGGAAAGACCGAAATATTAATTCCAAAAATCTGTATTAGTAAAAGCGAAAGTATCATTCCGAAAATATTTAGAAAAAGGTGAAAGATTCATTCAGAAAATCTTTTATAAACGCCAAGAGAATAATTCGTTTCGAAAATCTTTAGTAAAAACCGATACATTAATTTCCAAAATTTTTAGTAAAAAGCGACATATTGATTCCGAACATCTTTAGTAAAAAGGTGTAAGTTTCATTCCGAAAATCTTTAGTAAAAGGCCGAAGATTTATTCATTCATTTTTAGTAAAAAACGACAGATTAAGTTCGAAAATTGTTGGTAAAAGACGAAAGATTACTTCCTAAAATCTTTAATAAAAGGTGAAATATTCAATCCGAAATCCTTACTACAAGATCAAAGATTAAGTCAGACAAGCTTTAGTAAAAGGAGAGAGATTCATTCCGAAAATCTTTAATAAAAAGCGAAAGATTAATGCCGAAAATCTTTAGCAAAAGTCGAAAGTTTACTTTGGAAAGAAAGTAAATGCCGAAATATTCATTCCGAAAATCTATATTAGTAAAAGGCAAAAGATTGATTCCGAAAATCTTTAGTAAAAGCGGAAGATTCATTCCGAAAGTTTCTAGTAAAAAGCGAGAGATTCATTCTGAAAATTTTTAGTAAAAAGCGAAATAATCATTTCGAAAAGCTTTTGTAAAGGACGATTGTTTAATTCCGTCATTAAAGATCTTTCTCTCTAAAGTAAAAGGAGAAAAATTCATTCAGAAAATCTTTAATAAAATAGGAAATATACATTCTTTAGTTTGATGGGCTTCGGGATTATAGGTTCAAAATGAACACAAGGAGAACAGAAGAGCATAAAATGCATATTCTTTATTTGCTCAAATCCGTATATAAAATAATGTATAACACTGTAAAAAGCTTTGGTCACTTAGATTAACTCACTGTGCTCGCTTACAACAATGAAGTAAGAAATGAAATGATTTTTTCGTGCAACACATACATATATTTATTTTGAATTCTACACATATTAACTTAAAATTTTGAAGAAATATTCCAGCTCTAATTCTGTATCTTCCTTCAAATCCGTGCAGTGGACAGCATTCTTATATTTATCAATTCCAAATTTCGCCCTTAACGAATTAGGCCTGATCTGCCTTGCCACCTCCGAATCACTCGGCCCTACGAACTTCCTAAACTCCCCATGAACATCAATATCATCATTCTTCGCCGAAATTTCCAACGCAATACACGGTCCTTCCAAAAAACTCAACAACAAAGCATTAAAGTCGCTCACAACCCCCTTATACACCTCCAAAAACTCCTCCGCGTTAGCGTTATTCAAATAAAACGCCTGCATCGCCGTAATCTTGAAGTGTGAATCCGTTATGAAACTGATAATGTATCCCAACTTCCCCTCGCTAATAGCATGCGGTTTGACAACGCAACAAGTGCTATTTTTCAGCTTCAGCGTGGTTCGCGGAGCCTTCCTTCCGTCTTCCGGAAAGAACAACTGTATTTTCTTCGTAGCGCTGTCACAATCGTCGGCAGCGTGGAAAGCATTCAGCGCCTTTTCCAGCCCGTAGATGGCCCTCAGGCTATTGGGGGCCGTCCGTCTGGCTTCAACCGGGTCCGTGGGGCCGACGTTCTCCTTCCAGCGTTTGATCGCGTCGTCGCCCACCAACTCCAAGGCCACTATGGGCCCCGAAGTCACGTAATCTACGACGAAGGGCAGGAAAGCGGAGCCCCGGAGGTGGTCGTAAAGCTCCAAACACTCACTTTGTTGCAAATGGCACATCCGCACTTTAATAATCTCGAAATGTCGGTCTTGGATCTGGTTGAAAACTTCCCCGATTTTGTCGATTATGCTGGGCTTGATCACACCGAAGGTGTGCTGTCTAGTGTTGCCGATAACCTGTTTGGTGCGGCAGTCGGCGTAGTCGGTGATTTTGAGTTGGCGGCCGTAAATGCGGATGGTGTTCCCGACGAAGACGTCCTTCCGCTGCAAGCCCTCGTAGAATGACCGTTTCAGGAATATGCGTTTCAGATCGATGTCGTATAGTTCAATTGTGCTGTCACATGGGTAATAATTGAGAAGGAGCCGCTTTTGATAAGCCGACTCGTAGTCGAACCACTCAGCCACGAAGGATAATTTGTCAGTGTAATCGGTGCCGAACGATGCTGACATTGTCGATATTCACTGAAATGAAAAAACGAATGTGACAGGTTACGTCAACTGATTATTTTTAATGTAGAAACAGAGGCGGACTTAACCAAAGTATGCACTATGCGGAAAAAGTGAATTGCGTTGCTTACTGCATTAATGGCTTAATTTTTTATTAAGTATTGACTGAGTGAAAAAAGAGTGGCTATGCTTGTAGAACCTTTCACGATTGTTTGAAATTTGCGCCATCTGTGACAATCTGACAGATTCATTTTAAGTTATAATTAAGGCTCGGATAATAATATGGAAAATGCATATTTTAGTTAAGTGCATTTTTATGCATATTTTAAAATTTTTGCTGCATTTTTCGTGGTAATTGGTGAAAATCTTAATTTTAATACAATTGTAATATAGTTGGTTATTGGCAGTATGCAAGTAAATGAGTACCGACCTTTTCTAGTAATGCGGACGGGTTTTTCAAAGACTTCATTTGTGGGCACCCCAATCAGGCGCATTACTAGAATTCTTTACCTAATGGCCTGTAAGCCAGGTGTTTTAAATACAGATAGTTCTGCAAATGTATTTAACGGGGGGTTGGAAGAAATGGAAAATCTAGAATTTAGAATTGATTTTTTCCAAATTCATTCATCATCAGAGTTGGGGACAAATACTTTTAAAAATATCTAGATACAGATAAAGATATATGGAAGATAAAAGTATCTAGATACAGATTGTTTTCGATTTTTTCGAAATGTATCTAAATACAAGATACAAGAAAACAGATACTTTTTGAAACTTTGGCGAATAAAATAACTTACTGAAATAGTTATTTATGTACCAAGGGCACAAAGAAGATGTTTATATTCGAGGGCAACGTTTACAAAATCAAGGGCCTCTGGCCCGAGATTTTGTAAGTTGCCCGAGATTTATAAACATCAAGTTGTGCCCGTGGTGCATACAAACTTTTATTTTTCACGAGAAAATCTAAAAAAAAGACTAATTTATATAATTAATTCGTAAAAAAAAAAATTACGTGGCGTTGATTTTGTTGTCAAGGAGATTCTATGTTTATTGCAAACACGGCGTCTATTCACGGTGTCAACACGTATATTTTCGACCGCGGAAATGAATGAGGAAAATTGTGAAATTCCAGAAAACATTGCGAAGAAAGCGCAAAAAGCCAATGAAAATGTGTTACCTGGAACATCAGGATCCATATATGAAAAAGAATACAAAATTTTCCTTAATTGGAAGATTAAGAAGTGGCTTACTTCCAAGAATTGGTGAGTTATTCTGTTTATAAAATAATTATTTAACTGTGTTCTTCATTTTTAGTCAGAAAAATATTCACCCAGTTCCTTATGGTGAGAATATAATTCATGAATCACATGACCCCATTTCTTCCAATAGAATTTGTTCATGCCCTTAGTTACATGTCTTATCACAGCGGTAATAATTTTATTGCCTTATTGTGGTCTGTTGCTACCTAAATTTAAAAAGTGTCAAATTTGACAAATTTTAGAATTTCATAATTTTTTTTTCTATTATGGCTTGCCAACGTTGGGGGCAAGCTCAAAACGACGAAATCAATTCTGTTATCAAAAAATGTGTTCATTCATTATATTCTCATGTCGAATATAACTCGTGATATGATTAATAATCGAAGATATGGCTCGTGAAACCGAAGCAGCACATTCAACTCGTGCTTCGCACTCGTTGAATCTGCAGCTCGGTTTCACTCGAAATATTTTCGATAATAATCATATCACTTGTTATATTATAACTGAAAATATTCGATGGTCAAGACAACTTTAAGAGTAAACGACAACATAGACATTTCTAATTATCATCGTTTGACATATTTCTATAAAAAACCCAAAAGGTTATGTGGCAAAAAAATCCCGAGTTTTGACTGGCGAACAAGTAATCCATTTTCTAAAAGATGCTTCCGACAACAGATATTTACTTCAGAAGGTAAACTAAGTTATTTTTTGATGATTGTAATTAATTTAAATACGAATGTTTTATGCTGTAAAGGTAGTTGGAGGATGAGTGAACACAATTCAAGATTTTTATATAATACGTTATTCGGTGCTAGCAGAATGGAAGCAGTGGCAGAAATAATTCCAATAGAGGCACCTCCGAAAAGTTTAAGTTTACCTGAATAGTTTGGTATGAATAGCAAGTTTGTAAATTGTAATTTGTATCTTCGTTATTAAATAAATTGTCAAAAAATAAATAAGTGGTTAAAAATAAACAATAATTTTTTTAAATTTTTGTTTAATTCGGTTTAGCAAAATAGGGCATAATGAGAGGGCGTAATAACTCTTTATGCCCGCTCATTGTGCCCCGGATATAAAATGCCGCTTTACGTTTATCAAATCATGGATATAAAACAAACATTATATACGAGTGAAAAATAAACATGTTTATGTATTTTTTTATGTATTATTTAATGAATTTTTAAAATTAACAACATTTCGAACGTATTGTCACCTAAATTATTTCTTCTTGGTGTCAGAATTTGGTTTCCGCTACTAAACACCCGTCCCACAGGTGCAGAAGAAGGGATTGTGGTATTAAATTTAAAAAATAAACATATTACTGTAGCATAGTTATTCAAGACTGAAAAATCTTTTCTTTTTTCCTGCAAATAAGCCATCGCTTCGCTGTTTGATGTGTCGCAAATTGTGCAATATTTATTATTTACGCTTAAAAAGAATTTTTTGTTTGTTTTTATTCCCATACTAGGTACAGTATCCATTGTGTTTGAGTATATCTAATAATCATCTTCAGCATTAAAATTAATATTTCCAAAGAATACGGGAAATGATTATTCTGTGCTGAAGGTCTGTTGTCGGCAACCTGTCATAACTTATTATTCTTCAATATCGGCTTACGATGTTTTTATGACCATGTCCGGTAATCGTCTATCCCGGCGCGGCAGGTATTATTATTATTATTATTATTATTAGTTACGTTGGCCAACAGGTATTACAACCCAATTACAGACCAACGGGAAAAACTTTGGCTTTAGATGAAACAACTCTGTTAACAACAGCTAATATTACTGCAGTACCCATTGGGATACAGAGACACAGCGGATTTAGAAATACGTATACTTTATAACCACATACCAAATTAAAGAAGTCTAAAGTAACTACCTAAAAATATCAAAATCATTCTGGTGAGTGTTGTACTGGGTGCACATTTCATAAATAGGTGAGTGTTTTGTGATATTTAAACGAGGAGTGGACAAGTAAAAACAGGGACAAGATCTCGATGCCAATCTGGGAACCAAAAAGTATAATCTATCAAGTAGATTAGGACAGTCAAATTGAAAATGAATAAGTTTACGCAGAAAGGACATGGACGCATTTACTCGTCTACTATCTAGGCTTTGAAATTGAAAGCGTTCTAAAAGAAGGGTATGAGAGATACCTCGCTCAGGATATATGCCATCAACTTTAAATACTAAGTATTTAAGAAACCGACGTTGTATTTTCTCCAAGGATTCAATATGAATACGGGAAAATGGGGACCAAACCACACTAGCATACTCCAGCTTAGAGCGGACATACGCAAAGTAAAGAGTACGAAGGCAGCTAATGTGATTAAAAATTTTACCACATCTCATAATAAAACCAAGAGATTTTAGTGCTCCTGAACAAATGTTACTTATATGGTCAGCGAAAGTAAGCCTCGAATCGAATGTAACACCCAGATCACGAAAAGTATCAACTCTAGTTAGTATACCGTTATTAAGGGTATAACCATACGATATTAAAGATGTCTTGTTAGTAAACGACATGATGTAACACTTAGCATAATTTACAGGTAGTAGATTGGAATTACTCCAGTTGTGAAATGTGTGAAGATCATTTTGTAGTGACAAGCAGTCTTCGAATGAATTAACTTCTCTGAATATTTTTAGATCATCAGCATACATGAGAACATTTGATTTGATATCCCTAACAACGTCATTGATGTAGATAACAAAAAATAGCGGCCCCAATATAGAACCCTGTGGGACTCCAGAAGAGACAACAGTTTTGGAGGATTCATAGCCATTATACTTTACAACTTGAACTCTGTTGGATAAATAGGAACTGATTAAGTCAAACAGGGCACTTGAGAAGCCGAAATTTCGCAGTTTTACAAGTAAAAGGCCATGATCTAATTTGTCAAAAGCCTTAGAGAAATCTGTATAGGCCACATCCACCTGGCGTTTAGCATCAAGATTATCAGCTACAAACTGCGTGAATTCGCAGAGATTGGAGGTGGTAGATCGTCCATTAACAAATCCATGCTGAGACACAGTGATTAAACTCCGGGTATTAAATGAGATAAATTTATGTATAATAGTCTCAAAAATTTTCGCAAAATTACAGATTAACGATATAGGCCGATAATTTTCAATCATAGTTCTATTTCCAGATTTAAAGATAGGTGAGATGATAGACAATTTCCACACATCTGGGAACACACCAGTTCGAAAAATTAGATTGAATATTATCATAAGAGGAAAAGCTAAAATGGATGCACAGTCGAACAGCAGAAAAGCTGGAATCCTATCATGACCAGATGTAAAGTTAGGTTTAATTTTCTTTAAAGCCCACAGTACATCAGGTTCAGAAATATTAGTACAGATAATATTACAGTATTGTCCGGTTATAATGAACCCGCTTGTAATGAACTTCCGGCTATAGTGTACTGTATTTCAAGTAACGAAATTTTTTCCATATATCTAATGTATTTTTTTTCGGTTATAATGAACCACTGAATCCGCTTGTAATGAACTTTCGGATAAAATGAACTAAATATTATTCAAAATAAAGTGCAGTTTTCCGTTTATAATGAACTTTTCGGGGATTCCCTGATTTACGCGCTACGCATTTCCCCACCAACTTGCTTTCTGTGCCAGTCGATTCTTGGTCACTGTGTCGAAGTAGCGCTACATAAGTACTTACTTGTGTAATAACATTGTTCGAAATGGAAAAACAAAAACGTAAAGCTCTAACCTTAAAGGACAAGTATGATATTATACAAAAAATACAAAGTGGTGTTAAACAACGCGATGTTAGCCAGGAAATGAACTTGATAAAATCCACTGTTTCTATGATATGGAAGCAAAGAGAAGCCATTTTATCAGCGTATGGTCAGGGAAATTCTACGTGTAAAAAAATGAGAAAATCAAAGCACCATGAAATGGATCAAGGGCTTCTTAAGTGGTTTACACAAAAAAGACAAGAAAACGTTCCTGTAAGTGGTATTATTCTACAAGAAAAAGCTAATGAAATGGGTAGTAAAATCGAAAACAAAGACTTCAAGTGTTCTAAAAGTTGGATTGAACGTTTTAAAAGAAGACATAATATCCGAACAGGAAAAATTGTGGGTGAGTCTGCAGCAGTAGATTTGAATGTTGTTAATGACTGGTTAACTAATGTTTGGCCTCATATTCGGAAAAACTATGACAGTGAAGACATTTTTAACGCTGATGAGACAGGGCTCTTTTATCAAATGACTCCTGATAAGACTTTAAAATTTGTGGGAGAAAGTTGTGCTGGAGGAAAGTTATCTAAATTGAGGATTACAGTTTTAGTAGCTGCCAATATGTCTGGAACAGAAAAAAGGAAATTGTTGGTTATAGGCAAATCTGCCAATCCTAGATGTTTCAAAAATAAACAATTGCCCGTAAAATACAAATCAAACCGTAACGCGTGGATGACCTCTGAAATTTTCACAAATGAACTGCTTGAATGGGATGAACAATTAAAACAAAAAAATAGGAAAATTGTACTTTTAGTTGATAACTGTACAGCTCACCCTGAGATTAAACTAAACCAAATTAAATTAGTTTTTATGCCACCGAATACGAGTTCAAAATTACAACCGATGGATCAAGGTGTAATTCATTCATTAAAGAGCCATTATAGGAAAATTTTACTCGCGCAGATGATAGAGGCTATGGACAACGGAAAAACATTTTCAGTTAGCATTTTAGATGCTGTAAATTTTATTCACATGGCTTGGCAAAAGGTTAGCAAAGATACAATAGCAAACTGTTTCAAGCATGGAGGATTTTCTGAAAAAAGTGCTGAATTTGATGCAGACGATGAGCTTCCCCTAACAGAATGGTTAAAAAAACATGAAGATGATCCTGGACTTATTTTCACAGATGTGGATAATGCAATTGAAATTGCAGTGCAAGAGAAAATCGGGGAATTTAATTTTGAAGAATATGTGGAAATTGATAACGACATAACGGTAACAGAAAGACTAACTGACGAGCAGATTATAGAATCAGTGACATCAGTCATGGCAACAAGTGACGAGGCCGAGGGTGAGGAAAATGAGTCTGATGAAGATGTTGATGTTTATGTTCCTTCTCTTAATGAAATGGCGCAAAAAATGGCAGAGACTCGCAACTTTTTAGAATCGCGCACTGTTCCGGAGCCTATATGGAACAGCTTTTGCAACCTCGAACGCTATATTAGTGACATTCACTTTTCTAATAGATATGTACAGACAAAAATAACTGATTTTGTCAAGTAGACTTGTGTTTATGTGACGTCTTGTTATATGTAATTACATAAATAGCTATGTTTTTTTTTATTTTTAGTTTATAAACCAAGAAATATTTTTTGAATTGTTCCCAACGTAGAATTGAAGTAAATTGAATTTAAACAAACGCAGTTTTTATTTTTCCGTTAATAGTGAACTTCGGATATAATGAACTAGTTTTGTTACATTTTTTGAGTTCATTATAACCGGACGCTACTGTATTACTAAACGAATCCTCTGAATAAGCGTCAGCGATAGCTGTGGGACCCTTGTTTAGATTGAAGTTGCTACAGAAATGTTCCGCAAATGCATTTACAATATCATAAGGATTTGTTAAAAGACTGTTAGAGTATGACATCTGAGAGGGAATACCATTACAGTTCTTTAAATTATTAACATGTGACCAAAATTTACCCGGATTAGATTTGATATTAGATTCCAAATTCAATATATAACTACTATATGCTGTTTTAACGTCCTTCTTAATTTCAGTTCTAATTCTTTTAAACTCATCATGAGTTTCCGTGTTCTCAGTTTGTCTGAATTTACGTAATAACTTCCACTTGCGCTTCAGCTTACCAATAATAACTGGAGTAAACCAGGATGGAAAATTTGAGTTACGTCTATAACTAGATTTTGGTACATGCGAGTTGATTGCAGTATTTATCTTGTCATACAGATACGAGCACGCAGTATTGACATTGTGCATATTCTTAAGACTAGACCAGTCAGTATCATTTATAGATTTATATAAACTCGGGAAATCAGCTTTCCGAAAGTTCCACTGTTTCGGCTGGGAATTATTGGTGTTAATATGTTTCAATTTATTATCACGTATGGTGGAAGTAATTAGGAGGGATGGGTGGTGGTTATCTTCTTTCAACATAGGGTCAGCAGATTTTTGTACAGTGCAATTGAAATTGGAGATTACGAGATCGAGACAACGACCATTAATATTGCCAACATTATTATACTGCTGATACTAGCCAAATTGTAGAAAATTTTGAAGAATAGAAGATTTTCTGCTACAGTTGCTAGCTCTAGATGAAGTAAAATCATAATCCGAAATATTGAAATCTCCTACTATAATAACTCTTCGATTGTAAAGATCAGGCAAGTTCCCAAGTAAGTCGAATAACAATTCAAATTCATCAGTACATGCGCCCGGTTGAATATAAACCACAAAAATGTATAAAGATACCTGTCCCAACGAACATTTGACACCTAATAAGTCTGTAAACTGTAAGTCATTAAAGCCTTTTGATGACAAATCTAAACTATAGACTGCAACTGGTTGACGAGCTGCTAATAGAACTCCACCTCCTCGGGAAACATTCATTTTTTCAAAATTTCTATCAGCTCTAACTATGTGGAAATGACCTGGACAAATTTCAGAGCTTAGGACCGAAGTATTAAGCCATGTTTCCGACAAGCATACAATGTCATATTCACAACAAAACATAGAATTATAAAAATCAACTAATTTAGTGTTGATGCCTCGAACATTCTGATAATAAATGGAAATCTGAGAATAGGAGGAAGTGATATTGCCATGCTGTTGAAGACAAGACAAACAATTAGGTAAAGTATTAATTAGTTTAGTGTTACTTTCCCTCGTGAACTGACAATAGCAAGACAGAATAGAATGACTTTTGTGAGACTGATGATCAATAGGGAAATTGAAACTTTTAGCAGATATCGATCTAGAAGCAGCAAAAGAAGTTAATTGCTACAAATCAGATATACCAAACAAGTCAGACTTTACTTTTTTGATTAAATTTTTATAAAACACACAATGTGCATAATCCCAGCAAGCATGGGAAGTTTCCTCAGTACTCAAGTTATCTTTTGATTTAATACTGGTACAGTTTACGCACTTGAGTTGCTCACTTGTAGCTTGACAATCCTGTAGCACATGCGCCTCGGAACACCTCGGACAAGAAATACTTTTTTTACATGTTTTTACAGAATGATTGTAGCCATTACACCTATAACACCGTATGACATCAACGGCATCATAGATGTTGCAGTCATCCAAACCAATCAGACAGTGACCGAGACTTAAAGCATTTCTGTAAGATGTGACATCAACCTGCAAAATTACTTGAAAAATTTTCGGATGATTTTTTACCGGCAGAAGTTTCACGAGAACACATTGCGAGGAAACAGAAAAAATATGCTTATTCTGTTTTAACAAGAGCGGCACTATCATTTCTTCGTTTATGCCATCAGAAATACCCGAAATACGAATGCGTGGCAGAGGTGTTTTGACATCATGAATATCATATTTCTCCTCCAGTTTATTATTTTGTACTAACCTCTTGAATTCACCAGGATCATGACATTGTAGGAGCACCCCGCCATTTTTTATAGATTTCACCTTTGCAATTCCGAGTTTATCCGTATTTTCCAGATTAAAAGATGTCACAATGTCAGATTTTGTTTGCATAGTCGTTTGAGTGGTATTCTTAGGCTTAATTACAACAGCGGATGTATTTTTAAGTGTAGCAGCATAAGATATAGCTGGGTTATTGTTATTGTTTTTAGAAATTTGGAGGTTGCAATCAGAATGTTGCTGCAACACTCTCGAAATTTCCTCACGCAGTAATGAATTTTCATGCTTTAAACCAGCAACTTGTTCGTTAAGCTTTTTAAAATTCTCATTAACTGTACGTGAAAACTCTGCAAAAACTTCTTTTAAAAAGTCAGGAAGCTTTTGTAGTGCCCCACTATCAAGTAAAGGATCAGCAGAATTATTAAGAGAGAGGGGGCTACAAAAACCACAACCCCATGTTAATATTGACCCTGTATCTTTTAGAGATGTTACTGCAGATTTAGTAAGGTTAACGCAAGGTAAGTGATAATTGGCCGCACATTCCTTCCGGCAACTAATATAATCCTCAGCCCTGCCTATGGTTTTATTGCACTTTCTGCATTTAATCGCCATACCTATCGATCCCCACAAGGGGGATACCAATAGAGGACAACAAGTGATAACGTATTTGTAAAAGAGCAGTATAAGAACTAGACAAGACCCCTATTTGGACACCATCTCACCAGTCAAGCAGACAAGCCTCCAAAGTAACAAAAAAGCAATCGTTCAGCTTGCAAACTTATGCAATTGAACCAATACAACTCCGCACACTCACACACAACCAACCAGTTCGACGTACCGCGATTATTTGTATATATATTTTAGGAAGAATTGCTGGTTCGGTTTAAGGAAAAATAAGTACAATTTCTTAGAAAGGTATTTAAACCCCTTATAGGATCAAAGGCTGCCTGGAAGGCCGGAATCACCAGAGTGCAACTTTAAATTTTCAGATTTTTGTTGAAACTCATTTTATTTTAATCTCGTTTCACGATTTCTGAGAATATATCACGATAAATTATTCTACCGAGGGTTGTAAAAATATTAATTTTATTGCCCAAGATTTACACTTAAACATAATCGGCACATTCTAGGGCAAAACGGACCTGCCAAGCCCGCCTCGCGTTAGGTCCAACAATGAAAAAGTAAAGAAATGACATGTGGCAGCAGGAAAAGATGCTACATTTGTCTGAAAAATAAAGGTATAAAATAGTAACAAATATGCAATTTATGCGAGAGAAATGTATGTATTGAACATTCGATTAGTCGATTACAGAACTAATTTGTGCTAATTGAAAAAAATAATCATTATGTATCACGCAATTATTATTTTCTAAAAATAATAACATACCTTAAACAAATATTTTTACTATTAAAATTACTCTTATTTAATAACACAAATACAACCAGCGGGCCTACCGGACCCGGGTTGCTCAGGTATACAGATAAAATGCATTGCCCCACTATGAGTAAAACGCAGTGAATTGTGAATTGTGGTTTTTAAATACCATCTTACCATGGCTTAGATTCATTACCCCTCAGGATTATATTTAAAGATGTATAAGTAGTGAAGGCTACAATGTAGGAAATGATGGTAAGTATGAAAATTTCCGTGACAGAACACTATTAGTGGACCTCTTACTTCTATTTTTGTTTATGTGACAAAAATCACCAACATGAAGTATCAAAAATTACTACTAGTATAACTCAACTAATAACTATTAAAAAAAAAGTGAAATAAAAAAATGTATCTGTATCTGCGCCATTATTTTTGTATCTAGATACAGATATTTTGTGCTTAAATTCGATTTTATCTAGATACAGATACTAGATACCCAAAAATGTATCTAGATACTTTATTTAGATACAAGTATCTAGATACTGCCCAACACTGTAAATGTTATACCGAAACTGTTTCTAAAATTAATACACGTTTGCAAAATAACTGTATTTACTTTGTTGTTGACGAAACAACAGATGTATGTGGCAGATATATAGCAAATGTATTAGTTTGTACTTTATCTGCAAACTTTGTGTCAGATACTTATTTAATTGCTGTTAAAGAGCCATTTAATAAAATCGTATTAAAGCTTTCAGATGCTGCGTCATATATGGTCAAAGTTGGAACCCACTTAAAAGTATTTTACCCAAATTTGGTTCATTGCACTTGTCTCGCCCACGGTGTAAACAGAATAGCGGAAGAAGCAAGAAATCAATTTCCATTGGTAAATGAATTAATTAATAATATGAAACAGGTTTTCGTTAAGGCTTCTTTAAGAGTACAAGTAAGTATATGAAGATACACTACCAGATGTACTATTACCTACTAAACCTGTCATTACACGATGGGGTACATGACTTGACGCAGCTTTTTTTACTTCCTGTGAAAGGAAAGAAATCATGTCAAAATTTGATGATAGTTCACCTACAGCAATCAAGGAAGCTAAAGAGATTTTAAATAGTCCTAAATTAAATCAGAACTTAAGTCTCATAAATAACAATCTACGAATTAATTAGTGTAACATTAACAAAATTAGAAAAACAAAAAGTACCCTTAAGTGAATCCGTACAGCTACTACCAAATTGTTTCGTCCCTTAAATATGCCCCAATAACATCTGTCGATGTAGAGCGTAGTTTTTCAGTGTATAAATATATTTTAAGTGATCGAAGACATTCAGTTAAAATGGAAAATCTAAAAAAACATATTATAATAAATGTAAATAATAATATTTTTCAAGACAGTAACTACTAACTAGTTTGTCAATAAAATAGCTAGTTAATAGAGTAATATGATACACCGACATAGTTAGTTTTAATATGCAAATGTGTAGTTTAATTCCAAATATGTATTATCTAAGTTATAACTTATAAGTGTTGTAAGAAATGATGAATTTTTTGCATATAATGCCAAATTTCTCATGCATATATTTACATGTTTTTTCTGCATATAATTCCCAGCTTTAGTTATAATTGATGACAACCGAGCATTGTTGCTACGACTAAATTAGCTAAATTGATGACAAAACTGACAACGCGAATATTTGAAAGCAGAACGTCATATGACACGAACTGACGCTGCTATGCTTGCGTAACAAACAAAATCCTGCACACTGATGTTTAAAATAAACATGAACGCCATATAAATGCAATGTTTATTTAGAGACATATTTTGGTCGCTCTGTACATGGACGCCCATAGAAACTGTTCTCATTTGAAGGCACCCTTAAATTTTTGTAATATATTTCACTTGTATATACAGGGCGAGTCGCTAAGCGCTATGTCCTCGATATTTCATTAATTATTATTAGAGATAGAAAAAAGTCAAAAACTATAGTTGCACAGTTCTTTGAGTAGTATATTCTAAAATTATTTTTAACTATACTGATTTCTGTTTTTAGGTACTTAGTATTTTTTTGAAATAAAACAGCCTATATATTTTTAGATATTAGCCCTGGTTTTCTTAAAATTTTTTTGGCAAAGAAAGGGTTCATAAAAATCGCAATAGGGCTATTTTTGAAATGTGTCTTACCATATTTTATAGAGGAATAAATAAAAGTACGCGCTTTGTTGTGGTACCAATTAAAACAAATTTTAATATACCGGATATTTATAAAACAATCTAAAACTTTACAAATTTCAATATTTGTTTTTTTAATAGAACACCCTGTATGTTATTACTGTATCTTACTATTTTTTGTCCTCACTCTTCGATATGTGGATGTGTTTCTTAAAAAAGTAAAACATCCTAGTAACTATCAACTTCAAAAATATAAAATAGTTAACAAAAAAGAAAGAGATCAAAAAGTACGTGGTTCTTTATTTGAAAAATTAAAATATCGATGTATGAAACTTGTAATAATTAAAAATGGTTTATACACTGACCGGCGAAAAAACCGGCCACCCTGAAAAATTTGGCAAAACCAAACTTTAAAAATTATTAATTTTACCAGTGATCGTTATTTTATTAAAGAATCATGAGATATAAATTTGCAAAAAAAAGAAGCCAATTAAACGCAGAATTAAATTTAATTTAACAAAATAACAGAAACAGAGCGACACTTTGAGACACGTCTGTAAGAGTTAACGGAATTATTTTCGCGTGGAAACGTTTATTAATTGCCAAACTTATAATCAAATGATAAAAAACACTGTTTACAACAACAGCCTCCTTTATTGTTTTGTTTTTTTTAAGAAAACGTCGTACTTGGTCTGTTTCTGTTATTTTGTTAAATTAAATTTAATTCTGCGTTTAATTGGCTTTTTTTTGCTAATTTGTACATCATGTGTCAATAGTCAATGATTCTTTAATAAAATAACGATCACTAGTTAAATTAATAATTTTTAAAGTAGTTTTGCGAAATTTTTCAGGGTGGCCGGTTTTTTTGCCGGTCAGTGTAGATAATTAAGATAATAAAGGAGAAAGAATTCACACATTTTTTAAGAATTTAGATTTTTCATTTAAATTTGAGTAATTTCTGGCGTTCTTCGTGTTTTATTAAGAATTTAAAAGAGTATTGGGGGACCCTAATGTGTTTTTTTAAGAATTTAAAAGAATCACGGGAAACTGTGGTGTTTTTTTTATTTAAAAGAATCTGGGGGGTCCTTCGTAATCTCGCGGTACCAAACTTTTTTTTTTGTAGAATTTAAAGGAATCTTGGGGCCCCTCGTGTTTTTTTAAAAAATTTCGAAGGTCCACAGTGTTTTTTTTATTTAAAAATTTACGGGCTTATATTGTTTTTTCAAAAAAAATTAAAGAATCCGATGACCAGCAGTGTTTTTTTAAAAAGTAAAAGAATTTCGATAACTTCTAGCGTTAATAAAAAAATAATTTGAATGAATCTCGGGGGACCGTAGTGTTTTTTTTTCTTGAAAAATTTAAAACAATCCCGGGGGTTCCTAGTGTATTTTTTAAGAGTAATTAAAAAATCTCGGATGAGAGTTCCTTGTTTTTCTAAAAAACGTAAAAGAATCTCTACAACTCCAAGTGTGTTTTTTTTATTTTAAGAATTTAAGGGAATCACGGGAAACCCTAGTTTTTTTTAATTTAAAAGAATCTCCGGAGTCCTTTGTAATCTCGGGGTACCAAACTTTTTTTGGTAAAATTTAAAGGATTCTTGGGAATCCTAGTGTTTTTTTAAGAATTTAAAAAAATTTGAAGGTCCACGGTGAATTTTTTTTTTTGAAAATAAAAATAAAATACGATAGATTAGGTTTATACTAAAATTTTATTTATCTCTCCATTGCTGCGATTTTTTGTGAATCCTTCCATTATTAAAAATTGGAACAATGTGGCAACGTGGCATCGGAATTTCAAAAATGAACTCAGGTTGTATAGCCTAAGAACACGTTAGTTAAAATATGTGTTTCATTAAAAAAATATAAGTTGTGTGTAACGCCTTAAAAACAGAACAGTCTCTATAACTCCATAACAGTTTTAGATTATACTTCTCACTCTGTACAGGGTGTTCAACTAATTGCCTC